CATGTCAAAAGAGCGAAAGCAAACCAGTTTTTTGTTCTCTATATTTTTAACCACATCTATAACTAAACTAACAACAGCATCATTTGTGCTCTTCCCAGAGCGAAACCCAAACCGCCTATCAGTAAACATTTTATTACCTTCAAGGTATTCATACACCTGGTTATACATGAGTAATTCAAACAACTTTGATATGGTTGGTACAATTGATATTGGTCTGAAGCTTTTGTAACTATCATTATTTTTCTTGAGAACTGGAACCACTTTAATTTTTTTAAGTACTGTTGGGTATACACCCTTTTCTATCAATCCTATTAAATATTGTGGTCAATACTTCACAAATACTAAAAGAAGCGTGTTTAGGTATAATTGAATTCAATCCATAGATATCCAAACATTTACTTGTACGTAAGCTATTGATAGTTTTATAAACTTCTTCAACCGACACAAATAGAAACTCAAAAATATGCTGTCTCATATCTACTTTTTCAAGAAATTAAGTGAAATCAGGTTCATGATTATTTATCTGTATGTTTTTTTGCAATTTGATGGTCACTTGATATAAAAACTTATTGAATCCCTCAGCTTTAAGTTCTGAAATTCCCGAGGACATCCTCGAATGGTTAGATAATTTTTTAACAAGCGACCTCACAGCCTTTGTTTTATTTGTACTTTTGGATATTAAACTATTATTGTATTCAATTTTGGCTTTCTTAATTTTCTGTTTATTGAGCGAAGCTCTTATACGTCGACTCTTATGCATTTCGTAATACGCAAACTCCTCCTAGACGGCTGAATCAATCGTTTTCAAATTTTGCATGGTGATAAAGACCATATCGGTGAGTGCCAACATCTATATGGCGTTAAAAAAGTCCCTCAGGATTCCGCCCCACTGGGTCTCAAAGTTTCAATGTAATCCTTATGGAAGCAGTATTTGACACATAAACAAAGACATATGATCAGCTGTTGACTTTTGAATGCAGTAGATAAGGAAATAGCTGATAGCATTATTCCACAGATATTAGAACAGAAACGGTATGGATCATAAATACAATCAAATGACGACACTAGCTTGGGGTCCGTGACATATAAAGTGGTTAAGGAAGTAGTAAAGGTGAGCAGTCTGGAGTATGGAAACTGTTTATGACGATTAGATTAAGGTATCTGCATTCCTAAAATTCTATGGGAAGGGAGGAAAACAGGTCTGCGACGTAGGAAGTGGTGAAGGAAGTAGTAAAAGCGAGCAGTCTGGAGATTGGAAACTGTTTATGACGATTACATTAAGGTATCTGCATTCCTAAAATACTATGGGAAGGGAGAGAAACAGGTCCGCGATGTAGGAGTGGTGAAGGAAGTAGTAAAGGCGAGCAGTCTGGAGTGTGGAAACTGTTTATGACGATTAGATTAAGGTATATGCATTCCTAAAATTCTATGGTAAGGGAGGAAAACAGGTCCGCGACGTAGGAAGTGGTTAAGGAATTAGTAAAGGCGAGCACTCTGGAGTGTGGAAACTGTTTATGACGATTAGATTAAGGTATCTGCATTCCTAAATTTCTATGGGAAGGGAAGAAAACAGGTCCGCGACGTAGGATGTGGTCAAGGAAGTAGTAAAGGCGAGCAGTCTTGGATTGTGGAAACTGTTTATGACGATTGGATTAAGGTATCTGCATTCCTAAAATTCAATGGGAAGGGAGGAGAACAGGTCCGCGACGTAGGAAGTGGTGAAGGAAGTTGTAAAGGCGAGCTGTCTGGAGTGTGGAAACTGTTTATGACGATTAGATTAAGGTATTTGCAATCCTAAAATGCTATTGGATGGGAAGGAAACAGGTCCGCGATGTAGGAAGTGGTGAAGGAGGTAGTAAAGGTGAGCAGACTGGAGTGTGGAAACTGTTTATGACGATTAGATTAAGGTATCTATCTGCAATCCTGAAATGCTATTGGAAGGGAAGGAAACAGGTCCGTGACGTAGGAAGTGGTGAAGGGTGTAGTAAATGCAAGCTGTTTGGGGTGTGGGATCTGTTTGTGACCATTAGATTAAGGCATTTGCAATCCTATGATGCTATGGGAAGGGAGGGAAACAGGTCTACGACGTAGGAAGTGGTGAAGGAAGTAGTAAAGGCAAGCAGTCCGGACTGTGGGAACTGTTTGTGACGATTAGATTAAGGTATCTGCAATCCTAAAATGCTATGGGAAGGGAGGAAAACAGGTTCGCGACGTAAGAAGTGGTGAAGGAAGTAGTTTAGGCGAGCTGTCCGGAGTGTGGGAACTGTTTATGACTATTAGATTAAGGTATCTGCAATCCTAAAATGCTAAGGAAAGGGAGGGAAACAGGTCCACGATGTAGGAAGTGGTGAAGGAAGTAGTAAAGGCGAGTTTTTTCGGAGTGTGGGATCTGTTTATGACGATTAGATTTAGGTATCTACAATCTTAAAATGCTATGGGAAGAGAGGGAAACAGATCCACAACGTAGGAAGAGGTGAAAGAAGTAGTAAACTGAGCAGTGTGGCGTGTGGCAACTGGAAACCGTTTGTAGAAGTTTTAATGTATCTGTAATGCTGAATTGCTATGAGACGGGATGGAAGCATGCCCACGACATAGGGAATGGTGAAAGAAGTAGTAAAGGCTAGCAGTACGGAGTGTGAGAATGTTTGTGGCAATTAGATTAACGTATCTAAAATACTAAAATGCAATGGAAAGTGATGAATACAGGTCCATGACGTAGGAAGTGACTTAGGAAGTAGTAAAGTATGAGCATCAGCATATTGTGAGATTCGTCTGTGGCAGTTAGATTAATGTATCCTCAATACTAAAATGCTATGAGAAGGGAAGGAAACAGGCCCCACGACGTAGGATGTGGTGAAGGAGGTAGTAAAGGCTGGCAGTGCAGAGTGGGGAACCGTTTGGGCAGTTAGATAAATGTATCTGTAATACTTAAATGCTATGAGAAAGGAAGGAAACAGGTCTATGACGTAGTAAATGGCGAAGGAAGTAGTAAGGCTAGCAGTGCAGAGTGTGGGAACTGTCTTTGTCTTTTGTCTTTTACATTAATGTATCTGCAATCCTAAAATGCTATGGGAAGAGAGGGAACTAGGTCCACGACGTAGGGTGTGGTGAAGGAAGTAGTAAAGGTGAGCAGTGTTGAGTTTGAGAATGGATTAATGTATCTGCAATGCTAAAATGCTACGGGAAGAGACTGTAGACTGTATGTGTTACAATTATTACGAACCACGAATCGATACATCATACTAATCCTACTAATATTATAAATGAGAAAGTTTGGATGTATGGATGGATGTACGGATGTATGTTTGTGACAAGTGAACGCGAAAAATACTGGTCGGATTGGGCTGAAATTTGGCATGATGATAGCTCACATTCCCGATTAACATATAGGCATATTCTTATTTCAAAAATCCTTTCGGGCTCCGCCCCAGTGGCTCTGGAGTTTCCCATGTTAACCTTATGAGAAATGGAATTATTGAATCTTAACAGCTGTTTCAATTAAACAAGTTGGTTCTGTTCTATGATGTTCAATAGCATTAAAGTTACAAGGATTACCAACAGGGTGCAGCACTATTATTTCTTTTACATATGACAACAGCTAATTTGCAACCAAAAGGTGAGTGAGCGTAGCGAACGAACTTCAACCTGGAGGCGAGTTAGCATAGCGAATGAGCTCTAACCTAAAGGTGAGTGAGCGTAGCGAACGGGCTCCAACCTAAAGGTGAGTGAGCGTAGCGAACGAAAATTAAGAAGTTAAACGGGGCAAAGCCCGCGGGTTACAGCTAGTATTTTCTATACATGCAATCGTTTACAATCGAAATTTACAACTGAGTTGACAACAGCTGATTTTTAGGCTACTCCATAGAGCTTAAAAACTATTTTTATTCCCTAAATATAAAAAATACTACTTTAGACCCGCAATGCATGCATTAAAAACTACCGTTTTTACTGCAGTATGACAAAAACAATATAATATGAACCCTTGATGACTCCGCTCAATTCTGCGGATGCCTCTGCGAACGCCACCTAGTATGTTTTACTGAGTGAGTTATAGGATTCTTTTTTTTCAGTGATTATGTTTGCTTATACATATACAAAAATTTTAAATTTGAAATACCCATATTATTCTTGTGGAGTATGAGGAAACTGTGGTAGTTTGTGTTGTACTTAGACCTCCAGAAGCCTTGATATCTAAGCTGCGGGACGCGGATTTTACGGGGAAATTTACTAGCAACTTACACCACAACAAAAAGGAAGTCACACACTACACGCTAACGTGGTATAGGTCCGCCTTCGACGGACGCTAAGCTCGCACTGAGCAACATAATAACAGATTGAAGCACTGCAGTGTGGGTTAGTACTGACGCTCCCACAGCGAACGTGTTGTTAAACCTAATTTTATTTCAAAGGGAATAAATATGACATTTTTAAGCAAATATTTTAATGAAAATCAAATTAGGCAAATATAAATTTGCTTAGTCTACAGGTTTGTTTAGTGTGGGTATTTTAATAATACTGATTTTCCACAGTTAAGTTAAACCCAATATGTACTTTTTATTTGTAGCAAAAAGGATTTTTTTACCTATGTATTTTTACAGTCTAAAATATTTAGTCAACCAGCAATGACTTTTTACCAATTGAGTGTAACTTTTTACCACCTGGCTATGACTTTCTTACGAACCGGCTATGAAATTCTACCAACCGAGTATGACTATTACCACAGGCTACCTATGACTTTTTTTTAACACCCGGCTCTGACTTTGGCCTTGATCGAATATTCACACTTTTTCGAATAGCTTCGCTAAAGTTGCTGACGTGGGCGTGAGCAAATATTTATGAGCCTGGGTTGGTCCCCATTCTCAGGCTCTCGTTGCAACGCAAGATATGGTGTCTGGGTTGACCTATAAACACCACACTGCTTCTGTTCTAGGACAATCCCGTCCATCCCTATAAAACTCAAAGTTTTAACACACTAATTAGTATTTATATGGCCTACTTACTGAAAGCCTGTACGAAAGGAGTGACCTCAGCCTCCTGAATGGCTCGACACATGGCCAGGGGGACTGCCACAGACATGCACAGTGGGGGCTCACCTGTGGCTGTTGGACAATACAACAAGATAAGTGGCAACAAAACTTTGACACTCATGATGTACAAGACAATTAAACAGATTTTGAATTGGAATTTGTTTTGATGATGCCACTTTGATTAATACTTAAACAGTTAAAGGTGAATGCATTGCAAAATTAAGTGATCAATATACTGGGAGACCACAGGAAAGACAAACAATATTAAGGAAGGTAAGTGGCGGAAAATACTTATTTAACACACTCCTAAAATGAATTTTTTTAACGTTCATGCATGCTATAAACTGTGTCAAATTAAACTAGATCAATACCTTTTGAGCGGAGCACGCCAAGGGGGTTTGGAGCATTTTTCCTGAGTTGGATTCGAAAATCAATTGGAATGTCAAGTGGACCTGGTGGATAGTAATTCTAAAAAATAATGAAAAGTCAGTTAATACATTCACTGCCACTTTAAATTAAATGAAGGTCTTAAAATAAAATTGGCCAAGAAAAAAACAAAAGTAAGGGTAGACTAACAATTAATATTTTGAAGGTAAGGATTAAGGGTGTGATATTTTTGAGTCGGGTGGATACAAGTCAAGCTTTTATTTTCACGAGCGCAGAAAATGTCTGCAAAGATGCACAATCTGAAATTGGCAGATTCACAGTGATCACGGATTAACAGTTTTGCCATGATCTTGATAGACAATGATGTCGCTGTGACCCTAGATGTTCACAATTTCACTAAGATATGGGGAGTATAGTAGGGCCTATTATATATGAACCAATACCACTAATCTATATATTTAATACACAGTTGTAACACTGTTTTCTCAGTAATTACTGGACCGATCTACAAGATTTATGTCTCAAATTAAAGGGGATAGTGTGTAGATTTGCCGAACTTCCTTAGAATTTACGTTTTTTCTAAGGGCTTCGACATACAGCCCTTTAAAGGTCGAGTCAATACAATTCTTATTGAAGAATAAAATACACAGTTTATAAATTATTATTCGTCAGCTGTTTAATGTTTGTCAGACATTTGTTATTATTTTTATAACCTCACTTTCAGTATGCAATTATTAAACTTGGAGTTTCTGTTTATAAACACACGATTTTGATCAAGGAAAGTGTATTTGTTACCTTATTTTTGAAATGTTTTAGTTTTCCTGCAAAGTGATCTGAAGGAAAGTGGTAATTGAGTTTAAGTTTGAGTATGGAATGTGAAATAAACCCATAGTAGGGAACGGAAACTTATTGTTTTGATCAATATATTATATCAGTGATTTTTTTTTCAAGTACACAGGGAAGTTGCTTGAGAAACTGTGACTTACCATTCGGTTCTGGCGAAGAAGTACCTATGTGACTTGATGTTTAATGGCAATGTTGACTCGGGTCATTATAGCGCTATCAAACTTTATCATTAACCCCAGGGTGTGAAAAGTAGAAAAAGCAAAAGAAAAGGTAATCATTAACCGGGCGTAAAGAAACATACCGAACGAAAAAAAAATGTAGAGAACCATCGAACTAAAAAGGTAAAGAGCAGTGTTAGTGTTAAATGTGCTCTGGAAGTCCCTACAAAAAAATACCAACTCTTTTGAATTGGGGTCGTTTAGATTGGATTTGTCACTACTTCAAATCTATGAATTTCGAGTCAGAACAGACTAACTGGGACACAAAAATGTTTTAGTTTTCCTGCAAAGTGATCTGAAGGAAAGTGGTAATTGAGTTTAAGTTTGAGTATGGAATGTGAAAAAATACCCATAGTAGGGGACGGAAACTTATTGTTTTGATCAATATAATTTATTCTCTATAGCCATCACAACAATCATAGGGAAATCCGCTTGCAAGTTGTACAGATAATTGCTAATGATTGGTAAACATACAAACATTTTATCGTAAGTGATTAATCTTACTCAAGATCAGTGTTCGACGTCCAAATTTTACCTTCTCGAGATGGCGAGTACGCTGGGATATTTGGAACTACAATTTATCAGTGAACTATACCCTAACTATATTTTTTCGAGTAGGCTTACACAGGGAAGTTGCTTGAGAAAATGTGACTTACGATTTCGGTTCTGGCGAAGAAGTATCTGACTTGATGTTTAATGGCAATGTTGACTCGGGTCATTATAGCGTTATAAAACTTTATCACTAACCCCATGATGTGAAAAGTACAAAAAAAAGAAAAGGTAATCATTAAACGGGCGTAAAGAGACATACAGAAAGAAAAAAACATGTAGAGAACCATTGAACTAAAAAGGTAAAGAGCAGTGATGGTGTTAAATGTGCTCTGGAATTCCCTTCTAAAAAATACCAATTTTTTTAAATTGGGGTCGTTAGATTGGATTTGCCAGTACTGCAAATCTATGAATTTTGAGTCAGAACAGACTAACTGGGACACAAATATTTTTTCCTTATGTTGTCACAAGGGGAAGGTAAAATGAACTCCTTATCAACATTTTGAGTTTAGGAAAATCTTATCAACAGCGACTATAAAAAAAAAGTATTAAGGGTCAAAAGAGACAAAAAACTATTTAAATAAAATATAATACAAATCTGCAATTGAAATGGCCAGTTCTAAGTCTCACTTGAATCAACATCTTTCTGGTAGTGGTAGTCTACATAGTTTTAAAATCCACGACTCCTTTTCCATCAAATTACCGTTAATACCCTCTAATATTGAACAAAGTATGCCAAACTTTATATATACGACGTAAACACAGCTTTTACTCACAGTATGGGTCAAAGATTCGTTAAATGCGAGCAACTGCTGATGCGTGATTTACATGTAGGCTAAGTGACTATCTTTATTCCATTCCATACAACAAATGTAATGAAAAAAAAACGACGTATATAGGAATATACTTGAGCAAATTATCTAAATAGCATAAATAGCTGCTTATTAGGTTATTAGCATTGCCCAGTTCGTATACTATTTATTTTTCAATTGAAACTCGAATTAATATAAAACATTCATTTGGTTAAAATAATATATCGGTTTGATTAACATAAAATTGTTTATACAGGCACACTATCAGTTCTATTTCATGTAAAAAATTAAACAACCCCTAAATAAAATACAAAGATAAACGGTATTTGTTAATTATTATTTCTTTTATTGCTGACAATATTCCCGTGGCGGAGCACGGGCGGTTAACTAGTATTTTTAATTGAAAAGCAACTCTATTTTGGCCTGACTTGATTTTGGTCCGAGATCAAGGGCTAAAATTTTTTTATCCGACCCGACCTTAGGTAAAAAAGGTTGGCCTATAACTTGATAACATGATTCTCTCTGCAAAACATATATAGAACTTACCCATGTTCTATTGGTAAGTAATGCTCCAGTGTCACTGTACACCAGGTTCTCTAGTGTGTAGTAACCCAGCCCCATCACAAACGCTCCTTCCACCTGTCCAATGTCTATCTCAGGACTAAGACTGACACCAGCATCCTCCAGTATGTCTACTCTCCTCACCTGAAACATTATGACAGTGATCCTGAAGTGCCAATGTTCTAAACTTGGCTGAGAAGCAAGTGTCTACTGTAACATTTTTTTAATATTTAAAGAGGTTGATAAGAAAACAATGTGATTATCAAGTCAAGTCAAGTAAAAAAATGTAGTGTCACAAAATAGGTTTTAAAAAGAAACAAATTAAATAAATAGTAAAGTCTTACCTTAACAATCCTTATTATTGTGGTCCGATATTAATTTCAAACCCGTAGGTTCATCATCAGTCGGAAGATTTAGGTAGACCAAATTTGTTATAAAATCCACCCGATGGGTTTCGTAGAAAAGTTGACATTTAACACGAAGACACACATTACAGTTGACATAAATAATATTCGTAGTTTAGGGATAAAAACCATGGTTTTATAAAACAGTGGGATAACCTCACTTCAGTCAGGGAACACGCTGCCGGCAGAACTGTCAAAATATAGTCAGATTGTGGGTTGAGGTTATGTTGACATTTTTTGACTACGGAATGAAAAAACATATGATGGATGTATTTGGATTGATGCGGCTAGGTGTCTGATTGATTATTAGTTCTCAGAAGTGTATCAAAAATTATGTTTGCTGAGAAATTACGTTGATCATTGAGGACTTCAGACGGGTTGGATTTAGTATTGCTGTATATATGGAATTGTTCGATTATGTCCAGCTTGTTGCTTTTTGGGCCTTTATGTAGGATTTCTAGGTCTTGGTCTATGGTCGAATATGAGTGCATATGATTTATAAGATGCTCGGCGTATGTGGACTGGTTGGTATTGGAATTTCTGGGAAGGTGTTCTTTGTATCGGGTTTTGAAGCTTCGGCCTGTTTGACCAATATAATACTTAGGGCAAGTGGCACACTTAAGTTTATATATCCCTGAAGCTTCATAATCGTTTTCTCTGGTATGCTTTGGTTTGTTGAGGATCTGGGTTAGGCTGTTTTTTGATCTGTAGGAAATTCGGTAACCTTTGTTACTTATGATGTTATGGATGGAATTGTTAATTCGGCCGTGGTATGTCATCACAACAAATTGGTTCTGGGGTTTAGGCCGGTCTATTTTGTTTTGTCTGTTCTTATGTCGCCATATGAGTTTGTTTATTATATTGGGATTGTATCCATTATTATAGGCTATTTGTTTTATTACGTTGAGTTCAGAATTGTAGTCTTCTTTTGATAAAGGAACGTTGATTAGTCTGTTTATCATGCTGTGAAAGGCTGCGTATTTGTGGGCTATGGGGTGGTTGGATGATTGATGAATAACTTGGTCGGTAGATGTAGGTTTTCTGAATATTTTAAACGTATGTTTGCCATCTTTTCTGGATATGGTGAGGTCTAAGTAATTGATTTGTTTATTATCTTCAATCTCTGTAGTAAAAGTTAAGTTTGGGTGGATTTTGTTTAGGTGATTGCTTAATAGGCTAATTTGTCTGCGGTTACCATGAAACAATACCAAGATGTCATCTGCGTATCTGTGATAATATGTAATCTTACTTGCCATTTTGTTGTGGTCGGAATTTAAGATATATTCGTTCTCAATATGGTTTAGAAATATATCTGCCATAATGCTAGAAAGTGGTGATCCCATAGCAAGACCTTTGTTTTGCATGTAAAACTCGTTGTCATATTCAAAGTAGTTTTGCTCCAATACTGTTTTAGTAAGACTGATTAAATCTTTAATCAATGATTCGTTCAATTTGTTGCGTTTGACTAGATGTTGTTCAAGTATTGTGAGCGTTTCGGTTATAGGGATGCTAGTATATAGATCTTTTATGTCAAATGATGCAAGTAAGTGTGTTTCGGGGAGGTCTAGGTCTTTTATTTTATTTATGAGATCCATGGTATTTTTGATTGATCTGTTGTTAGGGAGTTCTATTTCATTTCTGATTATTCTATCTAAGATCTTGGCTAATTTATGGGCTGGGCTATTGATAGAGTTGACTAAAGGTCTGATGGGTTGGCCTTCCTTGTGTAATTTTGGAAGCCCTCTAAGTTTGGGTGGGGTAGGCTTTACAACAGATCAATCAAAAATACCATGGATCTCATAAATAAAATAAAAGACCTAGACCTCCCCGAAACACACTTACTTGCATCATTTGACATAAAAGATCTATATACTAGCATCCCTATAACCGAAACGCTCACAATACTTGAACAACATCTAGTCAAACGCAACAAATTGAACGAATCATTGATTAAAGATTTAATCAGTCTTACTAAAACAGTATTGGAGCAAAACTACTTTGAATATGACAACGAGTTTTACATGCAAAACAAAGGTCTTGCTATGGGATCACCACTTTCTAGCATTATGGCAGATATATTTCTAAACCATATTGAGAACGAATATATCTTAAATTCCGACCACAACAAAATGGCAAGTAAGATTACATATTATCACAGATACGCAGATGACATCTTGGTATTGTTTCATGGTAACCGCAGACAAATTAGCCTATTAAGCAATCACCTAAACAAAATCCACCCAAACTTAACTTTTACTACAGAGATTGAAGATAATAAACAAATCAATTACTTAGACCTCACCATATCCAGAAAAGATGGCAAACATACGTTTAAAATATTCAGAAAACCTACATCTACCGACCAAGTTATTCATCAATCATCCAACCACCCCATAGCCCACAAATACGCAGCCTTTCACAGCATGATAAACAGACTAATCAACGTTCCTTTATCAAAAGAAGACTACAATTCTGAACTCAACGTAATAAAACAAATAGCCTATAATAATGGATACAATCCCAATATAATAAACAAACTCATATGGCGACATAAGAACAGACAAAACAAAATAGACCGGCCTAAACCCCAGAACCAATTTGTTGTGATGACATACCACGGCCGAATTAACAATTCCATCCATAACATCATAAGTAACAAAGGTTACCGAATTTCCTACAGATCAAAAAACAGCCTAACCCAGATCCTCAACAAACCAAAGCATACCAGAGAAAACGATTATGAAGCTTCAGGGATATATAAACTTAAGTGTGCCACTTGCCCTAAGTATTATATTGGTCAAACAGGCCGAAGCTTCAAAACCCGATACAAAGAACACCTTCCCAGAAATTCCAATACCAACCAGTCCACATACGCCGAGCATCTTATAAATCATATGCACTCATATTCGACCATAGACCAAGACCTAGAAATCCTACATAAAGGCCCAAAAAGCAACAAGCTGGACATAATCGAACAATTCCATATATACAGCAATACTAAATCCAACCCGTCTGAAGTCCTCAATGATCAACGTAATTTCTCAGCAAACATAATTTTTGATACACTTCTGAGAACTAATAATCAATCAGACACCTAGCCGCATCAATCCAAATACATCCATCATATGTTTTTTCATTCCGTAGTCAAAAAATGTCAACATAACCTCAACCCACAATCTGACTATATTTTGACAGTTCTGCCGGCAGCGTGTTCCCTGACTGAAGTGAGGTTATCCCGCTGTTTTATAAAACCATGGTTTTTATCCCTAAACTACGAATATTATTTATGTCAACTGTAATGTGTGTCTTCGTGTTAAATGTCAACTTTTCTACGAAACCCATCGGGTGGATTTTATAACAAATTTGGTCTACCTAAATCTTCCGACTGATGATGAACCTACGGGTTTGAAATTAATATCGGACCACAATAATAAGGATTGTTAAGGTAAGACTTTACTATTTATTTGATTATATAAGCAATCCAGAGGCTGAAATGATAGAGAAACAAATTATCTATACTTATTTAATACGCAAGCAGGTTTTTTGTGACAATTACTCCTCCGAAACTACTGAACCGATTGACATGTTTTTGGTGTCATTGGAAAGAGGGTAACGTGAAGTTGTGCAGGAAACTTTCTTTTTAGGGAAATAATGAGATATTGAGGCCCTGGAGCCCTTTAAAGTTTCGTATTTCTCCATAAGGATAACATGGGAGATAATTTTTATTTACAGAAACATATGTTTGCTACTTGAAAATAGTCAAAGTCTACTACATAATAATTGCTGTGTATTATGACTCTTAATGTATACCCACTACATTTCAATCAAGGATTGTGTACCTTAAATTTTACCCATAATGGATCTTAATACTTTATTTTAATGCTGGGAATAGTAAAATTTAGTGGAGAACAAGTTACCATGATTTAGAAAACTTTACTATAATAATTTATGTATTTAAATCACAAATCTTTGACATTATTAATTCATTTGAAACTAAACAGCTGATCGACAAATCAAACAAATCATCTACTTCATGTGAATAATGTTATTACACTACACATAGTTTTTTTAACCACTCTTTTTTACTTGTGGGTGAATTTTGAGTTTGCAGTTATGAAAGCACCAAGCCAAGTAACTTTTATCTAATTTTCTTTATAAACTAACAGTATTATTGAATTACTACATGAACTTGACAAGTCAGGTAATTAATTTTCAGTATACCAAGGGAAAGAAGAGTGGGTCCTTAAAAACAGACGAAGGCGGAGACACCCATCTAGAAAATCTAACTGAGTTTTTAAATATAGAGGTCAGTGGATTGTCAAGAAACAGATTAGACTAATAAAAGGGGGCAGTGGTTTTATTGATGAGGAATATTAATATATCAAAAAAGGCCTTATTAATGGCACAACGCTTCATGTGATCAGAATCAATGGTTAACAACTTAATAGAATGTAAAGTCTTAACTGGAACAAATGAGTGGAGACATATTTTGATTTTGAGGATAAAAATTTACCCGTCTGAAACAAACTTACCTTTCAAAATGGAAAGATACTAATTTCTGTTACCTTTGGCATTTGCAGCGCTGTTCTTACCCAGACCAATTGAGTCATGAGCAACTATATTATATGTTGTTTTAAGTAAGGCTACATCTTTTAATAGGATACGCATATTCGTTACGGAAAACTCTGACCAGGGTAATCTTTCTGAAGGCAACTTTAAGGCTAAAATCGTAGATTTCATGGAATTGATTTTGTGATAAAAATATTGTTTTTTTAGTGTTTATTTTTAAAAGTGTTTTCTTCAAGCAGCATTTTTATGACCCTCAAAATATGCTACATAGGCCTATTGGTTTGATATGATAAAATGTTTTGTTAAATGTGTTTTAAAAATCTTTAAAAATAACTACCCTATAACCTTGCTCACTGCCTATAACATACTTGAACCTGAACACTTATTAATTTACTAAATATAATACACATACAGCTAGAAAATGGCTGAACTGATTCCCTTCCAAGGCTTCATTATTACTGCTTTTAATTTTCGACGTCGAGTCAATATATAATACGATGAATTTGTTTTCTAGATTCATATGTCATTTTGCGGGGCATTGAACCGCACAGGTTCACTAGTTATATTTAATTGTTATACTGTATTTAAACAAACTAATAATTAAATGATCTTTCACACATTTAGCTCTGAAAATTGTTAGTTCATCATTTCACTAGTGAAAGCTGAAAGCAGAATTTATCTACGGCCCGATTTCACAAAATTTACACTAACGATGGTTTAGTTAATCTTTGGTTAAAACTACCCGATGATTTAAACCACAGTTAAGAAAATCTGGTTTCACCAACAAAAACGCGTCAAAACTAACGTTGGTTTTATAAATGAGAGTTTAGAGTAAAATCCAGGTGGCGGTGGCAGTGAACTCTCATAATACCAAGCTGTTATGGGAGCAAGTAAACATAACCTAGAAAATAAATCAATGTTTATGATGAGGTAGTAAAAACAAAACTGGAGACAGCAAGATTACAAGAATACAATAGATTATGAGCAACAAGAACAAAATAAAAAATAACAACTGAAAACAAGAATAAATAGCAAAACAATTAACATGAGTAAATGAAGGTGAAGCTCTGTTGATAAAACATATTCAATTGAGGAACAAATTGATTGAGTTTTGCTGTCGAGCCAAGACTCAAAATCAAACTTTTACTCAAACTTTACTAAAAACCTTGTGGGATAACCTACAGAAAAAGGCAAAACTTTTTGATAATTCATATCTAGTAATAAAACTTTTTGTTATTTCTCATTTTCTGGTAGATTTGGACATAATCTGCTATTCTCCCCAACCACCTGGGACCAAGACCTTTAATTTGAACTCTCTCTGATCATCCTGTCAAACTCTCACAATTTACATTTTTAACAATTAATTGTTTACAGATTTAATAATATAAATTATAATATGTTTATGATAAGCTACAGTAAAACAAGAATGATAATTTAGCCTCTCATGTAGAAAAATTGTCGACCCCGTTTCTTACTTCGCTTTAACAGTATTAGCTCAGATTATATATTGTTCAAGTATCATTAATCATAATAAAAGATGTTATCAGTATCACTCATCACATACCTGATGCTGTCCAGTGAGGATATCTACTTCAACTTCTGCCACTGTGACGCCATAAATGTCATAATCCTTTACATTGTCTTTTGAGGTAAATCTGGAATAAAAACATTATTAATGATTAAGCTTTCACAGCTATGAATAAATGATAGAAACTACCAGAAATTTCTTCTTTTTTATTTGAGGGTCTCATGGCGCTTTATACGTCCTTTATGTCTATGAGATACATGAACAATAAACTTAATACAGAGTGTATTTTTTTCATGCAACACAAATTACAAGTACTGTGGGACACTGTTTGACTATCAAACAAGCTCATACACCCTCCATTCAATAAGTATCAGGACTGGTTCACTGTAGTCTCAAAAGAGCAAAAGAGGTTTTGTACTGTTGGGTTCAATAGAGGGGTCCTTTACATTCAGGAGCACTTTGGTTTAGTTTGTTGTTCAATCTTTAAATACCCAACTAAAGGAAACAAATGTTGCAACTAACATTGAGCCACACTTATTTTTGTCTAAAGTTTTGAAAGAACAAATATCTGATCACCCTATTTTACATTTTCAAGTAGTTTATATGTGCCTGATATAGTCAAAGAAGTTTCTTTTAGATTGTTAAAAAAGAAAGGATTAATATGTTTTTATAGTTTAAGTGTCATCAATTGGGAGCCGATTTTTCTTTTTTTTTTAAATGTTGCTTTTACATGTTTCATTGACTGTATTTTGAATTGTTACAACTATCACTGTTCTAGACTATCTAAGAGAGTAAGATAGGACTACAAAGTTAGTACAAAAATAACCTGTGATACCACAAAAAATAAACTAACTACATCTTCATCACTACATGAGATGAATTTTGAGATACATACATATAACTACTGAATTTTGAGATACATATGTATAACTACATCTAATAACTATCGACATCTTCTTTTCCGACTTAAGAAAATGAAGGATACTGTGTTACTGCTCAAGGATTTCACTAAAATAGCAGCTTATCAAAACAATGACATCCTAAAAAAATTCTATCTATTTTCCTTGACTTGTAGTGTGGACGGTTGTATTGGCCAGTCACTCGATTCTCGCATTAGGAATGAGGGTCCGTAGATCCATTAAGAATGCATGGCTTAAGTCAACTTTTTGTTACTTCTAGGTGCAACGTCTGCTGGATTCTGTTTCGATGGAACCCATCTCAATTCTTCGGGTACAGACAAATCTTGAATTTCTCCAATTCTATTCTAAACATACTGTTTGAATTGTCTAGGGTCGGATTTTAGCCAATGCAAAACTGTTACAGAATCTGACGAGAAATAGTTAAGTCAATGTCTCTTATGATGCTACAAGCTATTCTGCATCCAAGAACAGCTGCTTGGAGTTCTAGTCGGGGAATGGTTGTTTGTTTCAGTGGTGCTACTTTGGCACGTGCCATAACAAGGATGGTCTTGTAAGTACCTCTGGCACATTCATGGCGTAGATATGAAACTGCTGCATAGGCCTCTTCACTATCATCAACAAACGTATAGAGTTTAACTTCTTTAATTGTTTTGACGTCAAAATAGCATCAAGGTATGGTGAAGCTCTGCAGACATTTTACTTCTTGTAGCCAGTCTAGCCATGTTTTACTAAGTTCTATTGCAAGAACCTTGTCCCACATTATGTTTGTTCACCAAATGTCTTGAACAAGCATTCTCCCTTTTATAGTAGTAGGTACAACTAATCCCAATGGTTTGAAAATGGACATAGCTCCTCTTAAAACTTCACGTTTGGTTGGGCACCTTGCTTCAACTAACTGTACCTTTTCGGAGTTCCGGTGAAATGAAAAGTGGTCAGTTTCAGCATCCCACCACATTCCGAGGATACGTTCTGTAGGTAGACGACTTTCAGGTTGCAGCTGTTTTGTAGAGTTTGCCTTCAAATCTTCTGGTATTTCAAGTAAAATTTCTTTTGAATTTGACAACCAGTTACAGATTTTAAAACCTCCGGACTTGTGAATTTCTGTTATCTGTTGTATTCTAAGTTTAGCTTCTTATTCTGTATCAGTAGAGTCTAGTAGATAGTCCATATATTCACTTGAGGCCTACCAATAATGCTATAACGATGATCTCGCAGTAAACATGTCTAAAACAACTCAAATAGCTTTTGGCTGTAAATCTCATGAAGTGCCGCGACTTCCAGATGTAGAAGTGGAAGATGAAGCTAAGTTTATGGGCATCACACTCAACAAGAATTTAACCTGGACCCCTTATGTGGACAATATATGTAAAAAATTAAGTTCAAGCATCTATGCTCTTAAACATATAAAAAATGCAACAGATGACATCACAACAAAAGTAGCATACTTTGCACTTTTCAAGTCGCACATGAGATATGGACTTGTATCATGGGGTGGAACCTCTGGCACTAACATGCAAAGAGTTCTTACAAAACAAAAAAGGCAGTCAGAATAACTGCAGGACTCCACAGACTCAACAGCTGCAGGGAAGCATTCAGTTCAATCAAAGTACTTACCCTTGTATCACTCTACATCCAGGAAGTTGTGTTATTTGCAGTAAGAAATAACCTTACAAGGCGTGGCGAAATGCATCAACACAACCTGAGAAACCCCATGCAGTACAACCTTCCACAACATCGCACGGCACAGTTTGAAAATAAACCTTCATTCGCAGGAATGAAAATCTACAACAGGCTACCTCCAGATCTAAGAAGCAAGACAGAAGATGACCTCAAACCAGCTTTGCATCAAAGGCTCATTAATCGACCTTTCTACTCCTTATAAAAATACCATCAACAGATCTTTGACTAAACAACACCTCAACCACACATTTAGAAAAAGTTGTAAATTGACGCTACTTGTCATATTATTATAGTTTGTAATACATATGTATTGTTATTCGTTCTGCTTGCCTCACCCAGTTCCTAAACTTCCGTGGCAGAAGGTATGATTAGATTTATTTTTTCATGATGGTAAAACCTTTTTATTGTGTGTTGATTATTTTTCAAAGTATGTAGAGATTTTAACCATGCAAAGTATGTCAAGCCAACAGGTAGTAAGCCAGGTAAAAGCAATTTTCAGTAGGCATGGCATTCCCAAACATGTAATTACCGCTCATGACACCTGTTTAACTGGTTTTGCTTTTAAAGAATTTAGTGTTCAATGGGAATTCAATCATGTGTTAACTAGCTCTCACTTTTCTCAGGCAAACGGGATGGTAGAGCGTGCAATCCAAAATGTGAAAAATATCGTAAAGAAATCTATGTTAGATAAATCTGATTTGTATCTAGCCTTATTGGAGTACAGAAACACTCCTTATTAGCAACTCGATTCCATCTTCAGTAGAAAGATCAATGGTGTACTACCGTCTAATGAAATGTCACTTAGGCCCAAGTTAAATTATAAGAATGTTCGAAATAGTTTGATTTCAAGACAAGAAAAAAATGTACTATGACAGAAAAGCTAGGCCTATGAGACCTCTAAATAATAATGAAAATATTCTTATGAAGCATAAGAATCAGTGGGTACAAGGTAAGGTAATCAAAAGTAGAAATGAACCAAGGTCCTATATTGTTAAAAGTAACATGTCAGACAGAGCCTATGTGAAAAATAGGTATCATATCCGTCCATTCCCTGGCTTCAGCCAAAACCCAAACAGAACCTTGTACAAAGATGATTCCCAACCTAAACCTGTACCAGTCAAAACCTCTCCGGTAAAACTGCCTGATACTAGATCTCCTGTGAGTCCTAGATCCTTTATAGGTTCTCCTACTCGTACATCTCCGTCACCTGTCAGAAACCTAACCTCACCTAACCGTTACCGTCAAGTGACATCACCTAACCAAAGTACTGACATGGCCTATAGAACTAGATCTAGTAGGGTAGTAAAGGCACCACAAAGAATTGATTTGTAGTTTTCATTAGGCTAAGTCGCAATGTTTTATTTCAATTGAAAAATGTTTTTATTTAGTGTTGTGATTTTATGATTCTTAACAAAAAAAAAAAAAAAAAATAAATGCTGATATAGTTTGAGCTTAGGTAATATGTAATAGCTGTAATAACCAACTGATCTCTTTGTATAGATGAATTTTTAATTTTGTATTTTAATATGTTGCTTCTGGGGGAGCGAGCTGGCCTAGTGGTTAGAGCGCGGGACTTCAGTCCCTGAGGTCCCGGGTTCGATCCCCGCCAAGTCACCAATGGATTTTATCTAAGTGATAATGCCGCAACCCCTAGGTCTAGCCTGAAGTAATGTGAAAAACAATCCCAGGCTCGTGCCTAGCGTCCTTAGGACAAAAAAAAAAAAAAAAAAAAAAAATATGTTGCTTCTGCCAAAAGATAAGTTTTGTGTAGGCCTAGTCAATAGTCAATAGTCAATAGTCATTTATTCAGTCTTTAAACAATACATTATTGTAATTGACATCGTCATTATTATTGTAAAAGATATAAGATACAATACTTATAATTATTAAAATTTGACATGAAAATTCCAAAATATAGGCTGCCCTTATTGAACATTTAACAGGTTTAAAATAATTTTAAAAAAAAATAGGCAAACTTAACAAACTTAAATTATGAATAATAGTGTTCAAGGTTGATGATTTTATTTTTTTATATGAAAAGGGAGATGTCATATTATTATAGTTTGTAATACATATGTATTGTTATTCGTTTTGGCTAATTAAGTTCCGTAGACCAGAGGTCAAACATGATAAGGGCGCGACTTGCAGTCCCCCACCCCATTTGTTAACTAGCCTAGACGCTTCCTTAATAAACTGGACTTTGTAGCAGCAAGACGTGTTTTATTAAAGACCCGTCATAAGACACTACAATCATTCTTAATGCATGTGTAAATAAAGATTAATTGTCTATTGTCTACTGTCTATTGTCTATTGAGAGGTTGCTTTGCTTGCTTCTCGGTAAATATGTAGAAATTTTTTAGCGTTGCTGTTGACATACAAAGCAGTACTCGGAGAACAAGTTGATCCAAAATTCATTGCTTCCATGATGTAGGTATCTGGTTTGTTGTTTGGATATTCTCTCCATAGAAACCTTTGTGAATCGACATCTTCTTTTCTGATACGTACTTACTTGATGAAACATTTCTTGTATGTCACCCACGATTGCAAATTTTCGTAATCTGAATTTGAGAAGCACTGCTGGCAGAGGGTTCAAAAGGTCAGGGCCACTAAGCAAACCATCATTGAATGACACACTATTCACTATAGCAGCTGTGTCAAACACTAACCTCAGTTTGTCAGGTTTGTTTGGATTTGTTCCCCCAAAATGAGGTAGATTATAAGTCTGGTCATTTATCACATTAGCTTTGTCATCACATAGTTTTCTGATGTAACCCTTTTCTTCATAGTCAGTGATCTTGGCTTTGTTTGTTATGAAAGTTTTTGTCTCTTCTTTGGTCGTATCTTCTAAAATCTTGAGGACTTTTTTGTCTTCAACTGATTTCACATTGTCATCTTCTACTGCGGACACGCCACAATTCTCGATTTCAAAAGAATCTTCATCTTTGATAATATCATGATGTTTTTCACTTTCAAAAGACGTTAAAGTGAATTGACTATCTACTCGTCCAATGTGTTCATTACATTTACCATGCAATGTCCAGCCTAAACGGCTCCAAGACAAGACTGAAGAATTGGGAGGACCTTCAATTATTTTCCTTGCTAGAATAAGGTCACAGTTAACCTCAATTTAAGTAATTTAGGTCACTTTTAAGTATTGTATTGTAGGTTTCAAATTTGCTGATGGTAAAGGTTGACCAATTGACCTTAAGTGAGACCACTTCTTTCTCAGTTTGACAGTATCCACCATTTGTTTTGCTAAGTCCAATGGTGACTGGGTACGTACATTGTTTAACGTAAAATACTTCGTCCTCATATAACCCTTTGATTTTAACTTCCACACTCATGGATGTTGGGTCGAAATGTTGGGTTGCATTTTACCAGCATGTCGTAAGGGATTCAATACTATCGTTGACGCCTAATTTATCGGCTGTAGCTGAATCCAGCAAAGATACAGTCGACCCGTCATCTAAGAGTGTGTACGTGTCGATCTGACAACTTGGGCCACAAAATGCCACTGGACATATTCTTCGTAGAACACCGTTATTAACAACATGACTGATAATAATTTCTTTATTTTGCGGTTTGCTGTCCTGTCTGGGAAACCTCTCAATTTTGTAAGTATGGAGAAGACGATGATGAAACAACCTGCACCCATTTATCCCACAAACCTTTTTTACTTTACATTTTCGAAGCTGATGAGACAAAAAAAAAACACACACATACAGTTAAACCGATTTTCTTCAGTAGAGCTGGTATAAACCGGCTTTATGTGAGTTTTCTTCTGCCAGAGTTAATGTCAGACTATTACAAATAAAAAGGATTGTATTTGCAATTTAATAAAAGAAAAGACAAAAGTAAACCAAATCATAATAATTTGAATTAATAGCAAAAACATATTGCAATAAAAAAATACAAAGAACATAAAACATTGTGTTCATTGTCAATATGAACATATTACAGGTCTTTTTAAGTGTTCTTACTTTTACTATAATTTTTATAAATATTTCATATTACCTTTTAACTTGAATAGTTATACTAACAATGCTATAATTTGTAAATCTGAATATATTGATGAATCCGACACCTTTAGTTTGGTAATAGTACTTACAGATACGAGGCATTGAGTTTAACTTGTTCAGAGTAAGCTTTTTGTATGAGATCTTGCCAGGTGTATCCCGCAGGTAATAGACTTCTTACAGGCTCTAGTCTCTCTAGTAGTTTTTTACAGCACTCCATCACAGCCTGAACAGAATCACATAGCACCAGTATGTGGAACTCAGCTTTGCCAGATATATAGGAATAAGCGTATATGAAAAATAAGTTAACGTATTTCACCACTATCAATAATTACATGGCGTAACATAAATTATTCTGAGGTGTCATAAAAGTATGTGAAGAAAACCCCTTCATAACGGGTAGGCCTACTGTAAAACAGTAGTTGATGCCTTATTATGCGTGGCCACTCGACTGCTCAAAGGCCACTTTTAGCGGGCCATGTTATCATATGGAGCTTATTAAGCGACGCGGCCGCAGTGGCGAGGCACGCCGCGACTGGCCACACCAGTCGCGCATCCTCGCTACTAGGCGCACCCTCGGCCACGCGACTGTCGCACCACCATGTTCTCATATGCTGCTTATTACGCGCAGCCATAGTCGCGGGCCACAGCGCACCCCCCACTCCCCCTACCACTCCTCAGTCACTATTTTTGTGTCAAAGTTTTATTATATTTATTAGTGAATTTCACATATAGGGAATAAGCTGTTGCCGTAGTGTAAGACCTAGACCCGGGACCGATTTACTTTTTAGTTTTGAGGTCCACAGAGGCCAAAAACGCCCTCTGTTAAAATTCATTTAATAACTCAAGCAAAAATGATCCGATTTTGATTAAATTTGGTACGAACATGTAAACATACATTTATTCGTACGAGTTTGCGAACCAGCATGATCGGACTAAGGGAACGGGGGTTTATAGGGGGGGGGAGGGGTTATAAGGTAAAAATTGTTTTATAAAGGTAAATTTTTCCCTTTTTCGTATTTATAAAACAATAATAAGACCGGTTTTACTGTATGGCTCAGAAACATGGGCAATGAGCAAAAAAATAGAAAAAAAAATTATAACATTTGAAAACAAGGTTCTCAGGAAAATATATGGCCCGACGCTCGAAGATGGAATATGGAGAATGAGACACAACATCGAGATTAGAGAGCGCTATAAAGACCCTGACATCATAGCGGAAGTCAAGAGCAGAAGATTGAGATGGTTTGGTCATATTTCGAGAAGAGAGGAAGACTCCACTACGAGAAATGTACTTGATAGAAACCCCGAAGGCAGGAGACCACGAGGCCGTCCCAAACTTAGATGGAAGGACCAAGTACAAAAAGATGTAAGAAGACTGGGAAGAAGTGAAAATGACAGCAAAGATAGAGACATCTGGAGGCAGTGTGTGGGCGAGGCCAAGTACCTCTTAGGGTACCAGTGGCCACTCCAGTAAGTAAGTAAATTTTTCCCATTTTTGACCCTAAAAACACAAAATTTTACAATTAATTTCTTCCCAAGCCATTTTTTAGAGATTAAAAAAAAAGTTTTTTTTGGTACATTGAAGCGTTGCTGTATCCCTAACGGTTACGGAGATAGTTATAAGATTGTAAATTTAAAATTCTCATTTCATTCTTATGAAGAATAAATACTGTTGTAGTTTGCGTCTAACTTATGGATATATTTTAATCAAATTTGGCCATTTTGTTAATTTCATACTAAGCTATCAACATTTCAATAAATAAAAATAACACCTCAATACCTTCCCTGTAGCAGCAAACCTAAGTACTCATTAAAATTAATGTTATTTAAAAGGAAATAAATCTAACAAAGGGAATATTTTAGAAATCCAGCCAGGAAAATGGATATTCGCTTAGTCTGCAGGTTTGCTGCGGCGGGGGTATTTTATTATATTACTATAATTATGGTTGTAATAGTGTAAAAAATATTATCTTTAATTTATGGTAAGTGCTAGCCTCTCCTTAGCCGAAATATAATTATTCGCATTCTTGTGGAATACGGATATGTTTCTTTAAAAGTAGTAGAAATAGTTCATCTTCTTTACTTGACGACTACATCATTCAATTCACACTGAGAAACTATACAAGTCTGTAACATTCGGTCAGACGCGCGACCTCGCCACACTTGTTGCTACCCCTAGCCACACCTGTGGCCAACCCAAGCCATATAAGGAGCCACTCGAGCGGCCGCGCATAATAAGTAGAGGTGTGCGGATATTCGAAAAATCGGGTCGGATTCGGTTCGGTTCGGATATCCGTATCCGAACCGAGCCTAAATTTGATATCAGACACTATCTGTTATATATCCAACTTTTTCGGATAGACAACATATTTTGACGTTTTGGACAGAAAACTAAATCTTCATAACCATCATTAGTTTCCCAGGACAAAATTACAGCAATACGTTTCCAACGTAACAGCAAAGGACAAAGAAGCCGTATGATGCAATACCGATGTCTAGTTTATAGTCGTTATCGGCTGTTTTGCTTTCCAATTAGATTCGTCTGGAACGAACAGACATAAAGCAGAAAAGAACTACCAAGGTCAACTCGTGCTTGTCTCCTGATACTAGGGGCGCTATGCGTAATAGTTTTTTAACAGTACTGTTTTAAAGTATAAAAATCTAGCCTACTTCTGTGCTGTTACGTAAACAATAATTAAATCTATTGTTTACGTAACAGCACAGAAGTAGGCTAGATGTTTCCCGAAAAAAGTCAGAATAGAAAGGCAACACAATAGAAGGGTGGGAGGGGTTGGGCAATGACCTCGAAAGGAGCCCGGTTAACGGGTAGCAACAGTGAGTCGAGTAGGCCTTGAGGGGGGAAGGGGTGGGTACGACCTTGAAGCTATATATAGACTTGCACTACTTCCCTAAATCTAAAGGACTGGCGAGTGGTATTCCAATCACAGGGCAAGATACGTTGTTTTTCGGGTATTCATTGCCCGGTTTGACTTTGGATTGTCTTATTGTGTAGAAACTTTGAATAATCAAAAATAAAATTAGAACTAACCACGATTATTTAGCATTGATTGTGTATATTAAATGATTAAATGATAGGGACCAGGGGAAATATACTTGTCATGATTTGAATTTCAACATCAAAATACAATATTGCACAATCATGATATTTTAGGTCATTGACCTTCATTATGCATCCGGTAATGCTGTTTCAGAAGAGAAGCACGTTGATTCGCGTGGTTAAAAAGAATTATTTTAAAAAACCTATAAAACAAAATCATAAAATCTTACATAAAGATAATAACAATAACAGCAATTGTAAAAAGGGTATAAAGATAACAACGTCATTTATACTTTCTCTTTGTTCTTTTATTTCTTGGGTTTCCCTTTATCACGCATTCAACAAGTTGCCTAGTTGCCATGGTTGACATGGTTTATCACCCATGTCGTTATCAGCTTTTGTGACATAGCGCACAGCAGGGGGTAAAACTTGACGAAAATCGGTCAATTTTTACCTATTATTTAATTACCAATTTACTTTATTGGTACTGTATTAATAAATTGGCAGATTCTTGTCAAATTTTACACCAAATTTATTGAAATTTCAAGGTGAATATCAAATAAAACAATTATTACCAAATGTTTTTATAATAAAACTATTGCACAAGCGTGACTTGACATTGGGCTGCTTCAACTTTAATTTTTTTCAAATGAACTGTGATGTTTCAAAATCAAAAACAATAATTTTGGGACCATATTGCATAACAATATAATGGACTGCAATAATTGAATTGTTGAATATACAATCCATTTTTAACAAACTAAGATTATACTATTCAAATAAAATTTTAAAAATTGTCTTGGTATTTTACTTGGGGTAATGAAGTTATGTAGGCTAGTGTAATTCTCGGTTCATCAAGGTTCTACTGAATTATGTTTGGCAGTGAATAAGTGTAGAATGAAATTTATAAATTCAGGGATACACTCCTTTTACAGAGTTATAAAGCCTAATTGCCCTAATTAACTTGCCACAACATCAAATCTAGAGCCCAGCTTAGTGCATTAGTGATGTTTTCTAAACTTGGCAAACCCGCAGAATGCCACTTAAGGCCAATAATCCGTTCCAAAAACGTAAGGAAATACAATGTGAAAATAAACTTGAGATATAACTCCTTGTCTTGTAAGAACCAGGAAACAACATAAAACATAACCTCAAGTAAACAAGCCCAAACGTTTGACATCAGTCCTGCTGAGCTAAAGTGTTGTGTGAAGATTTCTGCTTCTAGTGTACTTAATTCAAGCAACCAACTCTTGAAAATAGATGTTGTGAATTGTGAGTTTCAAGAGAGAAAAAACTGTGGACGTGGCTAATTTAAAATTCTATGATTCAAAATCGTCATTTAAGTTTATTTACACAGCTTTACAGTGTTTTATAGGTTAAAAATGCATATGCAGCAGTATTAACCGCGCCGAACTATCCGAATCCGAACCTCCCAATATCCGATCCGATCCGAAATGAAATCCGCACACCTCTGATAATAAGAACTATGATAATGCAGCGCAGCTGTATAAAAAAAATACTTGCTATAAATTTTCTTATGTCCAAACCACTAAGACCACTGAGAATATACTGTGTCCAGTCCTTAATCCACTTCTACTTAGTCCTAGGTAGAAGTACGATCTCTGGGTTTACCAGTGAACAATTTAAAGTGACTACTGTCTAATGACAGTTTTGGTACTGGACTGTGTGATAAAAATGCCCTTTTTTATTATTAATTAACTGTCAACCACATAGAGAAATATTTTTGGCTAAGCTTTATCTAGCTCAAAGTAAATATAATGTGTTCTTTTTTACTTTCATTAACATTTAATTTGTAAGAAAAAGCATGATTTTGATTTCTCAATGGCTATTTGTAGTCTGTGTTGAACACTGAAAAAATACATCAGAATGTATCAGGGTGGTGCCATCCGCATACAAAACAGACATCACAGAAACGTTAGAACTGTAGTCATTAATAAAAACTAAAAATAAGAAAGGGCCTAGGACAGAGCCTTGCGGCAACCCGACTTTAACTTGTATGAAATCAGAATTATTATTATTACAACTAACCATTTGTTTTGTATTGCTTAAATGGCTTTGGATCAAATTCAACTCCTTATCGACATACCATAATGTTTTAGCTTATTACACAGAATACTAGGCGAGACTGTATCAACAGCTTTGCTTGGATCCACTAAAACAGAACTTACTATGTGTTTTTTCTCAAAACCATTTAAAACAAAATCGACAATCCTTTCAATTGCATCTACTGTTGAAAGGTTAGGTCTAAAACCAAATTGAGAAGGATAAAATACAAGGCTATTGCTGACAAAACACTCATTAGGTTGGGTTATAATGCATGTTTCGATAATCTTGCTCAATATGGGGACAATTGCTACTGGCCTATAGTTCTCTGGTTGGTTTACATCACCCTTCTTATAAGTAGGTGTTACTTTGGTATCTTTTATAAAAATATAAATTTGTTATAAATTTTATAACAATACAAGAGAATTGTTGGTCTCAGTAATACTGAATATCATTCTTTGTTAACTAATGTTGGAAATAATTGTTGTCTAGCAGGGAATTCAATGTTGACTCTTAACACATTGATACGTACATAGCAGACAGATTCACTGGACACACTTCCTCCTGTGCCTTCGTTGTTGGGTGAGACGAGAATGTCTGTTGGTTTGACTTGTATGAGGCTCATGTCAATGCCCAGACCCAGGGCACACACCTGCACCACCTAAGATAACACTTATCTTACAAAAACAGTTACATTGTTTTGTTACTTCAACTAGCTGTTTGTAATTAGTATGTTACAGTATTTGTGATGATACCTTCAAAACGGTAAATGTTAGTGGTTTCAATGAAAGACAAACTCAAAGCTTTGAATGACTTCAGAGAATCTTAAACTACTGTAATATAATTATAGATTGGTTTATAACATCAATTTCCATGTACAATAGAATTTCCATGTAAAAACCTTGGTGTATACTAGTGGTTCCCAAACTATCAGTCACGACCCACCAGTACATTAAAATATCTTCAGAATATTCACTGTTTATCATGATTGACTTGATTTAATTTAGAACTAGAAATTTTAAATACCAATTGTTTGGGAAATAGTTGTTCTTAATTTCTTTTGTTATTCATTGTGACCCTTGGTTGGAATATATTATTGATAAAATAGAAGAATTACCTTATCCAACCATAGTTGCTGGTATGACGACTAGTTTCGTTCCTTAGAACTTCGTCAGGTCATTGTATACAACCACATCATCAATGTTTTAATACATTGTGGTATGTCAAAAGATTCTTTAAAACATTGTCAGAATCACCATAGTAAAAACTAGTCATGTTTATCAAATTATTAAAATTGAATAAAAAGTTATAAAACTGGTTAAAACTGTAAAGACTAGCCAGCACTGTCTTAAGTGATGTTGATCAAATTATTAAAATTGAATAAAATGTGATAAAACTGGTTAAAACTGTAAAGGCTGGCCAGCACTGTCTTATCACTTTGTATTCAATTTTAATAATTTGATCAACATGACTAGTTTTTACTATTGTGATTCTGACAATGTTTTAAAGAATCTTTTGACATACCACAATGTATTAATACATTGATGATGTAGTTGCATACAATGACCTGACGAAGTTCTAAGGAACGAAACTAGTCGTCATACCAGCAACTATGGTTGGATAGGGTAATTCTTCTATTTTATCATTTAATTTTTTTGTGTGGATTTGAAAAGGTTTTTTTTTACTTTTTGGGTGACAACAATGCTCTAATATTGTGATCAAGGAAAATGTCTTCAATGTTTTCGCGACTAAACATTTACAGTACCATATTGCCAAAATATGCAAAATGCCAACGTATCCCATTTGTTTTTTGGTCAAATTATTGTGACGTGTAGATCATCATAATGTTGCAACAAACGCTAAAGATGATTACGACACCGTGATCACGTTAGTGCTGCGATTATGGTAAGTTGGGATGGATTTGTGATCACAATACAGTACAGAAAATTTACTTACTGATCAGCTTGTAAACATATAACACATATTTTATGCTCCTAGCTTTTTTGAAATTGAGTGTTTGTATTGTTTGTAACTTAGTTAAATCAACAGGAAGCCTTAGTCAAATTGTCAACAATTAACCACCTTTTAAACACTTCTGACAGTGTTAAAGATTTGTTTATAGCTACATTGTATACAATATACATTGTGGTAGTGAGGACTGTGACTTACCTTGGTGCTAATACCTTGCCCACACTCTATGCCTCCATGGGACACAGCTACAGTCCCATCCACAGCGTAGATGGTCACCATGGCATTGTATCTTCATTGTGACTTCGCCCACAGGGAACGAGCTGGCGTAGTGGTTAGAGCGTAGAACTTTAGTCCCTGAGGTCCCGGGTTCGATCCCCGCCAAGTCACTAATGGATTTTATCCAAGTGATAATGCCGCAACCCCTAGGTCTAGCCTGAAGTAATGTGAAAAACAATCCCAGGCTCGTGCCTAGCGTCCTAGGACGAAAAAAAAAATACCTTGCCCACGCTCTATGCCTCCATGGGACACAGCTACAGTCCCATCCTTGGTGTAAATGGTCACCATGGCGTTGTATCTACACTATACATTGTAGTAGTGAGGAATGTGACTTACCTTTGTGTTAATACCTTGCCCACACTCTATGCCTCCATGGGGCAGAGCTACAGTCCCATCCACAGCGTAGATGGTCACCATGGCGTTGTATCTACACTATACATTGTAGTAGTGAGGACTGTGACTTACCTTTGTGTTAATACCTTGCCCACACTCTATGCCTCCATGGGACACAGCTACAGTCCCATCCACAGCGTAGATGGTCACCATGGCGTTGTATCTACACTATACATTGTAGTAGTGAGGAATGTGACTTACCTTTGTGTTAATACCTTGCCCACACTCTATGCCTCCATGGGACACAGCTACAGTCCCATCCTTGGTGTAAATGGTCACCATGGCGTTGTATCTACACTATACATTGTAGTAGTGAGGACTGTGACTTACCTTTGTGTTAATACCTTGCCCACGCTCTATGCCTCCATGGGACACAGCTACAGTCCCATCCTTGGTGTAAATGGTCACCATGGTGTTGTATCTACACTATACATTGTAGTAGTGAGGACTGTGACTTACCTTTGTGTTAATACCTTGCCCACACTCTATGCCTCCATGGGACACAGCTACAGTCCCATCCTTGGTGTAAATGGTCACCATGGCGTTGTATCTACACTATACATTGTAGTAGTGAGGACTGTGACTTACCTTGGTGTTAATACCTTGCCCACACTCTATGCCTCCATGGGACACAGCTACAGTCCCATCCTTGGTGTAAATGGTCACCATGGCGTTGTATCTACACTATACATTGTAGTAGTGAGGACTGTGACTTACCTTGGTGTTAATACCTTGCCCACACTCTATGCCTCCATGGGACACAGCTACAGTCCCATCCTTGGTGTAAATGGTCACCATGGCGTTGTATCTACACTATACATTGTAGTAGTGAGGACTGTGACTTACCTTGGTGTTAATACCTTGCCCACACTCTATGCCTCCATGGGACACAGCTACAGTCCCATCCTTGGTGTAAATGGTCACCATGGCGTTGTATCTACACTATACATTGTAGTAGTGAGGACTGTGACTTACCTTTGTGTTAATACCTTGCCCACACTCTATGCCTCCATGGGACACAGCTACAGTCCCATCCTTGGTGTAAATGGTCACCATGGCGTTGTATCTACACTATACATTGTAGTAGTGAGGACTGTGACTTACCTTTGTGTTAATACCTTGCCCACACTCTATGCCTCCATGGGAAACAGCTACAGTCCCATCCACAGCGTAGATGGTCACCATGGCGTTGTAGCGACTCGCCAGCATAAGCTTGTAAGTCAGTGGCACTAAACTGATGCCTCGCTTCTTCCATCTGTTCTCCTTAAACATGATAACTGGCTTTGTAAAAAAGTGAAAATATATGTATAAATTAGCATGAATACACTTTAAGTTTATTATAAAATCAGATCTTACACCTGATAACCTTATTCATAAAACATTCAAGCTATGAAAGCCAAGTAAATAATAAATATTAAAAACTCTTACACTGTTGTATTTATTGATTTCCTCCAGTCTAGTATCATAGTCAGTGTGTTTCCTCCAATAGTCCACCATGGAAGGCACAGGATTGGTCTCTGATGGTACCATGTTAGCCAACCTAACACTGACAGGGTCCAGTCCGGTGTTCGTTGCGATGCTGTCCATGATAACTTCTATCGTTCCTATGGCCTCTGTTGAACCTGTGATCATAATTGTAATTACATGCAGAGATATATAACTCTAGGTGAATTATTGACATTTTTGGGCGTAAAAGCAATTGTGGTGTTGTAGTGTACAAACCGCCAACAATTCAGAAATCTTAAATGCTATTTTGGTTGTGATGTTACCTAATTAAAACTATAGTTGTCCTTCGATAAAGTAGGTAATGACAGTGCTCAATTTGTAAAAAATGAGGTACCAGAACCCGTTCTACCGCATTCCCCCGCAAATCGAGCACTGAGTACTGATGTACGGTATGTTACCTGGTGATCTACACCAAGTGTTGGAGGCCTTGTCTGTCTTCACGATGTTTCCTTTCCAGTTCCAGGTGCTAGAGTCGTAAGCACTAGGCAGCCACATCATTGTGCCTTCAACTACAGGGTCATTCTCTGACCAGCCTGCATCCTCAAAGAAGCTGCCTTCCAGGCTAAGTATCTTGCCAGTGGCCTTGTCTACTTCTACCTAAAGCAACACTTTGTTCAATTTTTAATAATTCACCTTAAATCACAGGTACTATTTGATATTTGTAATAAAAGCTAAGCATTTTGTATACATTTTTTGAATGGCACTAAAATATCAGTGGCTTTTTTGGTATTTAATCAATAGGGCAAGTAAAACTAACAGTAGCATTTGCATTCAAAATATTTTGAATTGGTGTGATCTCAACACAGCAATTAGTTATCAAATTTAAAACAAAATTACTGGCCATCAGTTTATCCAGCTAAAACAACAATTATTTTAAAATAAAAGAAGTAATTGGAGTATTTAGAAAAAAAAACCAGCAAATTCAACACACAAATTAATTTTGCAGTTAACAAATAAATTATAATGCTTTTAACAATCAGCTATGAAGAATAAGTTTGAACAGTCCAAATTCAATGACAAGAGATACGATTACATTTTACAATATATCTTCTTATCTCGTTATTATTATAAAAATTATAAAAAAAAACTTCTGTCATTGCAAAAACGAGCTATAAAAACCATGTACAATGTTGATTTTAGTACACACAGTAAACCATTATTTAGGGAGGCTAATATTTTAACTGTACAAGCAATAATGTATATTTTAGACTGCCTTCTGTTTGCAAAAAATAGTCTTAGTAAAACAGACACACATGAATATGTACACAGTTACAACCCACGAAACCGCTGCAATATTATATCTAGACAGTGTCGATACAGGACCACAGCTACTAGTTTTATTGAAAAGTTCAAACAGTATTATAATATGTTACCCTATAGAATAAGATGTTTTAACTGTTCTAAATTTAAAAGAGTACTTAAAAACTACCTATTAAACCTGCGTCTGTATCGAGAAATAGACTTCATAAATGATGTAAAATTAAACTTTAGTTCTAAGACATTTCCTTGACTCTGCCATGCACCAGTGTAACGGCAATAAAGCATTCTCATTTTTATTCTTATTCTTAATATAAACAAATATTAACACTTATACAAAGAGAAATATACTTAAATAGAATAGAAAACCCAAGACATTCATGGTTAATTTCCTTGTTGTTATTGTTTGTCAATACCTTGTAGTTTGTGAGACAGCCATAGCGTTTGCCCATCATAGCCATGTTAGTCTCCAAAGGCAAGGTGAACCTCACAGTTGTATTTGTCAGTTTAGCAGCCACAGCACACAGAGTTGCAACCCATGTGGCCCGGGTCAACTTAGCGCCATATCCTCCACCCAGGCGACGTACCTTCATGTTGATTCTGCACAAGTATTACAACAACCAACTGTTAAAACACAGCCTAACAAATTAATATACCTAATAAATTATAAGAAATTCAATTTTTATTTTCCAAAATATTTTTTCTTATGATGAACAATGTTAAAAGATTCCGATGTTACACTGCAATTTACAATCTGCTGTTTTCATAAATGGGCTATTGAGAAAACTTTTCTGTAAAAACATGGACACAGATAAAATCAAGAAAACTGCTGGCTCTTCACATGCAACGAAAAAAATTTATAAAATTTCAATATCTACAAAGAATAACTTATTGCAATGTTAAAAGAATAGTATTTTAATCATTTAGTATTAATGATGTTAAAAATTATAAATGGCTTTTTTAGACTTGATCTTGTTTTGGTATCTGTAAATTGAAGACAGCTGAATGTGTAAGAACTGCTCACGTTGTAATAGATTGCCGGTTTGATCCTGAAAGCAGTTGGAGAATTTTTTAATGGTTCATCACTAAATTCAGATAGCTGTTGATGAATGCAGGGCTTGCAAAAATTGGTGCAGTTACAGCTTTAAAAATACAAGTTGATCTGATTCAGTAACTCAATAGACAATTGCATCATCCAACACCTACCAGATGATCTCATTGAGTAACTCACTAGACTTTACATCATCCATCACCAAACAGCTAATCTCAGTCAGTCAGTAAGGCTATCACAGCTGAGATGAGGAATATTGATAACATTTCCAAATTTAAAAATAAACTTAAACATTTGTTAACTGATTAAACACTTCATGATTTTGATGAATTGTAGGTTAGTTTGATTTAGTTTTTAGCCTAGTGACACCATTCAATGTATGGGAGAGTATACCATGAATTAGGATATAAAAAATAAAAAAAAAACACCTACCATCTAAACTCAGTCAGTAACTCACTAGACTATCACATCTTATGAAACATACAAGCTGATCTCAGTCAGTAACTCTTTGTCAGTAACTAACCTCTTTGTTGACTTACTTGCTGATGCCGAACCTGACGATCAGAAATGTTATTGTTACTGAATGACGAAAAGGACAATAGGAAAATAAAAGAACAAGATATAGATCTGTACACTATATCAGATATTTCTTTTCTTTACAATTTATTATGTAAAATTAATAAATATATTTTTAATCAGGTAGGGAATAAACAATAAATAATTAAACTAGTACCTTTGGATAAATAGTCTTTCTTTTGACTTTTTTTTGCACTGTTGCGTCACGGTTGTTGTCAGTAGATGACTGGCTCTGGCTGGCGGCAGTGCGGCATTTGCTCCGCTGTGTCTTTATTCTTAAAGGTTGTAAGCAAACTTAATATTTAATTCTCATTGGAACATTTTAATTCCTCTGCAATAATAGATATAATATATGAGTGTTTCTTCAAAAATAAATGATTATTCTTTTTTTGCCCGACCCGATCTTGGCCCTAACAAATCTCTGACCCGCCCCGAAAAATTCGGGGACCCGCAGACCCCTAATATCTGATTAAAAAAGCAAACACAAACTTTTTTCTGGCTACTTAACTTTCTTAAGTATCAGGTTACTATCTCTAGATTTATTCAGTGTTTAGTAAAAATGAAAAATTACAATTATATGTTGAGTTTTGTTTCAGTGTACCTGTGAGCAGGAATGGACAATACTCTAGACACAGCATTGTGCACATGTTCCATCCACTGGGTGCTGGAATACACGTCCATGCCATCCTCCACTGGGACACACACACAGGTCTGCAGCTCCATGGTCATGTGGTATTGCTCATGCAGATCTACTGAGCCTTTCACTGTCACTCTCTCTGTCCCTCCTGCCACCTCTACAAACATTAAATCAGAAGGGCACATTTAATCCAGCACATTTGGGACTTGAGGTTTTTATGAGAAAATAACATAATTTACAATTTAAAGGGACTGCTCTTTAAAAATGGCTATCATTGGAAAATAGTGTAGATACACAACACACACATGCAAAATACCACCTCTGTTAAACCAGTTATTTGGTATAAACAGTATGATTCTGCTGCTCCACATACCTCACTAGCATGAAATGCCTCCATGTGACTTTTCAAGAATGAAGTGATATGAAAGGCCAACAATTTGACAATGCTGAAAAGGTTAGAAAGAAAACAAGACCATACAGAAAAAAGCTAGACGTAGTGTCTTTTTCACATTTGCAAGACAAATTACCGGTCTTAATTGATTATGCTGAAGTAGGAGTGCTGCCGCAGAAATTTATTACAAATGAAATGATTCTGGCGGCATTAAGAACAAGCACATTAAAATATTGATGTTTTATTTCACCCTTCTCTTGTCTAAGACTAGACCAGATCGCAATATTTTTGGATTCCATATTTCATCAGTCTTTCAATAGAGTTTCTTACACCAATTTAGTTCTTAGACCAAAATTACAATTTTCATTAATAACTAATACATTTAGTCACCGAAAAACATTGATATTTCGATAGTTAGCCAAAAACATTGATGTTCTTCAAAAACATCAATGTAAAAAAACATCAGTACCCTACCATTGATGTACAAAACATAAAACATCGATAGAAAAACGTCAATATTTAAAAAAACATCAACTATTGATGCTCATCTCTACTTCTGAGCACTCCAGGGGTTCTACTAGTATTTGCTGGTTCTAGGGTAGACCTAGGGTTTTGTGAATACAATCTTATTCCCCCCTAGAATTTACGTCACACAAGAATACAAAAACGAATATGAATTGACCATTTTCCTTAAGTCTTGTAATTTACAAAAAAAAAAAAAAAACCTGATAGACAAATGGATACATACAATGGATTCCAAACTGATGGACCTTAGAGTGGTTGAAAAACAACAATAATTGACAACACGATATTTCTCAAAAGGGTTGTAAGTTTTATCATTTATTTAAGATGGGGACGCCACCATGTGCGTATTTTAACCCAAATATGAGTGAAGGATGAGTGTAGGATGAGTGGCGCGATCTTGTAGTCTTGTTAGTGACTAATATAATTCAGTGTTGTGTTGTGTTTGTAAGAAAATAAAAGAGTTTATAACAATTTATTCTTTTATTAACTTTAATTTCACCAACATAAAGAAGTGATGATTTGTGTCTTCTGATATTCCAACTTGTTATGTATGCTGAAATACTGTTCTTTAATTTAATTCAATCAGATGTTTTCATGAAAACAATATTTGTTTACTTGTTACTTTTGTTATAAATGTTTGACAATAAAAGATTCTTCATTCATATATTTTATTCTATTTAAAAGTAATAACGTTACATAATGGCGCTGCACGGACATGAGGAATATGACAATGACGACACATCATCTACATTAACAGTGGAACAACCTACTACACATAGTTTAACTCATTTCAAGTTCGAGAAGTTTGATGCTACCAAAGAAACATGGAAGTACTACTACCAAAGGTTTGAGTTGGAAATAATCATTTGTGGGTTACAACACAATCAAGAAGCTAAGAGAATTTTACTTCTGAAATGGATTGGTGCTGAACATTATAGAATTGTGGTTGATAACTTTTATCCAACACCTATTTTAACAGTAGATTACGAGGAAATTTTTGAGTTTATTTCAAATTTTTATAAACCAAAAACATCCTATTTGGCCGAAAGACTAAAATTTGGAAAAATCATGAAGAACAAAGATCAATCAATACGCATATTTGTAAACAATTTGAGAGCTGGTGCGACGGAATGTGAGTTTAAAGATACACTTGACGAAAGACTGCGAGACCAGTTCTTATTGGGTTTAAATGATCCTAAAATGCAAGAAGAGCTCATCAGAAAACATCCTGAGGAAAAAGCAAAACTTGTCGACATCGTTAAAGACGCCTACCTCATGGAAATGGCACATTCTCAACAACAACAAATAGAAACACTTGGGACATTTTCATGTGACGCACAGGTAAATAAGGTAGGGGCTACACGAACTACTAAACCGTTACACAAAAGGGACAGTACTAGAATCAGCTTGAATCCTGTGTCACAGTGTTTGAGGTGTGGTTTTGCAAAACATAAAACAGGTGAGTATTGCAAGGCAATGAATATTCAATGTAGAGCTTGTGGGAAAATGGGGCATTTTGAACGAGTTTGTCTGAAATCCAATAATGTGGTTATCGAGAAAAATCTTTCAAGACGTTATGTCAAACAGATTGGTAAGTTTGCTGGTTGTAACACTGTTTACAAGGGATGAGATCACCTGGGAAGGCTGTTGGTGTCATCTCAGCTTGTAAGATGATGCGGGCCTCATCATTACGTTCAATCACATTCTTCATGTCTATGGCAGGTGTTTCAACATTGCAGTACTTGACAACAACTTTGGAAGCTGCCTTGAGAGCCAATTTATGAGTCTTGGCTACAATTATCCCCACAGGCTGCCCATGATACAACACTTTCCCATCACAGAGCACCTACGACATTTGTTGCAACTATTATAGCTCACTCTATTAGGATATTGTATCTAGATATACTATATTAAATAATATATAATTTTCCTCACTAAACTCATTTAGGGTGATAAATTACAAAAATATACATCTCTATAAAAATAAATTAAATATAAAGCTTGTATAAAAGACAAATCTAACATTTAAAAAGAATCACATTATTTTGTATTGCAGCTGAAGACCAAATATAACCTCAAGACTTACACCAAACTTGATTAAATGGTGTAAAAAGGATCAAATTAATTAACTATTAAAGTATACCCTTATTGTAAAAAAAAACTTTCTTGCTACTTCTCTTTTTATTAAAGCTGTGTTTCTACTTACAGGTTCATCATCAGGAAAGCCAGTAGTAAAACTGTTCACTCCAGGAATGTCTTTGGCCGTATAAAAGGCCATCACTCCCGGCATTTGCTGAAAAATAAGATAACTAAGTATAAGATATGTTGACCGCATTTAAAAAATGAGACAGCTCTGCATAAACAAATTAACAGTAAACTTAAAAACTAAATTAGTGGGTGGGATTTGTGCGACTATTTTGTAAATAAAGGAAATAATAAATTTGGCAATATTAAACAATAGCCTACATTAACTATGTCTGCAAAAATCTTTAAAAACAGAAACATGTTTGTAACATGTAAGCAAATTTTTAAAAACAATTGAGGTAAAGGAAGACATAATATCAATATAATATATAGTCCCGGGGGCCAGGGCATTGCTCGTTGTGTTTCAATTGTTCCAGACGTTAACAAGAATAAGCATAGACCTAAGTATATGAACAACCTCCATAATGTTATAAAATAGACGTTAGCAAGAATAAGCATAGGCCTACGTATATGAACAACCTCCATAATGTTATAAAATATAGTCTAAAGTATGTGATAAAACAAATGATATAATAACATTTTATCGTGCTCAAGTATTGGTGCTATTTGTAAAACATTTTGTGCACGACCTTGTTGTGTCAAGTCATTGAAAACCATTGTAGGCCTAGTTAAACACAAACTAGGCAAAATATACAAATCTACAGCAAAATATACCAAGATAAAAAATCATAATTTAAAAATACTATCATTATAGTATTGTCATTTTTTAAAGCTGAGCCATTGTATGTTAGGCTATAATAGTAAATCTATTATTTTATTGGTTATTGGCCAATATTTAACATCAGGTTTCCTCTACCAATTAGTTGACTAATCTGTTAGTTACATACAGTTTTGTGCTGGGCCCAACTAAGAAAATGTCATTTTTATTCAATTAGCTGAAGTAATGAATTCCACAGTTCGCTATTTTAGTTATCAGAAAAAGCATTCTCAGTTTAAGAAACAAAATTTATGATTACTGTAATATTGCTTGACAAAAGTATGCAATTTTTATATATTACGGATTAAATAATCAGAAAATTAAAAACTAATCCTTAAACCTGCAATTTATCAACAACTTCTTAAAAATAGTGATATGTCGATACAAAAATTTATCGAATCTCCGTACCGACACCTGAAAAATAGATTCTTAATACTGATAATTTTAATTTTATCAAATTTTCTGTAAGGATTACTACACCAACCCCTGGCTTAATGTACTTTCATATAGTATGTAATTTTGGAGTAATGGGTTGTTTTTTCAAGTGGCCTACAGAAATAATTAATGCAGAAATTACAAAGATTTCACATAGCCAATTTGAGTTTTAAACCCTTCTAAACCCATTAAATAAATGCCACGTTAAAGGTAAATGAAGCTACTACAATAAATAAATATAAAAATAAAACTTTCATTTTTATTTCTCCATTTTGAAATTTTTTGGCCAAGCCAAACTCAAGGTTATGAATGAATGAATGAATGAAACAATGCTTTATTTACATGATCTAAGTACAAGTTTTACAATACATTTCCATAGTATAACCAGTTCATGATTCACACAGCAGGCTCGCATTTTTCCAACTTGACATAACCGGCAAGTCAGCCAGGTTGGCAAACACATTGTAAATCTATATCTATAAAAGAGGAACTATGTATGTATATATATGTGTATATACGTTATGGACTCCGAAACCGCTCGACAGATTGTAATGAAACTTTCAGGCATTATTAAGCATCTTTCAAGGATGGTTCGAGTGAAGTTTGGTGCAGATCCGTCAAAAGGGCTCTGCCCCAGAGGGTTTTAAGTGGGCCAATGTCAGACTTTTTGATCTAGAATGTTTACAAATAAATATAATTTAAAAGCAGATGTTTACTTTCACCAACTGTTTTGTACGTTTGAATAACTACAACATTCTGTATTAGCATTAGTCATGATTTGAAATAGTGCCACAGTGTTTCTACAGATTGCAGCACAGAAAACTATTTTACTTTTGAATAAGTCCAAATGTATTAAACCCCAATCGCAGCACACCTGTGCACTTAACAACGTTTAAATTCTCCAATGTTAAATATTAAAACATAAAAACCTTTATAAAAGTACTGTATTATAAACAATAAAAGGGATCAACCAAAAGGTGAGTGAGCGTAGCGAACGAACATCAACCTGGAGGCGAGTAAGCGTAGCGAACGAGCTAACCTGAAAACAAGTGAGCGCAGCGAACGATTTCCAACCTGAAGGTGAGTGAGCGTAGCGAACGAACTTCAACCAGGACGTGATTGAGCCATGCGAATACTTATGAAGTTAAGCGGGGCAAAGCCCGCGGGTACAGCTAGTACTAGATAAAACAAGTACAGTACATTTGTATACATTCAAATTACCTTTCTGATGTACCATTAGGCCTATTTCAATTAAAAACATTTTTTTTTATTTATTTTTTTATGTTTTTTTTTTAATTCCATACATTTATACATATATTTGTAACTTATAAATTTTTTTAAACTAGAGAGTGCTCAGAGCTTGAGTAAACTCAAGGTTATATCTAGATCATCTACCACTGTTGTAGAGACACCATCATCGTTTTCCACGATAACTGCAAAATGCTGAATATCTCCCTCAGAAACAGAAACAGTTTTTTTTTATTTTTTTTTTTATGGGGAGGAGGTAAAAATGCATTTTTAACTAAACTATAATGCTATAATGCATCTTATGGACATGGTAAAAATGCACTGAGGCTCAATGGCCACTCAGTAGTGCCGGACTCCCGCGGGCTCATTGTCCCCGGACTACCGGCTAAAAAACCCCCTCGTCTCCTAGGACACCCCCAAAGCAGAATGGTTCCTACGTGTCTGCAACGGCCTGTGAAAACCTCAAAATGTGTCCGCAAGCGCTAAAACTAAAAAGCTAAATAATGACTTATATACCGGTATATATACAGGGTGTCCCGTAACTCTCTGGACACTTGTATATAGCGTTATTCCTTAGGTCAAGACAAACACATTTCACCATAGGAACATGGGTCTGTGGTGTCTAGTTTACCGACTGTCGGTATTTATGTATTTTTTACAAAAAAACTAATAACTCCTAAACGGTTTGAGATACAGCTTTGATATTTTGCAAAAATGTTAATCTTATTAAGACCTATTATCGTTAGAAATTATACTAAAAAATCATTAACCGTTTCAAAATGGCGGCCATTTAAAATATTTGATGCCAAATTTCACGAAAACCGTTAACTTTACAAAAAAATTGCAAGAGACAAAAAAGTTTGTAAATTTTATGTAGTTTTCAATGATACCTGATTTGTTAAGATTGGATAAATAATAACAGAGAAATGTCTTCTTTTCTAAACGCGTGACCACTTTTCTCAATTTAAACAATGCTAAACAACGTAAAAGGAGTATTAGTATTGTTTAAATGGAGAAAAGTGGTCATACATTTAGAAAACAACACGTTTCTCTGTTATTATTTATCCAATCTTAACAAATTAGGTATCATTGAAAACTACATAAAATTTACAAACTTTTTTGTCTCTTGCAATTTTTTTGTAAAGTTAACGGTTTTCGTGAAATTTGGCATCAAATATTTTCAATGACCGCCATTTTGAAACGGTTAATGATTTTTTAGTATAATTTCTAACGATAATAGGTCTTAATAAGATTAACATTTTTGCAAAATATCAAAGCTGTATCTCAAACCGTTTAGGAGTTATTAGTTTTTGTTGTAAAAAACACATAAATACCGACAGTCGGTAAACTAGACACCACAGACCCATGTTCCTATGGTGAAATGTGTTCGTCTTGACCTAAGGAATAACGCTATATACAAGTGTCCAGAGAGTTACGGGACACCCTGTATATATATATATTCACTCTTTAGGGCTACTAGTAATATAGTTAAATAAAATAAGTAAATTTCAATAACTTGTATAGCCTACTTTTAAAACAAAAAACTAAAAAACTATTAAGGGGTAGGCATAATCAGGTTATTTAAATTTACTTTTTTTTAAATACGTATATATATACACATACCTTAACAAGTGTTAACAAGGTCTTCAGAAGTAAAACTTTAAATGTACTATAGTTTCTTTATATAAACACACTAGGGATGGACGGGATTGAAATTTTAGTTCGGTACGGGACGGGACGGAATTTTTATTTCCTTTCCGATTTTTGGGACGGGATGGGACAGGATTTTTTTCTGTGCATAAAAAAGTACTGTATTGCAGTTACCAAAAAAGACATACGAAATCAATTTTTACCATTTGTGGCACTGATCTACAAAAACCAAAAAATGGGTAACAATTTACAGGTACCTATAGAAACTTGTGACTCGCGGGTCACGGGGTGATCGTCTGTAGAACTCACGGTCACGGCGCGATCGTCGTCATGACTCGCAGTCACGGCGCGATCGTCGGTATGACTCCGCGGTCACGGGGTTATCGTCGGTATGACTCCACGGTCACGGTGCGATCGTCGTCATGACTCGCGGTCACGGCGCGATCGTCGGTATGACTCGCGGTCACGGCTCGATCGTCAGCATGACTCCGCCATCACGGCATGATCGTCAGTATGACTCCACGGTCACGGCGCGATCGTCGGTATGACTCCGCGGTCACGGGGTTATCGTCGGTATGACTCCACGGTCATGGTGCGATCGTCGTCATGACTCGCGGTCACGGCTCGATCGTCAGCATGACTCCGCCATCACGGCGCGATCGTCAGTATGACTCCGCGGTCACGGCGCGATCGTCAGTATGACTCCGCGGTCACGGCGCGATCGTCGGTAGGACTCTGCGGTTACTGCGCGATCGTCGGTAGGACTCTGCGGTTACTGCGCGATCGTCGGTAGGACTCCGCGGTCACGGGGTTATCGTCGGTATGACTCCACGGTCACGGCGCGATCGTCGGTATGACTCCGCGGTCACGGGGTTATCGTCGGTATGACTCCACGGTCACGGTGCGATCGTCGTCATGACTCGCGGTCACGGCGCGATCGTCGGTATGACTCGCGGTCACGGCTCGATCGTCAGCATGACTCCGCCATCACGGCATGATCGTCAGTATGACTCCGCGGTCACGGCGCGATCGTCGGTAGGACTCTGCGGTCACGGCGTGATCGTCGGTATGACTCGTGGTCACAGCGTGATCGTCGGTAGGACTTCGCGGTCACGGCGCGATCGTCGTTATGACTCCGCGGTCACGGCGTGACTGTCGGTATGACTCCGCGGTCACAGCCCGATCGTCGTTATGACTCGCGGTCACGGTACGATCGTCGGTCCAATAATCGCGGCCACGGCGCGATCGTCGTTATGACTCCGTAAATGTGTCCGCAGGCCCGCGTTTCTCGGCGTTTCGTGTCCGCGATAATGTCGCAGCGTCGCTCGTTGTTCTGCTTTGGGGTAGGACACTAGCCTGGAACTGTTTCGCACATTACTTCGGGCTAGGCCTTTTATACTACGCCCCTAGGGCTTTCCTTCTGGTTTCCTCAGAAAACTAAGGCCGATCGAGGTCGACCTTCTTATCCCGAAGTATGGCTTCGACGAACTGCTTTACACAGTTCCAGTTTCCTTCCCCCTGTATCATAGCTCCAACGATGTTGTCGGGAGTAATGTCGACGCCGATCTCGGAGATCAAGGAGGCTCGGCGGACATGCCACCTGTCGCAGAAGAAGAAGGTATGCTCAGCCGTGTCTGCAATGCCTGGACAGTACATACAGTCCGAGCTGGCAGCCCTCCCCATTCTGTGCAAAAAGGCCCGAAAGTACCCGTGACCCGAAAAAAATTGAGTCAAGTAGTACCCAACCTCACCATGCTCCCGTTCCACCCATGGTCGGATGCTAGGAATGAGCCTGGCGGTCCAACGTCCCCGAGACTCGGCTTCCCATTCACGCTGCCAGCGGTCGAAACTGCATTTGCGTTCTTCTCTGGCTGCAGTCTCTCTATCTACTTCAGGTCTCCTGCGGTAGATCGCCTGTCGCTCCCTCGCGAGATGAAAGACGGGGATGACACTGGCTCGGAAACCGTGCGGTAAGCGGAAGCAACTCGCAAGGCACCTCGACGCTGAACACGGGAGAGCCTGTCACGGAAGACACGCCTCTCCAGCACGTGGGCCCAGATTTCAGCGCCGTACAAGAGTACTGATTGGACGGCAGACATCAGTAGGCGGCGTTTGCAGGAGCGGGGGCCGCCGACGTTTGGCATAAGCCTACTAAGGGCAACAAATCCCTTAGCGGCTTTGTCAACAGTTTGCTTTATCTGCTCGCCGAAAGACATTTTGCTGTCAATCATAACACCAAGGTATTTGGCATACGGCTTGGTCTCCAATTGGGCATGGCCTACTTGCAAAGGAAGGACGGTGGGAATTCTTTTCTTGGTTAGGATCACGATCTCTGTTTTTTCAACCGCCAACGATAAGCCGTGGTCCCGCATCCACTCGTTGACACGGAGCATCACTATACCAAGTTTAAGCTCTGCTTCTTCAACGGTTCTGCCTGCAACCAGAGCAGCGACGTCGTCGGCGTAGCCAACGAGGCGGGTCTCGTCTGGCATTTCGAGTCTAAGCAGACTGTCGTAAGACACGTTCCAGAGATCAGGTCCAAGGATCGATCCCTGTGCAGCCCCAGAAGTGACAGAGATCCGACGCTGACCTTCGCTGGTGTCAAAGAGCAGGACGCGGTCTGAAAGGTAGGACTCAATCATTCGCAATATGTAAGGAGGGACGCGGAATGTGTGCTCGAGCGCCTGTAGCATGTCACTCCACCTGGCGGAGTTGAACGCATTCTTCACGTCAAGAGTGACGAGGAGAACTAAGCGGCGCGACCAATGACTGTGGTTCTCCGCACTCCGCACTGCCCCAAACAGAAACAGTAACAGTACCACTGTCTTCCGTGGTAGTGACAAAATCAAAAATCCTGATATTGTTCAGCGGTAACGGAAACATTATAATTGTCTTCCGCAATCACAAAAAGTTATCATCTTCCGCGATTGTAGCTTAATTCTAATAATTTCCCACAGTCATCATAGTCAAGCAATAGTTTATGGACATCATCATCATTTCCTGCGGTCATGGAAACGTCATCGTCGTCATGCGCGATCGCAGCAAAATCATTAAAAAATCCCGCGGCCATCTGGAGTTTGGACATCATCATCGTCTCCCACGGTCACGGAAACGTCATCATTGTCTCTGGCGGTCATGGAAACGACTTCGGTTTTCCCGGTCGGTGGACACCCTGTATACATATATATATATATATTTTAGAATTTTTTTGACAGTTGCATTTAAATAACAATACACATGATATTTTATAATAATATTTTATAATCGTGAAACAACGTGCCCATTCCGACGGTCCATTGTTGAAAACTACAAAACGGCCTTGGCTTTTCCTCAAGAGTTTTAGTTCAACATTTGTTTATAATCTTTATTGGTAAAATACTCAACAGCTTTGAACAGTCAAAATTATCCCATTGCTTGGTAAAACACCCCAAGTGTATTCAATAACCAGTGTTAAATGGTATTAATTGAAAGGGCCTTTTCTGATGTACTGTATTTATTTTGTAATTTGCTACTGTACTGTGTAGATGATTTGCTAGAAAAAAATAATTCAATGTAGCGGTGTTGGATTATTAAATTTTAATTATTTCTCAATGCATCCCGACTTGCAAGGCGTGTAAATAATCATTATATTTTGTTATACAAAGTACAAACCAGTGCTTGAGAGGAGTCCACAGCAGAGATAGTTCCTTTACCAACGGTTGTCAGCACCACAGCTCCATGCAACTCTCCAGGGAACTGAGGGATATCTGCAACATACTGGGCTTCCCCTGGCATAACACAAACAAAAGACAATTATCAATTACTGTATTGAGATGAGGACGCCACCTGGGTGCGTATTTTAACCCAAATATGAGTGAAGGATGGGTTAATAAGTTTTGTTTTAACATTTTTTAACGACACAACATGTGTTTAAATTAGTCCTTGGAATCTATCATTGATTTGGATACTGCAAGCACAAGTGTTATTTGCATCCTACAGTAGAACCCCTCATATCCGACCTCAGAATATCCGATTCCTCGTTATATCAAACCTAGTGTCCGACCGTATACTTGTTTCCTGTCAGGAGCGATAGCGCTGAGCGCGATTGGTTAATGGAAAGGCCGATCGCCCATGTTGCTGTAATCGCGGCAGACCATCACCACTGTCGCGAATAACAGGTGTTGCTGCTGTTCCGGGAGACTGTTCGGGAGACCGAAATCGGAGAATGTGAAATTTACGCTCACGGGTGTTGCCGCTGTTGCGGAAGATAATTACCAAATTTGGAGCTGACGGCTTTTGCTGCGGTTGCGGGAGGCGATTACAGATATTGCGGAGACAGTAGGTTATGCTCCTCCTGATATCTGACCTTTTGGTGTTTCGACCATGGCCCGGTCCCGTTATTTATTTATTTATTTATTTATTTATTTTATTTTCAATGCTACAAAACAGCACATGCCAATTACTTTGTAGCATTAATCAAATAACAGGAATGTTAACATGATATTACAATTAATAATAACACAACTAGGTAAAAAAATGTCCGTCTTCAATGGTGACAGTTTCACTCAAAATATAAATAAAGAATATAAAATATAAATAAGAATAAGAATATAAATAAGAATGACAATATAAAATTTAAATATACAGTAACAAGAGAATTTATACTAACTAAAATAATACTGATGGTCATGAATCAAATATAATAAATATAATATAAATATATAACAAATAAATATGTACTATTTAGAAAAATTATAAATTAACGCTGATAAGAAAGTTTGAATTCATTTAACAAACAGACATTTAACCGTTTTAGTGATAAATGAAATATATCAAATTGATAGGAATAGAAGTGCGAGACATAATATTTAGTGGAGAATTGAATCCAAGATTGGTACGAGAGTAACGAGGGGTAAATACAAGAGTGCTGCGTGAATTGTGTCGTGGAACGTGAAAATTGATTTGTCCCAGCAAGTCACTATCGTCCAGAACACCGCTCACCAGTTTATGGAGATAAGATAAGGCGGCCAACTTCCTTCTGTCACTGAGACTAGTAATATCAAACATGGTCAAGAGCTGGTGGTATGAGATGTTGAATGTATAGTGACCGAATGTTTTAAAATACATAAATCTTAAAAATCTTTTTTGAATCGCCTCAATCATGTCTACAAGGTAAAGCTGATGAGGATACCATACAACTGATGCATATTCTAATCTTGAGCGCACCAATGAACAAAATAATAATTTTACTGAGTTTAAATTTCTTAAAAAGCTGCAAGATCTATGAATGAAACCTAATACTGAATAAGCTGCCTTACAAGTGTTCATCACGTGTTCTGCAAATAGAAATTTACTATCGAAAACAACACCAAGATCTTTAAATGCTGACTTTCTACATAAGACAACACCATCCATTGAATAAGGAAAATTTACAATAGTTTGTGTAGTTTTCCTTGTATAACTCATAACAGCACATTTTTTAACATTAAATAATATATTTTCTTTACTCCAAGCAATTAGTTCATCAATATCAGTTTGTAGCTGTTGAGAATCCAAGATTGTGTTAATATTTTTGAAAATTTTTAAATCGTCAGCGTACATTAAAATTTTACTATGTTTTACACACCTGGTTATATCATTTATAAATACTATGAATAATAAAGGCCCTAAATTTGAACCTTGGGGGACACCTGAGTCCACCAGAAATGTGTTGGAGCATGCACCATTGTATGTTACATACTGTTTACGTTTGTATAAATATGAAGAAAATAATCTTAATGTGTTCTCAGATAGGCCATAGTAATGCAGCTTAGACAATAACACTAAGTGATTAACTCTATCAAATGCTTTTTCAAAATCGGTGTACACACAATCAACTTGAATGTTCTGATCAATAGAATTTATAACGTACTGTGAAAATTTTATTAAATTCGAATTAATTGATCGGCCCGGAAAAAAACCATGTTGATGAGGAGTGATAAAATTTGATACATGACCGAGCAATCTGTTGTATAATATGCACTCAAAGACCTTAGCTGGAGAAGATACAACTGCAATTGGTCTGTGGTTTTTTATGTCATTTTGAACACCTTTTTTTGGAATTGGTACTACTTTTGCAATCTTCCAAATATCTGGAAAACAGTTATTCTTCAATGAGAGGTTGAAAATGAAGTGAAGTGGTTTGACTAAAACATCAGCACAGCCCTTTAATAAATAAGGTGGAATGTTATCTGCACCTAATGACCTTTTTGATTTAAATTTTTTCAAAGCATTTAAAACTTCTACTTCACCAATCTCAGAAATAATCAATGAATTGACATTCTCCAAAACTGGCGAACAAAGCGCCTGGTTTACAAGGTCGTCAAGGTCAAGGTCGTTGGGTTGGTAAACAGATTGAAAGTAATTAGCCAGTGCCTCAGCTATCATATCATTTCCCTCAATTTCCTTATCTTCATATTGCATAGTTCGTGGACCTTTATCACTTGCTCCTCTCAACTTCTTTATAACACCCCAAAATGATTGTGGGTTATTAGACAAGTTCATTTCGATATTTGTAATATATGCATCATAATCTGTCTTTATTCTCAATTTTATTTCAGAACGTAATTGTTTGTACTGATCTCGAAGATGATTCATTTGAAATTTTTTTAAACGTTTGCGAACTTTTTCTTTATTTTTTATCATTAATTTTAATTCGGGCGAGAACCAAGAGGGATGTTTGGGTCGGTATTTGAGGCGTCTTGCTGGAACGTGTGTGTGAAGAATTGTATGTATTTTGCTGTAAAAAATTTCCAAAGTGCTATTTAAATCATCACACTGAAACATTTCAGACCAGTCGCAGTCCCGGATGTCACAGTAAACTCTAAGAAAATCTGCCTTTGTAAAATCGTATGTGTGTGTGTGTAGTGTGTCGGCACTGAGGTCTGTATCCCCCCCTCTCACCCCCCGTACCATCTGGAATTCACATAACAGCGCGGGGTGATAACCATCAATATTTACAATAGGATTAGATTCTTCAACAACAGTCAAATTATTTATATCACTTAAAACTAGATCTAAAGTCCTACCAGTTACATTTAATATATTATTTTTTGACACCAAATTATGTAAACTACAATAATACATTAATTGTTTGCAAGTCTCATTTCCCTTAGATAAATCATATCCAGACCCTACAATATGCTGATTAAAATCCCCTATTACTATTATATGTTCTTGTCTACGTACAAATAAATCCAACTTATCAAAAAATGATTTGTAAGAACTAACATGCGAGTTTGGTGGAAAGTAAACTACAGCTAATATCACAGAAAAAGTTTTAGTAAATTTTAAACTAGCCCAAATATTATCTCCATCCGTTTCTAATTCAACTAATCTCTGGATATTAATAGATTCATCTACTGCTAACAGAACCCCACCACCCCTACTCTTCCCTGTTATGGTTGGATACTATTATGTTATGGTTGGATATGAGGGGTTCTACTGTATGTTAAATCTGGAGCCTTTTACAACCTGTGTTTCACACGTGCTTTGATGTTAGTAAAATATTTACTTTTATAGTAGCTTAACTTGCCCTTGAGATTATTTTTATACATTGCAATTAATTTATTGGCTGTGATTTATTATTATTGGCACTCAAAGGGTTATTACACGAAATGTCCATTTTTAACCAAAATAAAAGCGAAAAGAAAAAGCTATGCCCCTCTCCTCTATTATGCCCTACTAACATTAATTTAGTTGGTTTATTTTGTGAAACTTTTTCCTGTTTCTTTCAAGTTCAAAAAATCTAAAATAACTTAAAATAAATTTAACACGTTCGCTACTGCAATAGTACGAAATTTTTCATTCACATTGACCAGCTACGCACATATGCGACGGCCGGTTTCCACCCATAGACGGCTAGTCACATTAAAATAGACTGCCATCGCATATTTGCGTCAGGATTCTAATGTTATTAAAACGCTTATATCTTTATAACGGTCTATTTGAAGGCACTGAATTCCCTGCAGTGGTTTACAGAGATGTCTGACGCACAACTGCGTCACTTGGTCTGTGGATATGATGATTGGTGATGTCATATGATAATTGGAAAAACTGGTCTTTACTTTTCTGCATCACTGTATGTATGTATGCAGTATGTATGCTGCATTATCCTATGTAGCTTTTATATTTGTCCAGTTATAAACTGTTCTTGAATAATCAGTTTTTTTTTTTTTTTACTTACTTTCACCTCAAAATACAAACAAAAATGCACTGTCACATATATGCGACGTTTGGTCTATTTTAAGAAAACTATGATAGTTTTCACTATTGTATTCGCTGTAGACTGGGCGTCGCAAATATGCGACATTACAAAAGGTTATAAAAAATACAAAATACCCCCGCCGCAGCAAACCTGCCGACTAAGCGAATTTCCATTTGTCTGAATTGATTTTCAGTTAAATATTTTATAACATTAGGTTTAACGAGTACCTAGGTTTGCTGCTACAAGGAAACTAATAAAGTGTGTTTTTGAGTAAAATATTGATAGCTTAGTACAAAATAAATAAATTTGCCAAGTTTGATCAAAATATATCCATAAACAAGCAAACTACAACATTTGACAATATTCTCCATAAGAATAACATGGGAATTTTAAATTTACAATTTTTTTAATTTTCTCCGTTGCTAATAATCGAACAAAAATACTTTTATATACTAAATTTAGGGATGGACGGGTCCCGAAATTTCGGGAATTTTTCGGGAAAAAAATATTCCCGATTATCGGGACGGGATTACATTTGATTCGGGAATTTTTCGGGACGGGATTTGGTCCGATCGCCGGCGATTTAGCCGCTTCGCGAGTGCCGATGACGCCGCTATTGCGAGCGATAGGTCCGCGAACGCAGGAGACGAAGTCGTTTCGACGATTGCGCCGTGACCACGGAATCATAACGCAATCGTGCCGTGACCACGGAGTCATACCGACGATCACGCCATGACCGCGGAGACATACCGGCGATCGCGCCGTGACCTCGGAGTCATACCGACGATCACGCCGTGACCACGGAGTCATACCAACGATCACGCCGTGACTGCGGAGTCATACCGACGATCACGCCTTGACCACGGAGTCATACCGACGATCGCGCCGTGACCGCGGAGCCATACCGACGATCACGCCGTGACCGCGGAGTCATACCGACGATCACGCCGTGACCACGCAGTCATACCGACGATCACGCCGTGACCGCGGAGTCATACCGACGATCATGCCGTGACCGCGGAGTCGTACCGACGATCACGCCGTGACTGCGGAGTCATACCGACGATCACGCCGTGACCGCGGAGCCATATCGACGCTCACGCCGTGACCGCGGAGTCATACTGACGATCACGCCGTGACCGCGGAGTCATACCGACGATCACCCCGTGACCGCGGAGTCATACCGACGATCATGCCGTGACCGCGAGTCATACCGACGATCACCTCGTGACCGCGGAGTCATACCGACGATCGCACCGTGACCGTGAGTCATACCGACGATCATGCCGTGACCGCGAGTCATACCGACGATCACCCCGTTACTGCCGTCATTTTGACGATCGCACCGTGACCGCGAGTCACAAGTTTCTATAGGTACCTGAAAAATTGTTACCCATTTTTTGGTTTTTATAGATCAGTGCCACAAACGGTAAAGATTGATTTCGTATGCCTTTTTTGGTAACTGCAATACTCAAGAATTTCTTTTTATGCACCGAAAAAAATCCCGTCCCGTCCCGTCCCGAACTAAAAATTCAATCCCGTCTATCCCTAACTAAATTATTTGTTTTTTTAAGCTCTTTAAAAAGGTCTAAAGAGAAATCGGGAAATTTTGTGTTTTGAGGGTCAAAAGTGAGAAAAACCAATTTTTACCCCATAAAACCCCCCGTAAAGCCCCGTTCCCATGGTCCGATCGTGCTGGTTCGCGAACTCATTCAAGTTTATCCCGCTTTACACCTTTAAACCAAATTTCATCAAAATCGGACAAAAATTACTCAAGTTAAGTTATCGCGTTCACGGACGTATATATATATATATAAGTCTATATATATATACATATATAAAAATTTGAACGAATGGTGTTTTTGGCCTCTGGGGACATCAAAATGAAAAAGTAAATCGGTCCCGGGTCTAGGTCTTACCGTGCCACCTACGGTAATAGCTACTTCCCTATAGGGAAATTCGCTAAAAACAAGAATAAATTATTTACAAACACAATTGTAGCGTATTACGATGTAAATGATCACTGTTTTACAGGTTTTCGCCCGTGGTCTGTGTGTACTGTTATCCAAGTGACAGCCGGTCTATGTGTAAGATCCAAATGTATACCTCGGTCTGTGGCAATGACCGCGGTGTCGCATATATGCGACGCTCAGTAGCGAACGTGTTAAGAAATAAGTTATTTCTACTAAACAATTTTTTTTTTACCAGAGCACTGATATAAAGCTTCTACTTTTGGAATCGGTTTGTTGACAGGCCAAACAGATTTATCAGTGTCAAAGTCTCGTTTAGAAGAAGAAACTGGACGAGTGAGTATTGTGGCACCACTGCGATACTGAGGCGCCACTGTCTCTGGACTAAGACCCAGCATAGTCTGAAACAGAAAGGGTAATGTGGTTAAGCAAACAGAGACTGAAACCAACATAGTCTACACAAGAATGTGTACTATGTAGTGATGGGCCGATTCCAGAATTGGTTTATTCCGATACTGATTCCAGAACTTTGGTTCAGATTCTCCATTCTGCACTCGATACCGATACCTGTTATAAATTCATTTGATAACACATATATATGTGCTTCTCGCTATTACTATAAATAAGGAGGAGCATATTATTTTTATTTAGTTTTCATACAATAAAATAACTACATTGCTAGATTAAGGTTACATAGATTAGGTTAGCCTATAAAGAAAATATGATACTTCAAAGAAGACATACGTTTAAACATATTTTATTAATTTAAATTGAAACAACAAACACCGGTTTAGGTAGACCTAATTGTCACTGAGTTTTTTGTTTGCATAAGCATTTGTACATCTACATTGAATGTTCCATATTGCTTAAGTTATAAACTCAAAAGTCAATATCAAAGTCATCTTCAATAATGTCATCATCTATATCACTTTAATTACTTAAACAATCACATAAAAGTGATGGAGTTTGTCACATCACTCAAACGGAGATCATAACCCATTTTTCAACAATTCACTACTCATGCACAGCAATCAACAACAAAACATAAACAGTTCGCCATACAAACTGACGACAGCTGTTTCAGTTCAGTCAGAGAGAAACACAACCGTCTCGCCGCAGTAATAAATCCTACTTTTTTTTGGAACTTTAGGAACATGCTCCTAGGGTCTGCAACAGACTACTGCTTTCTCATTCTATTAAAAAGGAACTGAATAAATGTAACAGTTACAACAAGAAGCATTGCTTTTTCTTTAGTCTGCCCTGCCTTTGACTTTTACTTGTCTTGTTAAGTATTGTTTGTTTATTATGTTGTAGTTTTTGCCCTGTCATCATTCCTGTTTATAATTATCTCCCTCTTCATAATTAATTAATTGTCTCACCAGCAGTTTGAGATAGCCTACAAGATTCAACCCTTTTAGATGGTTGACATTGATTGGATTACACTGCTAGAGCTTGCTTAAATAAACAGTACTGGGGGGCCGGGCCAAGCCTTGCTCAGTTGTGGTTAATTGGGTTTAACAGTTAAAATAATATCATGATCAGACACATTTCATCATTTACAAAAATATTTGTATTACTAACCAAAACATAAATCGCTGAAATAATATCAACTGTGTAGTGTGTCTAATTACACCTGTTTCATAGATCATAGCATTTAAATTATTTGCAGTACCGTAACTTGAGTAATAACATTTCATTTTATATTTTAACCACTGACATAACCAAGGGGGAGCGAGCTGTTGTTGTGGTTAGAGCGCGGGACTTCAGTCCCAGAGGTCCAGGGTTCGATCCCCGCCAAGTCACCAATGGATTTGATCTAAGTGATAATGCCAAAACCCCTAGGTCTAGCCTGAAGTAATGTGAAAAACAATCCCAGGTTCTAAAAAACTGACATAACCAAGGGCGGTCCTAGACATATACTTTGGGGGGGGGGGGGGGAGGCGTCACCGGGGGTCCACCCCAGGAAAAGTTTGAAAAAAGTGCTGTGTTTTTTAAGCTATTTTGAGGACCTAGTTTAATGTGTTCAAGCTTCCCAGATTATTTAAAGATCAAAGACATTTTATAAAATAATAACATTTTATAATGTCATGTTTTTGCAATAATGAGACTTGTGGTTTTAATAACGAAGGAATACCGCAACATTACAACACATTCAAGCATTATTGATTTACGAAAATACCCTTTCAACTGGTGCCGATGTGCATGCTTAACAGAAAATGTCCAAAAGACCAAGATTTTGAACCAAAGAACTTATTTTATCTAAGAAGTATTTAAGAACTTGCACCCAACACGACTGCATTATACCTGCTCAGCAAGCAACAGTTAACCTACAAAGTACACTACCCAACTAACGTTGCCGTCACTGCTACCGCCTGAAGAATTGGTTCTCAGTGTTCTCATTTTTTCTACGCCAGTGACATTTTACAAGGGGGCAACGCGAGAATAAAGTTTTTGTGCAACCTTTTTGTGGTTGTGCCGGGAATTAAATCCGTCCCTTCCGCATCTAAGTCTGAGACACTAACATTTTTGTTGTTTCGTGGCTAGCAACATACCAATTGGGTTGTGGTATTCTTAAATATGATATCAGGTGCTCTAAATATGAATACTATTTAATATTGAAAGTATTAAAATTTGCTACGGTAATCATTGAATTACATTACTGTAATTACAAATTCCTAACACTGAATCAAAGTAACGCAAATTCGTATCGAGGTATCAAGAATCGGAATTGGCCCATCATCCCTAATGTTAAGATTACCTTGTAGAAAAGAGCAACTGCTAGGCCGACCCTGTACTGAGGATTGACCTCTGGAGACAGGGGCTCTGGATGAATCTCCTTCTGAAGAGATTCCACAGCCTCCTGTAGGACCTCTTCTAGTAGGAGGCCCTTCCCTTGGCTGCTGAGAGATTCTAGCAAACACTCTGTCGCACTAGCATGCACCTGAAAAATAGAGATACAATTGTTGAGGCAATGATGAAATAGGAAAAAATCTTTAACTTTTACTTCAGAAATGCAAATAGTTAGTTAGGTATTTAACTAATTGTTAAGTATGTCTGTCTAGTACAGTCAAACCTCTAGCATTCGAGGAGATTTTGTGTTTATTCTTTTAGCGAATTTCTCATATAGGGAATAAGCTATTACCGTAGTAGTACTCATGGTAAGACCTGGACGCGGAAAAGATTTTTTTTTTTTGAGGTCCCTAGAGGCCAAAAAACACCACTCCTTCAAATTCATATCTTACTAATATTATAAATGTGAAAGTTTGTGTGTTTGTTTGTTTATTTGTTTGTTTGTTTGTTTGTTTGAAGATCAATCACGCTTTAACTACTGGTCAGATTAGGCTGAAATTTGGTATGATGATGGCTCACATTCCCGATTAACATATAGACGTATTCGTATCTCAAAAATCCTTTCGGGCTCCGCCCCAGTGGCTCTGGAGTTTCCCATGTTAACCTTATGATTATTCATATTTTAAAGGGATTTTTGTCAGCTGTTTCAATTACTCAAGTTGTTCTATGATATTCAATATTATTAAAAGTTATAAGGTTCACCAACAGGGTTTGCACTTATAATTTTTTTTCATTTATGACAACATAGGCTAGCTAATTTGAAGCTGTGATGCACAATGAGAACTGTTAAAGTAGGATTGTTTACAGTTAAGCTTATGTTTTTAATTTATAAATGATGTTTTGATATTGTGCAAATATTCGATAATTTACTTTTTTATTGTTTAGATGTAGTGGTAGAACATTATGGCTATCGTATATGTGCTAAACGATAGCTTCCGTAAATTAAAAGAACCAATTTTCTCAAACCGCGTCCTCTTCCATTGCAAACACAAAGCATTAGTATAACTGCAATAAGCATTTTATAATTATATGCCAACCCCGTACGAAGGACGGGTATTCAGCTAGTATAAATATATATTTATATATACATATAGAATTTATATATATGTGTTCGTTAGCACGATACTCAAGCAAAAATGATCCGATTTTGATGAAATTTGGTATAAACGTGCAAACCTACATTTATTCAAACGAGTTCGCGAACCAGCATGATCGGACTATGGGAACGGGGGTTTACGGGGGGTTTTATGGGGTAAAAATAGGGTTTTCCCATTTTTGAGCCAAAAAACATCAAATTTAGCAATTTCTTTCCAAACCATTTTGTAGAGCTTAAAAAAAAAATAATTTAGTATATTGAAGCGTTATTATGCGCCTAATGGTTGCGGAGAAAATTTAAATAAAATGTAAATTTAAAATTCCCATGTTATTCTTATGGAGAACAAGTAAACTGTTGTAGTTTTCTTGTTTATGAACATATTTTGATCAAATTTGGAAAATGTTTTAATTTCTAACTAACTATAAACATTTTACAAAAAAAAAAAAACAGTTTTACCCTCCCTGATGCAACAAACCTAAGTACTTGTTAAACTAATTCTATTTAAATAGGAAATAAATGTTATATTTTTAAGTAGACATTTTAGTGTAAATCCAATAAGGCAAATGGAAATTCGCTTAGTCTGCAGGTTTGCTGCGGCGGGGGTATTTTTAATTAGTGATGTGTCGATAACCAAATTGATCGATTCTTAAAACCCATACAGATACCTGAAAAATCAATTCTCAATTATCGATACCAATACAATTTTATTGTATTACTAAGTTTCTGAATGGATTAGTTATACTACATCAACCCCTGTCTTTATATCCTTCCATAAAGTATTTTTTTGGTAATTTTTTTTTAAAGGTAGAACTAAAGAAATAATTAATGCCCCAACAATGAAAAATTCAAATTAGCCAATTTAAGTTTAAACTAGGGATGGGTTGGTTGTTAAAATCAGTTGTCGGGTTTCTAGCATAAAAACCAAAACCGAGAATTGACTTTCCGAGAATTGATATAAAAAGTCGGTTTCGGTTTATCGGTTACTGTCTAATCATTTTGGCGATTGCGGTAGTTAGTTAGGAGGAAAAAAGGGTTATCAGATGTTTGTTTACGACGATAATAATTTATTACTGTGGTAATGGAGCAATAAAATACCCATTAGCAGTCCCTAAACCCCCGTGATATTTTAACATGACAAAATCATTTTGTCATAGTCAGTCAGGTTAAGTACTTCCAAGAGCTCATTGAGTCATAAAAGTTTTATTATTTTGTTTGTTAACTCACATTTATTCCTTTACTGACTTTAATACTTAAATAACCTGAGAATTGAACTGAGAAAGTTCACATCTTTCTGCAGTGTGGACATTATCATTGACTCCCGCCATCACGGAAGAGTGAAAAATTAAAAACGTACGTTTTCATGTCCCTGGCCTTTTACTTCGTAGATACTAGATTTGTAGTTTATTATTATGTGTTTTAATATTTTTTGGGACGGGGCAACATCTTACACAAATTTATTTGGTTTTAAATAGGTTCTAGGTATTAAGGTATTTTTTTCCTATTTTTAAAGTCTCGAAATTCACGACCATGACCTATTATTACCTATTATTGGTTATTACCTATTACCATACCTATTATTGGTACATTTTCCAACTTTCACGCTGTTTTCAGACTAATTATTCATGCCGAAATATATAAAGCCATATTTTTATGTCATCAACAGTTTTTAAAATTACAAAAAAGGAGCATATTATAATTTTATTGTCATTGCAAACTGACTACCATGACAAAATAAGTCTGTCCCTTGATTTGGCGTCACGACCATTTGGGAAAAATTTTCAACTTTGGAGCACGACAGTGGCAAGCCTGGCGTCGATTGCGTCAGTTCGTTTTAGAGACTAGTTCGGGGTGTACGTCAAGTTTATCACGTTTATGATTTCTATCATAAAAATTTCAAAAATTAAAATTTCATCATATTTCAATATTTTATACACAAAAGAAGCACACCTCTATAAAAACATAACAATTTTTCGGGTCTCAGGTAAGTTTTTTTGGAGTTATACAAACTTAAAAGATTTTATTGGCTTTTTTCAATTTTTTTATTTTTTTTTATTTTTTTTCTAGAAAGACCAAATATACCAAAAGCTTAGTAAGCTGTTTACTGTACAGGGTGAGTCAGTGAAACGGGCCATTTTTCGGTAAGTATTAAAAAAAGGTCAAACATCATAAGATCGATTTATTCATTAAAAAACGTAGTAAATGAGTGGAAGTTTGTGTTGAACCAACAAAACAAGCATCAAGTCTTGAAAATAATATCAGAGTCAACTCCTTAAACTTTTAGTCAAGCCACAAAAAAGCAGGAGCTGAAGTCAGAGGATCAAGGGGGCCAAGCAATATCCCCATTTCATGTCAAGGGAAGAAACGGCACACCAAACCGTAGCTTTATTAGAGTGCTTGTGGACCAACCAATATCAAAAATTTGCTTATTGTCATCCCGTTAAGTGGAAATGAGCCTCATCGCTCATCCATAGGCTCTGGGCCATCTTGCATGTATTGCTTAAGCATATGCTCACAAAAAATAATGCAAGATCAAAAATCACCCATATTCTAGGCTTGCACAGCCTGAATTTTGTACGGATGCATGTTAAGATCTTAATGCAAAATTTGCCTCACTGTTGGCGCGGAAAGTCCAAGTGCTTTGCTAAGCCGTTGGCCAGATCCACAGGGACTTCTGGCAATCGTTTAACTGATTCAAATGTTTTGGGTGTCCGCACAGTTCTGGTACTCCCACCTCTTCTTTTTGTGGTTTGTCCCGTTTCTTCCAAGTTTCAGCCTTGAATTGCATGTCTCGATGGGACTTGAGGAGGCAGACCAAAATTAATGTGCAATGCCCGATGTGGTGTACGCGCAGAACTTTCACTGTTTTTGCCTTGACGGTAAAACCTCCCTGTGGTCCGATCCAAAGCTAAAGCTGTATGGCAACTAAACTTCCAGAGGTTGGGAACGCAGGGTAACTTACTCGGCCCCTTTCCTTCTTCCCCTCTACTCACTAACGTTATAAGAAAATAGCCCGTTTCACTGACTCACCCTGTATAATGGCCATAAAAGTAAATTAATTTATAGCAAAACATAGTTATAAAAATAATATTAACTATTTTTAATATTCAGTTTTATGTTCGTGATGGTCGTGACAAAATTTCGTGTTTTTCCATCAAAGATGCTCTATTAATAAAAAATCAACAAAGATATTGCGTTACCATGGACATTTTATGAAACTTCAAATGTCAATGAAATAAAAAAAAATAAAAAAAGTTTCAAAAAACGGAACAAAAAATGTTAAAAGTGCTTTCCCTGAAAACGTACGTTTTTAAATTTTCACTTGGAAACGTCATTGTCGTCTTAAGTGATCATGGAAAAATCATGAACATCTCCCGCTGTCCTGTAGACAATATTGTCTTCCACGTTCACAGCAAAATGTTAATAATCTCCCGCGGCTATGTAAACATCATACAACATCATTATCATCTTAGCGTTTATGTGTAAATCATCATCATTATCTTCTACGATTGTGGCAATTCCCTTGACACTTTTCGGCCGTGTAGACAACATTATTGTCTCATGCAATCGCGGCTAAATTCTGATCATCTCCTTCTGCCATATGAACATCATCATCAACTCCCGCGGTCATGGAAACGTTATCGATATCTTGCGCGATCGCGGCAAAATCATGTACATCTCGTGCATCCGTATAGACATCATCATCTACTCCCGCGGTTAAGAAAATTCATCGTCATCTTGCACGATCGCGGCAAAATTATGAACATCTCCTGTACATTATCAACTCCTGCGGTCACAGAAACGTCATCATTGTCTTGCTCAATAACAGAAAAATCATGAACATCTCCCGCAGCTTTGTAGACATTATTATCGTCTCCTACGGTCAGGAAAACGTCATGCACCATCGCTGTATTTTCTGATCACAAGATCTTCGCAGATTATTGGTATCGAAATCAACTTTTGATGATCGATTCTCCGTTCAATTGGTTTGTTTTATGATAATATATTTAGCTCAAGCAGTAATTATTATGGAGTTATCAGAATTTTTTAGGTTATTGTTATAAATTTAAATTTATAAATTATTATACTGTTGCGTATTGTAAGTTGTCAGGTTTTTTTAATTATTTTTTTAAATATAATAATTTTAAATATTGCTGCAAGGTTATAATTGTGAAAATGAGTTAAGTAATTGTTGATTTTGTAATTGTAAATTTTTCACTCTGTTTTAAGTCTATCATTGTTTTCATTAATTGTTTAATTTTATAATTATATTATCATTTATAGTTTTAAGAGTAATGATAGAGTAAATGTACAAATATTAACTTTTCATTTTATTCTTCCAACTAGGATAATTTTGCATTTTGTCCCTCAGTATTTAGTTTCATAGAAAGATTTATATTTAGTTTTAATATTTGACAATGTCAAATGCATCATTGTATATGCCTAATGAAAAAAAATCTTGAAACTTGAAAATTTTAATGATCACTTTTGGGAAGAAAACATACTCACAAAAGAGGAAGATATGCCTCCGTAAACAATTGCAGGTTTTTCCAATAGTTTGAATTGAGAAGCTTTATCAACTTTGAAGCAAAATCCTGCATTGATGTAAGCATGGACATTCTTGGCTCGAGGCATGATCTGTAAACAAAGGATACATGAGACTATTGTTTTATTAGTAAAGCTAAAATCATTATATGAGTCAAAAGAAACAAATAAAGAAAAAACACAAGCTTGAACACTGGAAAAGTTATAGACCAGTCATCTAAAACATTTTAAAAGGCAAAGTTCGCAAAAAATGGCGTAGTTGTGATTTTTTAGTATGTTGTTAGAATACATGAGAGTAATGTAAAACCAAGTTTGCAGCATCAAAAGACCTGTGCTCGCTGCTAAGTGGTAGAAAAAATTAGATTTTCTTGTACTGTTTCCATTTTTTACGAAAATTTTAAAAACCATCTATTGTAAGAAAAAAAGCGTTATAACCTTTTTGAAGTAGATTAAATTCCCTACAATTTGGTATAATTTTCAGCCTTATATTTGTATATATTATAAACTTTGAGATACATCATTTATAATTTTAGAATGTTTTTCAAAAATTGCTAAAGAATCCGAATCTGAAGTTGTCCAACAAACAGACAGACATATATACATTTGAACAGATGGTGTTTTTTGCCTCTAGGACATAAAACAAAATAAAAGTAAATCCGTCCCGGGTCTGTCCATGAGACCTATTAATAAGCTTATCCCCTAAATGAGTAGTTTGCTAAAACAGACATCAAATGACCAAACCTTAAAAGTGCGAACGAAATAGAGAGACTTGTCCAGAGGGGGAAGCACCAGATACATGAGCAGTGCTTGGTCCAAGTCAACTGAGAGAAACTGTACCAGGCTTACAGTGTACGATTTTCCATCAGCTCTCTCTGAAATCAAAAGAAACTTCACTTTTACAGGTTGTGACATGTAACCTGGCACTTGACCTATCGCTACTAGCCTAGTTCAAAAACATTATGTGCCATTATGCAGGTTGCATCAACAGTCCTCGCGACCCACTTGAAGACACTTAAGTGTATGAAACACGGAGCTTACACCCCTTGAGTCAGCGGAAATGTTTGCAGTCCGGTCCTTTCCTTACCTCACCCACACTCTGCCTACACAGCCCGGATAAGGCCCAAGTGCCAACTTGAAACGTGTCACAAGCTGTATAACCAACATGCTGTGTCAGCAGATAAATTCATATAGATTATGGGGGGGGGTTCATTTAAACTTTAAACTTAAAATACAATTTTAAAAATAAGTAATGAAAATTGTGACTTTAGAAAACATTAGCAATAGAGACAGTGGTGATCATTATATTTGGAATTCCAAGAATGTTGGTTTATTTCCAAGTGTTTTCCGGAATATTTCATGGTGATAATTCCTAGGGAGTAGACATCATGAATAATTATCTCAATAAATAATAAATATTTTTTCTTTGCCTACTAAAATGGTCGTTTAATCCCCTAAATTTAAAAATTGTTGTCTCTTTTATTTTTGTTCAGTTTAGCACAGCTTTGTTTGCTAAAATAGAGTTCAATATAATTAACGTTATGTTTTTATTGATTAAGTTAGTTTCCTTTTGATTAAGTAAGATACTTTTTCTAATAAGAGTGTTTGATACCCTAGTTTCGACATAAATAAAATCACTCACTATTTGCTAGTGTTTTTGTGTATTTGCTCACTGATTAGCTAGATATTATCATCAGGATGGCAAGATAGATTTCTGAAAACTATATTACTGTATTTATAGTTTCTTTAGAGGCTTATTCAGAATAAATTAAGAAATTACTTATGGATATGTTACCGGACAAATCCGATTTTAGAACCAACACGTTTGGACTAGGATAATCTAGTTTTTCCTCATCACCCAAGGACCTAACCCAACCTAGTTTAGCCTGGTAGAATTGTTAGGCCAAACTAGTTTGGCCAGCTAGCGTACAGCTAAGCTAGTTTTACCAGGTTCAAGGTCAAGATTGAAACTAACCAAGCCTAATCCAATCCAACCTAACGTAGAAATGTTAATTATTCATTACCCTTAAACTTTTTATGATACTCTAGTAATAGTTTGAATACAATAGTTTGGCCTAAGTTAAAGCATGCCAACCTGGTTTATTATAACGCCACCCGGCCAAATCAGTTCAGTCTGTAATCTATAAGACCAAACTAGTTTATCCTAGGTAGGGTGATCAGGAAAACTAGATCATCTTAAGGCCTATTTTGCTTTGAGCGATTGCAGCGATAGTCGCGTGGCGATAATCGCTCCGCGATAGTAGCCGGGCACTGCTCTGACGGAGTTTGCGTTGTCCTGTTTTGCAGGAGCGACTATCGCAAGAGTCGCTAGCTACAGTCGCGGACCACTGCCTCGGGGACAAGTCTGAGCGATAATCGCGCCGCGACTGATGCGCAGCGACTGTGCGCCAGTCGTCCACACATGGCGATTTGTCTGCGGAAACATTGTCTGCCGACTGTCTCCAGTATGTTGCTATTTTGTCTCCAGTATGTCGGCCGACTGTCGACAGACAAATTTTGGTGTTTCTGGAGACAAAATACAGTGTTTTCTGTTTCCCGTTCGAATGGGAAACACGGAGACAAGAGACAAAACTTTTGTCTCAAGTCTGCATGTGAGGACGTGTCTGGAGACAGGAGACTGGATACAAGCCGAAGGTGTTCAACATTCAGCCCATTTAGTTAGACTGCAAAGCGGTAATATTACGATTTTTGGGCGGTAATAAAAGAGCTGGATTGAGTTTCTTGAAAGTTTTGGAATTAGTTTTCAATGATTTATATCATTACATGACATTTAAATGAATTGTTCATCTCGTCAAGTTAAAAATCTTAAGACCAACAAAGCCCAGCAAAATTTTAAAATCTTTAGAAGTCAACCTCGTGAAGTTCCTAAATCCTCCACCTAATCTGAAGGTCTGATAGAAGATTTTGACCATTGTACGAACCTTGCTCGAGAAAATGTTGAGTCCATCATAGTCTCTTCCTAGATTCATTAGGCCCATGGCTCAGAAAAATGAAGCCCGCACAGGATATAATTACGTCCTCCTCAGTCCCCATACCAACAAACATGGAAACACTGGCTGGCTAGTGTGGACGCAAAATACATCGGTAACTTGTATCTGAAACTGTGTTGACAGACTTTCTGCCGACTGTCCGCGCACAGTCGGCCGACTCAGTCTCCATGTGTGGACTAGGCTTCAAAACAGTGCAGTTCACTCAGTACGCACATAATAGGGGTTAAATTAACCATAATTTACTTTTTTGTTCAAATTTTTCTATTCATGTGCTGTTACGATTGTACTGTTTTGGTTGTATTTCCTTACACATTCATTTCATTATCTACATTAAATTGTAGAAGAAACAGGCGACTCTTATTTCCAGAAAACTTTGCATCGTCATTGCTCAAATCTTTGTGTTTAATTTTGTTAAGGTAATCCACGTCAATTAAAATTGAAATGTAAAATGCTTGACTTTTCCAGGTTGTTATGTGTTTTTTACGTAGTGTTGGGGTTAATACTGTCTCAGTTTTTTTATGAATAATTTTTTTATTTAGACTCCAGGGCTTATTTTCCGATATTCATTTGCTCTTATTGATATTACTATTTTTTTTTTATTTATATAAATATATTTTTTCATTGATATCACTACAGTTTTCTATTTATATCCTATCTAGTGACCTCTAGTGATACGTATCCGTCCCAAATCCCCGTATCACTATGTATTTTCTATCGATCGTCCATTGATACTTCCACTAGGGTCGAGTAGAGCCTCGTCTCCTAACTCCTCACTTAGGAGATACTTTAACACATAGGAGATAACATACAACACGCACTCATGACTTCAACATTGTGAGTGCTGGTATTTAACTAACTATGAAAAATCGCGTGACGACCGAAAATTAATCACTCTCAGCAAAACGGCCACCGTATCAGTGATAGTAGCAGAGCGATAATCGCTGTGCGACTATCGCTACAGTCGCTCCAAGCAAAATAGGCCTATCGTCCAAACTAGTTTGTCCTAAAATCGGGTTTGTCCAATTACAGATACATGTTCCATAATTAGATAAGGGTTGTTATGGTATAATTTCATTACATTCACTCCAACTCAGTAAACTGAGAGAATTGCTCATGTTAATTCCTTAATTATCGAGGGGAGCTCCCATAATCTTTTACCAGGATAATATTGTGGTTCAATCACTAGAAAACGTTGTTATTTTACTATTTCATTGTGCCCTATTTTGCGTTTTAATTGTAAAAGTACAAGTTAAAACAGCTAATACTTTGAATACTTAAATGAATGAAGTACAATATTTGAAAGCATTTTCATACCAAATACTATTTGTGCTCCCACAGTTTCCAGACAGAGAAACAAGTCGGATGGAAACTCTGGATGTTGTTTTTTTATACAGATATTTCCAGCTATTGTACCAGCCTGTAACAACATCAATTAACAAATAATACTAAAATAAAAATAAATCTCTAAAAAAAAATTCAATATAGGCCTATTTCTTTTTTATGGCAGGGAAATGTGCTATGCGCTATCAGGGTCTAGGTGTATTTCAATCTGGTGTGTAGGAATTTCACCCACTAAAAACCTATCGATCCAGGAAATGGAAGCCTTTCTGGAAACGCTGTATGCAATACTTGAAGAGGGTGCCTTCGTATGCTAGGAATGACATTCCAGCTGAGGTGTTCCAACGAGTTTAGCTGCATTGGCTCATCACAGCGGTTTGGTTCTTTTATATTTTCAGCACTCTGCTGGAGAATGCAGAAACAGTGTTCTACAATTCAGTACTGGACATCATCAGATGAACAAGTGTGTCTGGCCAGATCAGGGCCAACAGTCACCACTTATCTGTACCTTTAGTCACTGTTGTAGCCAACAGCAACAGATGACTTTAATACTTTTCTACCGCCCTGGAATTGTACCCCCCATCATATAGCCAAATGTGTACAGGGTGGAATTGTACTCCCTCTTGGACAGGTAGCTTGGCTTGTGTAAGGGCTGGAATTGTACCCCCTCCCTCCCCACTTTAAGTAACATCTTCAAATGTATTTCAATAAACTTAATTGGTATTATTAAAATGAAATTGTAGTGAATGCCTTTTAAAGTGACATATGTTAGATTTTTTATCCTGTACAGAAAATAGTGACTGTAGTAATTGTACTAAGGAAATATAATTGCGAATACTGATATCTAATAACTTAAAACTTTTTAATGAAATTTAACTTTTACTCACCTCCAAACTTTGAAAATACACAATGCAAAGCCTGAAGTCAATTTCGAAACGTCGTAAGTAGGCCTTATTTTAACTCTAGTATTGACGAAAAATGTTTAAGGGATGGAACCCTCTACTCCATAAATTCTTAAACCTATTTCTAAGTTATTATTCATGAACATCTATATATTAATTTGAAACTGTTTTTCTTTGTCATAGCTATTTTGAGAGAGCGGCTGGGTGTAGAAACTCGGTAGAGGTGCCTAAAGAAAGGTCTTGGTCTGTAGATGAGCCATCAAAAGAGAAACATGGTGAATTCCCTTGGGGCTCTGCCCCAGTGGCCTTTAAATTCCCATCCCATGTTATTCTTATGGAGGAAAACGGGGTTTTTGTCACAGCTAATTTGAGAGAACGGCTGGGCGTAGAAACTCGGTAGGGGTCTCTAAAGAAAGGTCTTGGTCTGTAGATGAGCCATCAAAAGAGGAATGAGGTAAATTCCCTTGGGGCTCTGCCCCAGAAGCCTTTAAAGTTGCCTCTTCAGATTTGTTTACATTACGACCATATGCATAATTCTACACTACTTTTTAATGAAACAGCTGTTAATATTTAAATTGTGATTTATTGAATTTGTCAAAATGAAGTACAGTATTTGCAATGGGTTTTTCTGATTTTAAATTGGATTTTCTTCTGCATGGTGTCATGTTTTGCAATATAATGTTCTATTACCAAATCAGTGGAAAATCCTAATATCACAGTAACTCTTAAAATTTTTTCATTTGGAGTTAACTTATATCTATTGTGGGTTGGTTTCTGCCTTTTTTACCACTTCTTGAAGATTGTACGTAGGTGATATTCGTTGGCATATTGCATCTGTAAACGAAACTTGGGTTGGTGTAATTATTAAATCCTGGACAATTTGATATGGGCTAAAAATAAAACTGAATTAACACTGTTCTACATTTCTTGAGCTATTATTGAAATAATCGATTTGCAAACAATGGAAACATAGAAAAAGTCATAGAACACAACCAAGTAGAAGAAATAGAAATAATTTTTTTTTTTCATTTATAATCGTTAACATCGACAACCTAATGCGGCTATAAGAGGGAAAAATTTATAGAAAACACTAAAAAAACAAGATAAGCTTTTTGAAAAAAGATAAGATATTTACAAAAGATTTTGATTATATCTAACTGTTGTGTAGATCGTGAGTATTTCCATAATCTTTGAGTCGCCTGCAATTGCTCGAATTCGAGCAACAGGTACACTAGTATTTATTTAATCAAAATATACCTTACTATTGCCAAAACAATTCATTTATGTTTTAATTTTAATAAGGAAATAAATTGAAAGAATAACAAACAAATAAGTACAGCTGAAGTATTTTTAACATTAGGTATATGAAAAGTTCTCTTTAAAGAGAAATTACGACCTTAAAGGGCAATTTATAAAATAATGGATAGTTTTCGGCAAGGTTTATTGTCATGACGAACATTTTAAGTATAGGATTTATGGGGGTGTGATTTGTAGTTTTCTTAAAAGTTCATGGGTAGTTTGGGATTTAATATATGAATTTTTAATGATTACCGTAAAGCAGTTATTTACATAATTTTTGCAATTTCAATTCAGCTCCACACTCCACCCCGTACGCAGAGAGAAAGCCTAAATATCACACGTTAAGTGACAAATTTCATTAGGTTTTAACATAAGCAAACAAAGACAAATAGGTCCAATGAAAAATATTGTTAATACATTATTTTTATTTAAAAGTCCAAGTGGTCATATTTTAATAAAGGTTTTGCGTTTTCAAGTCTGTTCTAAGCTTGGAGTTAAAGGCATATTATATTATATTTATTTTCGATGCCACACACTTATTATTCACAGTCAAATGGAGGGAGGGGGTACAATTCCGGTCCTAGAAGGAGGACTAGACTGACGGTACAATTCCACCCCGTACACTGACCAAATAAAAGTGAGTTCTAACTGGGAGGGGATACAATTCCAGGGAGGTACAATTCCGGCCCGTATAGTTTTTTAGATGCCAGTGGATTTAATTGAACCACTCGTCCATAACAATATCAAAGTGTTATGAGAGGGGTACAATAATCCCCGGCCCGTACACACCGTTTTGGTCGAGAAAATGAGACGTCATTGTGGCGTCACTATCCTGCGGGGGGTACAATTCCAGGGGGGTACATTTCCGCCACCCCGTGCAGATGACTCTGTCTCTGAGGGTGTGGTACTGGACTTAAGCAGGGAGAACCAATAAGTGCATCTTTTCCAGAACAGGCAAATCCACCATATCGGCTATTCCTATCCCCGGTGTGAGGAGGATGACACCTTTGTAACTGCGTTAGTTTCATGTTTTAAAACTGAGGACAGTTTTTGTGTACCTATACTTCTTTTATTTTTTTCATTTTTAATGTCAGAGTGTGACATTATGACATATTTAAAAGCCATTTGTGATTGATGAAATTTGAAACTTTGCCTCCAAGATGCCCTACGCTCAGCCACACCAGTAACACCATCTACAATATTAAGAGATTGCTTAATACACATTTTAGGGGCTAGAAGGTGAAATGGAGGAGCAAATAATAGTTACAAAATATACTTCAGCTAAAATGATTGTAGAATTAACTTACATTTCTCACAGGTACATTGGCGATGAGAGAAATGTGATCAGCCAGTGTTGCTGTATATTGGTAGAGGTTGGCATTGCTGTCTGCGACATGACGTAACACCAGGATCAGCTCTGTCAAACACATGTTGACTCCAACTATCAACTTGGAGTCACTAACATCGTACGACTTCAACTCTGACACATCACTGATGTCAATGAGATTCTGGTATTCCTTGTGGTCTCGGTAAACACCTGTACATATCAATCAAGGTAGAAAATTGTTGGCGTAAGTTTGGGTAGAGGCACTGGTTTAAACTAGGTGAAGTCTGTCAAAATCGACGGTTACTTTCAAGGCTTACGCTAATTCATCTAACTGCGATAAATTGAGTGAAATTATACATATTTTGAGCATTTAGCATTGATATCCGATACTATCCGTTATATATCCGACTTTTTCGGATAGACAACATATTTTGACGTTTTGGACAGAAAACTAAATCTTCATAACCATCATTAGTTTCCCTGGACAAAATTACAGCAATACTTTTCCCAATGACGACGACGTAACAGCAAAGGACAAAGAAGCCGTATGATGCAATACCGATGTCTAGTTTAGTCGTTATCAGCTGTTTTGCTTTATGATTAGATTCGTCTGGAACGTTATCAGCTGTTTTGCTTTACGATTAGATTCGTCTGGAACGAACATACATAAAGCAGAAAAGAACTTCCATGGTCAACTCGTGCTTGTCTCCTGATACTAGGGGCTATGCGTAATAGTTTTTTTTACAGTACTGTTTTAAATCATAAAAATCTAGCCTACTTATGTGCTGTTACGTAAACAATAGATTTAATGTTTCCCGAAAAAAGTCAGAATAGAAACAATAGAAAGGCAACACAAAACACAATAGAAGGGTGGAAGGGGTTGGGCAATGACCTCGAAAGGAGCCCGGGTACCGGGTAGCAACAGTGAGTCAAGTAGGCCGTGAGGGGGGAAGGGGTGGGTACGACCTTGAAGCTATATATAGACTAGCACTACTTCCCTAAATCTAAAGGACTGGCGAGTGGTATTCCAATCACAGGACAAGATACGTTGTTTTTCGAGTATTCATTGCCCGGTTTGACTTTGGATTGTCTTATTGTGTAGAAACTTTGAATAATCAAAAATAAAATTAGAACTAACCACGATTATTTAGTATTGATTGTGTATATTAATTGATAGGGACCAGGGGAAATATACAAACTTTTGTCATGATTTGAATTTCAACATCAAAATACAATAGGCCTATTGCACAATCAAGATATTTTAGGTCATTGACCTTTATTAAACATCTGGTATTGCTGTTTCAGGAGAAACACGTTGATAAATTATAAATTGATATTCCCGTGGTTAAAAAGAATTATTTTATAAACCTATAAAACAAAATCATAAAATCTTACATAAAGATAATAACAATAACAGCAATTGTAAAAAGGGTATAAAGATAACGTCATTATACTTTCTCTTTGTTCTTCTATTTCTTGGGTTTCCCTTCATCACGCATTCAACAAGTTGCCTAGTTGCCCATGTCGTTATCAGCTTTTGTGACATAGCACAGCAGGGAGTAAAACTTGACGAAAATCGGTTAATTTTTACCTATTATTTAATTACCAATGTACTTGATTGGTAATGTATTAATAAATTGGCCGGTTTTTGTCAAATTTTACACCCAATTTATTGGAATTTCAAGGTGAATATCAATAAAACAATTATTACCAAATATGTTTATTCATTTAAAAGATTGATTTGTGGTATTGGGTTCCCCACTGAGTGCAGCCGAGCGGCACTAATGAGGGTTGAAGTGAACAATAGACGGCTTATCAGACCCGACCCTCCCCAGTGGTCTGGAGAAAGCTTGTAAAAAAACTATTGTTGCACGCGCGTGACTTGTTGACCTTGGGCTGCTTCAACTTTAATTTTTTCAAATGAACTGTGATGTTTCAAAATCAAAAACAATGACTTGGGACCATACTGCATAACAATAATGGACTGCAATAATTGTTGAATTTGAAATCCATTTTTAACAAACTTATAACTTTTTAACTTTTAAAACTTATCTTGGTATTTTACTTGGGGTAATGAAGTTATGTAGGCTAGTGTAATTCTTGGTTCATCAAGGTTCTACTGAATTATGTTTGGCAGTGAATAAGTGTAGAATGAAATTTATAAATTCAGGGGTACACACCTTTTACAGAGTTATAAAGCCTAATTGCTCTAATTAACTTGCCACAACATCAAATCTAGAGCCCAGTTTAGTGTATTAGTGATGTTTTCTAAACTTGGCAAACCCCAAGAATGCCACTTAAGGCCAATAATCTGTTCCAAAAACGTAAGGAAATACAATGTGAAAATAAAATTGAGATAGAAATCCTTGTCTTGTGAGAACCAGGAAACAACATAAAACATAACCTTAAGTAAACAAACCCAAACGTTTTGACATCAGTCCTGCTGAACTTAAGTGTTGTGTGAAGATTTCGGCTGCTAGTGTACTTAATTCAAGCAACCAACTTTTGAAAATAGATGTTGTGAATTGTGATTTTCAAGAGAGAAAAACTGTGGACGTGGCTAATTTGAAATTTTATGATTCAAAATCGCCATTTATGTTTATTTACACAGCTTTATAGTGTTTTATATGTTAAAAATGCATATGCAGCTTATTATTAACCGCGCCGAACTATCCGAATCCGAAAATATCCGAATCCGAACCACCCAATATCCGATCCGATCCGAACCGAGCCTCAACTATCCGATCCGAATCCGATCCGAAATGAAATTTCACTATCCGCACACCTCTAATTGCAATGTCAATAACCTCTATGGTTGGGCAATGTCACAGTACTGTATATTACGACGTCAATAACTCCTATGGTTGGGCAATGTCAAGGTACTGTATATTACGACGTCAATAACCTCTTTGGTTAGTCAATGTTACAGTATATGCCTCATAATTCTATTCTAAAAATATATATTCTCGAATCCCGATCTTTTCTTAAGATTCGGTGGATTCGAGATCCGGATTCGACACATCCCTAGTCGTAATATACAGTAATGTGGCATTGCCTAACCATACAGGTTATTGAAGTCGTAATATACAGTGCTGTAACATTGACTAACCATACAGGTTATTGACGTCGTAATATACAATACTGTGACATTGCCCAACCATAGATGTTATTGACGTCGTAATATACAGTACTGTGACATTGCCTAACCATAGAGGGTATTGACGTCGTAATATACAGTACTGTGACATTGCCCAACCATAGAGGTTATTGATGTCGTAATATACAGTACTGTGACATTGCCTAACCATACAGGTTAATGACGTCGTAATATACAGTACTGTGACATTGCCCAGCCATACAGGTTATTGACGTCGTAATATACAGTACTGTGACATTGCCTAACCATACAGGTTAATGACGTCGTAATATACAGTACTGTGACATTGCCCAACCATAGAGGTTATTGACGTCGTAATATACAGTACTGTGACATTGCCTAACCATAGAGGTTATTGACGTCGTAATATACAGTACTGTGGCATTGCCTAACCATACAGGTTATTGAAGTCGTAATATACAGTGCTGTAACATTGACTAACCATACAGGTTATTGACGTCGTAATATACAATACTGTGACATTGCCCAACCATAGATGTTATTGACGTCGTAATATACAGTACTGTGACATTGCCTAACCATAGAGGTTATTGACGTCGTAATATACAGTACTGTGACATTGCCCAACCATAGAGGTTATTGATGTCGTAATATACAGTACTGTGACATTGCCTAACCATAGAGGTTATTGACGTCGTAATATACAGTAATGTGGCATTGCCTAACCATACAGGTTTTTGAAGTCGTAATATACAGTGCTGTAACATTGACTAACCATACAGGTTATTGACGTCGTAATATACAATACTGTGACATTGCCCAACCATAGATGTTATTGACGTCGTAATATACAGTACTGTGACATTGCCTAACCATAGAGGTTATTGACGTCGTAATATACAGTACTGTGACATTGCCCAACCATAGAGGTTATTGATGTCGTAATATACAGTACTGTGACATTGCCTAACCATACAGGTTAATGACGTCGTAATATACAGTACTGTGACATTGCCCAGCCATACAGGTTATTGACGTCGTAATATACAGTACTGTGACATTGCCTAACCATACAGGTTAATGACGTCGTAATATACAGTACTGTGACATTGCCCAGTTATACAGGTTATTGATGTCGTAGTATACAGTACTGTGACATTGCACAACCATAGAGGTTATTGACGTCGTAATATACAGTACTGTGACATTGCCCAACCATAGAGGTTATTGACGTCGTAATATACAGTACTGTGACATTGCCTAACCATAGAGGTTATTGACGTCGTAATATACAGTACTGTGACATTGCCCAACCATAGAGGTTATTGACGTCGTAATATACAGGACTGTGACATTGCCTAACCATACAGGTTAATGACGTCGTAATATACAGTACTGTGACATTGCCCAGCCATACAGGTTATTGATGTCGTAGTATACAGTACTGTGACATTGCACAACCATAGAGGTTATTGGCGTCGTAATATACAGTACTGTGAAATTGCCTAACCATAGAGGTTATTGACGTCGTAATATACAGTACTGCGACATTTCCTAACCATACAGGTTATTGACGTCGTAATATACAGTACTGTGACATTGCCCAACCATAGAGGTTATTGACGTCGTAATATCCAGTACTGTGACATTGCCTAACCATACAAGTTATTGACGTCGTAATACCTACTGTGACATTGCCCAACCATACAAATTATTGACGTCGTAATATACAGTACTGTGACATTGCCCAGCCATACAGGTTATTGACGTCGTAATATACAATACTGTGACATTGCCCAACCATAGATGTTATTGACGTCGTAATATACAGTACTGTGACATTGCCCAGCCATACAGGTTATTGACGTTGTAATATACAGTACTGTGACATTGCCCAGCCATACAGGTTATTGATGTCGTAATATACAGTACTGTGACATTGCACAACCATAGAGGTTATTGGCGTCGTAATATACAGTACTGTGACATTGTCTAACTATAGAGGTTATTGACGTCGTAATATACAGCACTGTGACATTGAGTAAAAAATCGGGAAAAAATCGGTCTTTTACATGGAATACAGACAGTTTTGTGTTAGTAAAAAAATCGGGGAAAATCGGATCCATCAAAACCGGATCCAGCCCAAGAACCAGAATTTTTTGGATGCGATCCGGTGCCGGTTCTGGCTCGGATCCGGCGGATCCGGTAATCAGATATCCGGATCCGAGCATCACTAATTTAAATTTTAACTTAATAAATAATTTTGTGATATTGTGCGAATGTTTGATTGTTTACTTTTAGCGAATTTACCTATAGGGAAGTAGCTATTACCGTAGGTCTCATGGTAAGACCTAAGACCGGGACCGATTTACTTTTTCATTTTGATGTCCCCAGAGGCCAAAAACACCATTCGTTCAAATTTTTATATATCTATATATATATATATATGTCCATCAGCACGATAACTTGAGTAATTTTTGTCCGATTTTGATAAAATTTGGTTTGAAGGTGTAAGGCGGGATAAACTTGAATGAGTTCGCGAACCAGCATGATCGGACTATGGGAACGGGGGTTTATGGGGGGTTTTATGGGGTAAAAATAGGTTTTTCCCATTTTTGACCCTAAAAACACAAAATTTCACAATTCCTTTTTAAACCATTTTGTAGAGCTTAAAAAAACAAATAATATAGTATATTGAAGTGTTATTATGCGCCTAATTGTTACGGAGAAAATTAAAAAAAATTGTAATTTTAAAATTCCCATGTTATTCTTAAGAGGGTTCCCTACCCCCATTGAAAAACGTCAGAAAACCGCTTCGCGCGGTATCGTATAGCGATTCTAGTTTTGACATTTAAATTGTGAACCAAACACCATTTTGTACATAAAGAGTGGTTCTACTAAGTTTGCTTTTTAAAAAATGTCTATGCTTACGCAATCAAGGGCAACGACTTGTCAAAGTTAGTGAACTTTACAGTTAAAGTTCACTAACTTTAACAAGTCGTTGCCCTTGATTGCGTAAGCATAGACATTTTTTAAAAAGCAAACTTAGTAGAACCACTATTTATGTACAAAATGGTGTTTGGTTCACAATTTAAATGTTAAAACTAGAATTGCTATATGATACCGCGCGAAGCGGTTTTCTGACGTTTTTCAATGGGGGTAGGGAACCCTCTTAAGGAGAATTAGTCAACTGTTGTAGTTTGCTTGTTTATGAACATATTTTGATCAAATTTGGAAAATACATTAATTTATTACTAAACCACAGTACCTTTTAATATTTTACATAAAAAAACGTTTTTACCCTCCCTGTTGCAGCAAACCTAAGTACTCATTAAACTAATTCTGTTTAAATAGGGAATAAATGTGATATTTTTAAGGAGACATTTTAGTTTACATCCAATCAGGCAAATGGAAATTCGCTAAGTCTGCAGGTTTGCTGCGGCGGGGGTATTTTCTATTGTTTAGGTGCAGTGGTAGGAGGACATTATGGCTATTGCAGATGTGTTATAGAGTGAAAATTTAAAAACGTACGTTTTCATGTCCCTGGCTTTTACTTCGTAAATACTGGATTTGTAGTTTATTATTATGTCTTTTAATATTTTTTGGGACGGGGGCAACATGTTACACACATTTATTTGGTTTTAAATAGGTTCTAGGTATTTTTTTCTTTTTTTTTAAAGTCTCTAAATTTACGACCATGACGTGTCCCTAGGGTACATTTTCCAACTTTCACGCTGTTTTTAGACTAATTATTCATGCCGAAATATATAAAGCCATATATTTATGTCATCAATGGTTATTAAACTTACAAAAAAGGAGCATATTATAATTTTATTGTCATTGCAAACTGACTACCATGAAAAAATAAGTCTGTCCCTCGATTTGGCGTCACGACCATTTGGGAAAAATTTTCAACTTTGGAGCACGACAGTGGCAAGCCTGGCGTCGATGGAGTCAGTTGGTTTTAGAGACTAGTTCGGGGTGAACGTCAGGATTGTAGTGCCGGTCGTTTCGAGTTGAAAGGAGGAATTACAAGATTAATAAAGGAAAGATTGTGTTTTTTGTAATTTTGGTGTGTCCATGACCGTACGTAGTCATTCGATGAAGTAGACATGGTGTTAATTTTTGTTTATAAGATATTTTAATTGCTAGATTAACCTAGAAGTTCACTTTGTATCCTCGAACATGAGGTGCAGGGCTACCGCCAGAACAGAGCCAAATAACACGTAATTTCACGACCAAAGTTTCACGACCATCGCGGGTTTTTTCACGACCAATCCAGCCTTATGGATTATAGTGTGTTTGGTCGTGACAATAACTTTAATATAATTGTAATTTGAACAGTTTAGTTCAATTGAAACACTTATTTTTATTATAACTAACAGTATAATTGAAGGATTGTTTAGAAAGATTTAGATTATTTCAGAAAATTCACGACCGTACCGCTTGTCCCTGACCATCACGTTTATGATTTCTATCATAAAAATTTCAAAAATTAAAATATCGTCATATTTCAATGTTTTATACACAAAAGAAGCACACCTCTATACAAACATAACGATTTTTAGGGTCTCAGGTAAGTTTTTTTGGAGTTATACAAACTTAAAAAGATTTTATTAGCCTTTTTTCAATTTTTTGAGTTTTTTTCTTTTTTTCTAGAAAGACCAAATATACCAAAAAGCTCAGTGACCTTTTTATTGTATAATGGTCATAAAAGTAAATTAGTTTATAGCAAAACTTAGTTATAAAAATAATATTAACTATTTTTAATATTCATTTAAACGTCTGTTATGGTCGTGACAGGATTTTGTGTTTTTCAACCAAAGATGCTCTTTTTTTTAAAACAATACCGAAGATATTGCGTTACCATGGACATTTTATGAAACTTCAAATGTTAATGAAATAAAAATAATAATAAAAGTTTTGAAAAAAGGGGGAAAAATTTGCAAAGTGCTTTTTCTGAAAACGTACGTTTTTAAATTTTCACTCTATACTATAGCATACCGTTAAAAAGAACCAAATTTTCTCAAACCGTGGCCTACCCCATTTGCAAACGTTAAGCACGAGTATAACACTGCAATGAGAATTTTATACCTATACGCTAACCCCGTAGGAAGGACGGGTACTCTGCTAGTATATTTATAAAATTAAAATTGTATTTTTGCCCTCCAGGGACATCAAAATGATAAAGTAAACCAGTCCCAGGCCTGGGTCTTATCATGCCACTTACAGTAATAGCTTATACACTATAGGGTAATTTCACTAATTTCACTAAAAAACCTTGTGAATCCTTATAGTGTTGAGATAAAAAACATTCTTACCGTGAGCAGTGTTTCCTGCTATAAAGCGATAGGATTCTTTGTCAATGCTCTTGAGGACTTCGAAAACCTCTTGTTTGGTTGACACCTTGTACCATTTTCCCACACTAGTTTTTACCAACAAGGACTCGGAGTGTGGTTTGCGATGCGCATTCACTGATTCATCAAACTGGTTTTTGTGAAGGCAATCACTTTTATCCTTGCACATATTCTTGGGATCACATCTAATAGTGTAGTTGCAACCATTTATGCAGCCTTTGAGCATATCCTGGAAAAGATCAAGATAAGTAGACAATATTTATTTTCTAACAATTGAAACTCAATTTATTTTATAACAAATATAACACTTGGCTATATTTTGTTGACGAGATAAACCCTCAAAAGGTATATTATAATAAAAGATATAATGGAGTTTGTTATTTCTTTTATTAATTCAACTTAATGGAGAGCAATTGGCTCCAACTAACACATAGAACTGTGTAGGCCTAAAATTTAGTATTCAACTACTGTATTGACCTTTCACAGTCTACACCATTTCCATTCAACGCCAAAAATGTAAAATATAACAAGCAATAACAAGAGTAAAACTCCTTTTAACCGCACCCAGTTTTACCAAACCAGAAAAGACGGGGATTTTTTTTAACTTTTTTTGCTGTTCAAACTGAAACAAAAATACAAGTACAGTATTGCTGAATACATGCCTACTATCTATGTTTAAAATGTTTAAACCCCCGTGTTTTGGAGTTCAAACCACTAAAGCGAACATAAGCAGATCTAAACCTCAATAGTTAGAAAATACATATGGTTGGAAAGCTTATAAAATGGCACAGTTTTCAACGTATTTTGCTACCTTCTTGTATACAGAGTGTCAAAAAATGCAATAGACCAATTTTGTGTTTAATTTTTATTAAAGGCCTTAATTTTAATCTTTTGAACTATTTACAATGGAGTTTTCATTTTTGATACTCCAACATTTTCAATGATTCTTATTCAAAATTTAACGTAGAACACAAAAACGACATCATCTACTCTGCAGATAATTGAGAAACTTCTGTATTTTGTTTAAAAACATGGTTATTTTAGATAAAATTAAAATAATTCTTTGGAAATTAAGTGGGACCTCTTATATGCATCATCACACTCCATTTACTTTGTTCTTACACCAGAACATTTTTGTAACACTAATGACCAGCCACGAATTTGAACTGATTGTGTTTTTGTCCTCTGGGGACATCAAAATGAAACAGTAAATTGGTCGAGGGTCTAGGTCTTAGGCCCTACCATGAGACCTACAGTAAAAGCTTATTCCGTATAAGGGAAATTCTCTAATATTCCCTATATGGGAAATTTGCTAAAAATGTAATACCCCTGCCGCAGCAAACCTGCAGACTAAGCTGATTTCCATTTACCTGGCTGGACTTTTACAAATATATCCCATCAAAGTTGTCAGATTTATTTCCTATTTAAATAACATTAATTTTAATGAGTACATAGGTTCACATAGGTTCGCTGCTACATTTTTATTGAAATACCTTAGTCTTAGTCTATTGGGGTGTAGCTTAGTATGAAATAAACAAAATTGCAAAATTTGATTAAAATATATCCATAAAAAAGCAAACTACATGAGTTTATTTATTCTCCACTAGGTGTGTGCCCGTTCTAGGGACGGGGATCTTGTAGTAAGTGAAACCTTCTTATTTTCAGATCAGCAGATGGTTTGCATATTAAGTGTGCATTTTCCAGATATGCTGACAAAACTGTTATAGGAATACAGTAGAACCTCTTTAATCCGAACTAATTGGGACCGGCCGTAGTTTGGACTATTGAATAGTTCGGATTACAGAACTAGACAGGATTTGGAAAAACATTTTTGTTACTGATTATTTAATTTTAAAATTTGGTCAAAGATTGGGTTTCTTGAAGGAATTTGGCTATTTAAAATATGATTTGGATTTTTTAGATTTTCTTCGTATATGAAATATTCTTCAGTTGAATCCATTCGATTTCCTTTGTTTAAAACTTTGAGAATTTTCATGTTGTTTTTTAAATTTGTGTAATTGTGGTTGGTCGATAAAAGGTGTTCAGCAAAGTTTGATTTCATGGATGTTCTGTTGTTACTATTAAGAGCTTGAATGTGCTCTTTGAATCTAGATTTAAAAGAGCGTCCTGTCTGACCAATGTAGAAGTGTTCACAATCAGTGCAGTTAATTTTGTAAATGCCAGATTTGTCATAGATGTCTTGATGTTCTTTATTTGTAGTAATGTTATTTGTTATCATATTGAAAGCGTTATTTTTTGTTTTAAAGCCAATTTCGTATTCAGAATTCTGAAAAGTTTTTCTTGTAGTCCTGTTAAGAGTTGTATTGAATGGGATACTAATGAATTTCTCTTTCTTCTTTCTTTCTTTGTTGTGTTCTTTATCAAGAAACCACCAATCTTATCAATAAAAAAAAAATCTTATCAGGATTTTTCTTTCTTTTGATGTTTCTAATCATATTGTAGATGATGTTTTGCTTATATCCATTCCTTGATGCTAAGTATTTAATTTTGTTTAATTCTATCTCGTAATCTTTCTTTGTCATTGGAATGTTCAAAAGAAGATTTAGCATGGATCTGAGAGCAGATAGTTTGTATTTCCAAGGATGGTTAGAATTTGATGGTTTTAAAATTCACATGTTATTTTTATGGACAAAATGAAAACTGTTGTAGTTTACTTGTTTATGGATATATTTTGATAAAATTTGGCAAATTTATTTATTTCTTCCTATACTATTGACGTTTGGTGAAAACAACTGATTACCTTCCCCGTAGCAGCAAACCTAAGCACTCGTTAAATCTAATGTTCTTTAAATTGGGAATAAATATGTCTTATTTATGGAAATATTTTAGTAAATAAATATGTAATCAGACAAGTTGAAATTCGCTTAGTCTGTAGGTTTGCTGCGGCGGGAATATTTCTTATTGCTACCAGTTTTTAAATTTATTACTGGAAAACACTCGATAAAATATTGATAAAATTAATTGTTAAATATGGAATATTTGCATTCTGTAGGGGCCATATAAACATCCATCCAGTTTTCACTCTGCAACTTAAATTTAAACATCTTGATGTTCTCTAAACTGTAATTTCGGCAAGATTTAGTTTTGAGTTTATCCTTTGGTTGTAATTTACTACCAGCAATGTCAAGCTCTAATACTAACTATACCATGTTAGCGTGTAGTGTGTGACTTGCTTTGTTCACCGTTGAGTTGGTTCCCGCGTCTCGCTCCCGCCGAGGCGGCTGGGTCGGTACTGACCCACGTTAGAATCAGAATCAGAAAAGCTTTATTCAAGATTTATACATTATATACCTACATGAAATATATGCATAAATACAGAATGGCGTCAAAACAGCTTATTACTAATTAAAAATACTTGGTTAAACTAAATAAAACAGGAAAATTTAATTAATGTAATTACATGTTGTAAAACTCTTCAAATGCGTAAAATGCTCTATCAATTAGTAACAATTTAAGTTTTTTTTAAAGACCTAATGTTTTTTTTATCAAATATTTCTTTTGGTAGATGGTACAAAAACTTAATACCTGCAGCTGTTGGTTTCTTGTTATAAAACTCCAGTTTGTGTTGTGTTACGGATAGATAATTTTTATGCCTAGTATTATATCTATGATTATCCCCCAGCAGTGGCACCTTGTCTTCAGAAGCCCTCACATGCATAATAGTGTGCAATATATATGAGCTGTAAACGGTTAGAATTTTTAATTTAGGAAAATATTTTTTGGCCGATTCTTCATCATCCAGATTTAACATGATTCTTATTGCCCTTTTTTGAAGGATTAGGATTAGTTACTGTGAATGCCCCTCGCTGTGCTACTTTTGTGTGCTATATGACGTCATATTCAATTTCAATTAACTTATAAACTATTTTATTTGAATAATATTAACATTTCAAATCTTTTATATCTCTCATCTTTGTTAAATATTTCAATTTTTTTTTACTCCGGTTCTTGATGGGTCAACACTGACCCATGTATATGACGTCACATTATGAAGTCATAATCAATTCCAATCAATTGATATACTATTTTATGTTGATTATTTTATGATAATGACTAAATATATCTTTAGAACATATTTTTAGTGACATATATATAATGTATTCAGTGACATTTCAATTTTTTTCTGACTCTGGCTCCTGATGGATCAGTACTGACCCATTAGTATAACGTCACTTTTTGACGTCATATTCACTTCTTTTTGGAATGACTGACGCCCCTACAACAGTACTTTAGACCCTACCTTAACACTTTTAACAACACTCCACCTTTAACAACATCTTACATGTTTATGAATCAATTAGTTTTAAATCAATAATTGTTTGCCAATAAATAGGCCTATACAGTAAACAGTATACAAAATTCTGCACAGTGGTTGCTACACGCTTACAGAAGATACTTACTTTATATTAGGCTAGTGTAGCTTTATTACTCAATCTTTGCTCCAAGCTAATGATGAAAAAGGGGTGCGTTTTCAAAATCAATTTACCAAAAACCTTAAGCTATCAATAAGATGACACTAGAAACTCAATTGTACCTTATATTTTATGAAACATTCTTAACGCTTAATACAGTAGACTCTTGATAATTCGAAATTGGCGGGCCAAGCATATAAATTTGAATTATCAAGAGTTTTGAATTATCAAGAGTTCGATTTATCAGGAGAAAAATAGACCATTCGAATTACAGAGAGTTCATTTGTTTATTACATTTTCTTTCAAAATCAAACCTCCTACAGGTACATTTTGATTTCTGCACTCTCTCAACCAAGTCACTAAACACTCTTCTAGCCTAGGATATTCACCTCTAGTCGTTCTTTTCCTCCCCACAACCGCATTAACTCCACAAAGTTTGTCCTTATTTTTTAAAATGGTAGACAATGTACTTGGAGGGATTTTAAACTTTTTGGCAACTTCGGACTTCACTTCACCACTTTCTACTGCCGCGATAACTTCTTTTTTTTCCTCGATCGAAAGAGATTTGTACTTATTCCTAGGTTCCATGATGCACAACGCCGCACACGCACAAGACTTCACTTAAAAAACTACAAAAGTACAGCAGGTTTAAAAGCAAACACAGTCAACCAGACTACTGCTCTAACTAAACAAACATCAAAACGTCCAAAACTACCGTGAGAACAGGATGTACTGTACTGTATAGTTTCCTGTTATGACAGGAAGAGATCACTTCGAATTATAGAGTGTTTTGCCGTCTAAACTTCGAATTACTGCGTGACTTCGATTTATAGAGTGTTTTTTTGACGAAACTTCGAATTACAGCGTGACTTCGAATTATAGAGTGTTTTCCGACGAAACTTCGAATTACTGAGTTACTTCGAATTATAGAGTGTTTTTCCGACGAAACTTTGAATTACTGCGTGTTCCAAATTGACCTGCCCTCTATTTGGACTTTGAAATACCGAGTGTATCAAAATGCATGGTAAAAATTCGAAATATTGAGAGATTCTCTAGGGACTGAGCCTTCATTTCGAATCATCAAAAGTTTCGATTTATCAAGTGTTTGAATTAGCAAGAGTGGACTGTAATTTGAAAGCCTCAGTAACTTCAATGTGCTTAAATAAAATATCAAAACATAGCAACTTTACCTAGACACTTCTAAGGTATTAGCTGCCTCATTGCTAAATTCATTACCTTTAACTTTGTTCAATATTTTTTTTTATGTATTGAAATAACCGATGGATAACAGACAACATCTCATTTTCATAATTTAGTATCTGTTTTCCGTGTCTTAATATAACAAAGTAATTTTGTTTCTGTAAACTCAAACCACTCCACTCAGTTTTACTGCAATAGGATGATCAGTGTAGTTTTATTAAAAACAAAATGTTTAAATATGAGTGAACTGGTTATGAAGGATTTCGTACCTCAATATCATGACACTTGAGCTCCTTGCCACTGGCTGGGTTGGAGGCCACACTTTTAAAGGCCTCCAAAATTGGTCTGTAGCCTGTGCAGCGACAAATATTACCATCAAATGACTGTTCAATTTCTTCCTGTGTCAATTTATGCTGGTTTTCCATCAAGCTGTAAAAAAAATGTGATGAAAAAAAAAATATTCAGCCGAATTGTTGTTAACCAGATGTTGCAATTTTGATCAAACAAATGCCTGTAAATTGTCGTTAAAACTGAGTAACTCCCAACTTTGTGTCCAAATTACAAACAACAACAAAAGCGTTGTTTTAAAAGCAAGTTTTCATTCCCTGGAATAGCATTAATGTGGCAAAATAAGAAACGTCGGTATACAGTGTAACAAAGAGGATTAACCCTGTACCCACGGTTCTCATCTACGCATACACTCTGTTCATATTACACTTAGTCGATCAGTAGGTGTGAACAGAGTGAGCAGTAGCATGAGCATCAATTTCAAAAATTGTTTCCCAGCTGACTTTCCAGCTAGGCGATGACCGGTAGAGCTGACTTCCAAGAAACGGCTATAACCGATAAGCCACACACCCTTTACTTTACTTTTCTTTGAAATGGCAACCATACGAAAGTAGGTATTTTAAGTGTGCTTCAAGGAACCATTTATCAGTAGCCTAGGTTAAAATATAACGATGTAAAATTTATAAAGATGTAAAAAAAATCAAGTCATATATTTAGTAGTTAATCTCAAATGTCAATCTTAAATAGTCAATCTTAAATTTTCAACTTTTTTCTTGTAACTTAACCTTGTAAATCTTTACTTTACTATCGTTGATAATATTTTCCAAAGTTTTTATTTCATGTTCATGATGCCAACCTTTGTATCAACTTTTATTTTCTAAATTTTAATTTGTTGACTGTTTTACTACAGGATTTGTAACACCTGTAACATTTACCCTTTTTTAAACAAACAAGCGAGAATAACTTTATTTCAAGAGAGGCATGGGACTCGCAACAGGGATTGGAAATTGTCAATTACAAGCCCAGCTCCTGGCAGGTATAAGGCCAGGCGCACACAGGCAACTTTGAGTCTAGCGACAGTTTGTCGACCAAAATGTTCACCATTGTTTTGAATTTAAGTGCGCACACCAAGGAAACAGTCGAGGGAGAGTCTGTTGCAACTGTTGTTCCAGGACCCAATTTGCCAGAGAGAGCTCAGTGACTCAATTGTTGTGTGACTGTCGCTCGAGGCTTGGTATCCATTGAAATAAGTCTAGACGCGCACACATACGACTAATGTCACCGTGTCGCTCAGTCTCAGTCGGGTTCTCGTGGGAACTGTCACTTGTGTTTGTGTTAAGTTTGTTTGGAAAAGGTACATTTTTAAGTTTGCGTGTTAAAACTGTTCAACAAATAATTAATGAAGTTGGGAAGAGGCCGCCTTTATTTTTAAAAGACTATTTTAAAATTAATTTAAAGAATAAGTTCTGAGAGGAGGTGTCCTTGGCAGTTACAAAATATTGGAACAATATAATCCTCTTCTTTTTTCGCGTGCGAAAGGTGTATCATTGAGATCCATACTGTAACTTAATGTCCGTCTTATGATTTAAACAGTTGCCTGTGTGCGCACTCCTGCGCAGTTGTTGCTAGACTTCAGAGGCTCAACAAGTGAGTTGCACATATGGGTCTGAATCTCGGGCCTTCAATCCAATCCCGGGATTATATGATTTTTTAACTTTTTAGCCATTTTAAATGAGCAAGAAGTCCCCTCATTGAGTACTTAAATGTTTTAAACTGGCCTTACCAGTGTTACACTGTGCAATGTTTCCCTTTTATAAGTAAATAAATATTACCACGCGGAACTTTCATCGCCCGTATTTTTTATTTACAGTGTATAAATGTTGATATGTCACTTTAGAATATAATAAATACATTTACAAAAAATCACGAGCAACCGTACTCAAATGTAGCCTATACGTCACGCTAATAGATGGATTAAAGATAGCTAAGATAAAAAGATAAATGGGAAGAATCACGAGTAAGTTAGCAGCGTAAAAATGTTATTTCGACTGACAGCAATAAAACAATATAAGATACTGTAAAACAATAAACTATCTGCTTATGTAGTAGCGTGTGTATGAAAAACATAGTTTAGGTTTGTAAGAAATTTAATCACCACACTAATAACCAAATACGAAGATAAATTTATAGACATTAAATATAAGCAATCTTAATAATGAGATTAAAATTGTGTATATTTTATGGCTTCAAATACTTCAATTTCTGATTGCAATGCTATGTTTGCTACACGAATTGCGTTGTTTACGTTTAATGTCAAAAGTAAAACTCAAAATAACTTATAGGCCTATTGTAATTAATTAAGTTCTAAATAATGTAATGACATTTACAGAAAGTAAATCCAAATCGTCTACAAACTGAAACATATATTTACATTAGTTTGCCTATTGAGTTTAATGATAATTAAATTTTCCAATCAAAATAGATCATTACATATACCATTTCATTTCATATATATAGGTATCGTCCTAAAATTCACAAAAAATGAATATAAACATACGTTTTGCAATTCCGTTAATCCCGGGATTAAAACTCACCAATCCCGGGGTTTCTAGGTATCAAAAATCGGCCGGGATCCCGGGATTGAGACCTCTAGTTGCACAGCAGTCCCCTTATTAATTGGGCAACTGTTGCTAGACTCAAAATCACCTGTGTGCTCCTGGCAAATATTTATTTGGTCAATGCTGTGGCGGCATCATGGCTACCTACTGTAGCACTAGCAAATTGTGAAAACTAAGACCAAAAACAGCAACAAAGGTGGCTGCCACTGACATGATAATAGTGGCAGTGCCCCTTCTTCTTCTGAACTGCCCATGGGCCTCCCACCTATGGGATGGAGTGTGCTGCAATATAGTGTCAAGACGAGTGCCAGTTGCCTAAAGACTTTGATGAGGGTCATTTTATAGTCTGAGGCTTGGCGGTGCGAGTGCCAGCCAGGTTTTAGTGACCAGTTTCACGGTGCGGCGTGTATGGGGGTGGAAAGGTCAAACAGGGGGCGGGGGGGCTGGATGAACAAAACTTGTTTGAGGGATAAAATGAAACTATGTTGACTTCCTAACCTAACCAAACTTGCTGATTATGAAAATAATACCCCCGCCGCAGCAAACCTGCAGACTAAGCGAATTTCAACTTGCCCGATTACACTTTTACTAAAATATTTCCATAAATAAGACATATTTATTCCCAATTTAAATAACATTAGATTTAACGAGTGCTTAGGTTTGCTGCTACCTGGAGGGTAAAAGTGTTTTTTGACCTACGGCAATGGTATAGGATAAACATATTTGCAAATTTTATCGATGTATATCTATAAACAAGTAAACTACAAGAGTTTTCATTTTCTCCATAAGAATAACATGGGAATTTTAAATTACACTATTTTTGAATTTTCTCCGTGACCGTTAGGCATACAACAGCGCTCCAATATACTAAATTATTTTTTTTTAAGCTCTACAAAACCAGGGTGGCTAGTGAAACCACATTGAAAAATTCCCTGACAATTCCATGATTTTTTTTACTTTCCCTGATCGACAAATTCAAAATTAAAATTTTTATACTAATTCTTCAAAAGGACTAATCTTTATCTGACAGATAGCTTATGTTTGCTTACATGAAAAAAATACATAAAATCTATAGATACAGGCTAGCTTATATTCAAACTTTGCAACTTGCCTTAATAAAATTAAAAGTTAAGTTTAATAAAATTAAACTGAGTTTGATAAGATGATACGCAGTTTATAACAAAATTTAATTTGTACAAAAACACAACATTTATTTGTACAGACATATTTCTTAGTTTTCACCCACACGGCATACGTACTCTCGCCAGATCGACCTTTCCTAACAATTATTATAATTATTTTAAACATTTTAAAATTTTCCCTGACTTATGACAAAATTCCCTGACTTTTCCAGATATTTAATATTCCCTGAAATTTCCAGGTTTTCCAGGTCACTAGCCACCCTGAAAACGGTTCAAAAAGAAATTGCAAAATTTTTTGTTTTTAGGGAAAAAATTGGGGAAAACCCCCGTTCCTATGGTCCAATTATGCTGGTTCTCGAACTCGTTCGAATAAACGTAGGTTAACAAGTTTGTACCAAATTTCATCAAAATCGGATCATTTTTGCTCGAGTCATTGCGCTAACGACACACACCACACACACATATATATATGAATTTGAACGGATGGTGTTTTTGGTCTCTAGGGACCTCAAAACGAAAAATTAAATTGGTCCCGGGTCCAGATCTTACCATGAGTACTACGGTAATAGCTTATTCCCTATATGGGAAATTCGCTAAAAGTGAATGAAGGTTTACTAATTGAATCAGTGCCTATTTTTAATAGTTATTAGGGTAGTGCAGTTAAGAAACTATAACCGGTCTCCGTTACAACCTGCTCATTACACCTCCCTCCACTAATACCCCTTCCCTGGAGGGAGCGAGCTGGTCTAGTGTTTGGAGCACGAGACTTCAGTCCCTGAGGTCCCAGGTTCAAATTTCACCAAATCAACAATGGATTTTATCCAGGTGAAAATGCCACAACCCCTAGGTGTAGCCTGAAGTAATGTGAAAAAACAATCCCAGGCTTATGCCTAGCGTCCGAGGAAAAAAAAATACCCCTTCACTGAATCACTCTTATGCTCTGGAGAGTCAACTGGCACTCGGCCCTACCTGATAGTTTATGACACCCACACAAAAAATAGGTTGGCACTCATTCCATTTCCCTGTCAAGAAAGAGGCAGCAGGTAACCTAGATGGTGATATAAGTTTACAGTTTGTAGTCAAAAAAGTCTTCTATGACTTTGAAATTAGAAAGCTTGTCAAAAATTTAAAAAATGATTGCATGAGTATTGAACTTACGCTGAAATAGAGAATTGTTCTGAAACCTTACATCCCAAAAAACCTCAAATTAAATGTACCTTTAACTCCAGGCCACGGCGTTCGAAGTGGCAACACTGTCAGTAGTGCTAGTTAACAATATGAATAACACACAAATGAGAGGGCACCACCTGTCTGTCATGTTAGCCTATGGGACATCTGGCCCTAAACAGTAGTAGTCTTACCTATACATGTTGACGACCATTCCAGGAGAGCAGTAGCCACACTGGGAGCCATTGTGAGCGGCCAGTAACACCTGCAGTGGGTGGTAGCCTGAGTGTTGGCTGCCGATACCTTCTACTGTCATCACATCCCAGCCATGACAACTCAATACAGGCACCAGGCACTATATAACATCACATAGTGGTAAGAGAAGGCACACACTGGGAGCCATTGTGAGCAGCCAATAACACGACGGACTTGGGATTCATATGCTGTGAATTTAGGATCCTTTTACCTGCTACTACATTTTAACGTTACAGTTAATCTCTGTACTGTACCGGCTCAGTTTTTGCTTGCCTTAATTTCCTTTCTAGCCTTTTACTGTTAATGTCAAACTATTCTTATTTGTGTTAAATGCTGTTCTGCAATAATGTCAGGAAATATAGGTCTGTTTTACTTTTATAGTAAAAACATAAACATTTTTTTGGGTTCTATTGTTTTAGTTGTTTTAAAATTGCAAGGGATAGTTTAAATAATGTAAATGTACTTCTTTTTAAAGAGAGAGACTTGAAATTTGAAATTTCATCTGTCCTAAATTAGTAATGTTGGATATAGAACCTTCTATAGGCCTATATTTTTTTCTAATACAGTTAAGAGAAGTGTAACCTACAGAATTGATAGCATAAACAACATCTTGACCAGTAACAGAGTGGACTCTTCTAACAGCAACCACACATGAGCCGCAGCCTCCTTCCTCACACATGGTCTTCGTACCACTGAGATGAGCATGACTGCGGATGAAGCTGCTCAGACTGGTGCTTGGGGGAAGGTCGCCACAAACTGTAAAAGAACTGTCTTTTAATATTTTTGTATAGGCCTAACAGATAAGTTAATTGAGATAAAGTTTTTGAGCAGAGCGATCAAAGCTCTTATGCTAAGTTACACTCTTGCTTTTGAGTTAAAAGCACATACATCCAAACTTTCTCATTTATAATATTAGTATGATAGGTCCCTCCGAACGAATTTTTAATTTTGATATGTTACGTTATTGTTTTTTACCTCCTGAATCCAAATAGGCTACCTTAATATTTTTCACTGCTGACGAATATTTCCCAAGATATCGATGTAAAAATACAAGTGGAATTAACTGTGGGTTAAGACAGTGACACACTATCGATCTTTTCCCCGATCAAAACCCCAAACCGAGCAGGGAGAAGGGAGAAGGGAGCATGTTCGATAGTGTGTCAGGGATACTGTGTTCGCCATCTGGATCGGTGTACGTACACCGAACCAGACATCAGGCATTTTCTTTATTAGCTCGCTTTCTTGTCCGGTACAAATTTTTATATCGATTTTAAACTAACTTCCTGTTGAGCTAGAGACTTGAAACTTAGCTCACAAATGGATGACAATGCAATACTATATCATTTTATTTTAAAATTGATAAAACAATAAGAAAAACACATAAAAAGAATTTTCAAGCCCCAAAAATGATTAATTTTTAGTGCTTTTCACGATGTTCAAACGTCGAGGGTGAAATAGTATTTTCCACCCCAAATGTGCCAAAGGTGCTTAAAATAGTCTAATTTTGATAGATAAGGCAAAAAATGCTATAACTTATAACATAAGTAGTATAAGTTCAGTTTGGATTCAGGAGGTAAAAACTAGAAAAGTTAGACATTAAAATTAAATAGTTATTTGTTTAACTAGTGGGCAAAGTGGCACTTTGCTGCACACGAGAGCAATGTGGCGAGTGCGGAATGATCTCGAGTGCAGCAAAGGCCTTTTGCACTCGTGTTACACATTATATTTTTCCTACAGTCACTATAAAGCATATAAATAAGGTTCAGCTGGCAACACAAATAGGTGCCCTAGAGAAAGTAGTACCCCGTCTGTATCACTCCGGTATTTTTCCTCGGCAAGAAATGTGCTCTGCGACTTGAGAATATAGTTCCGTATGTTTTTGTAATTTTAAGTGGTTTCCGCGCCTAAAAAAATGCTTTAAAGGTATTTTCTTGTTTATTAAGATCGTAGGAATGTTTTAAAAACATTTAAAAGAAAAGTCCAGAAAGTTCAGAAATACCGAAACTATAAACACGAAATGACAGGTTAAATCGTAGTTATAATAGTCAATCAGCTGCTCATAGTATTATTATCTTTAAGTGTTGAAAACCTATTTCCAAGCGTACACGGATTACGTGCATAATAGAACCACGCTGTTTTGTGTTGTTTCGTTGGAATCCTGATGTGTGCCAAAGTATAAACCGTACGACAAAGTATAAACCGTACAACAAAGTATAAACCGTACGACAAAGTATAAACCGTACAACAAAGTATAAACCATACGACAAAGTATAAACCGTAAGACAAAGTATAAATATGCAGCAATTAGCAGCTTTCTGTGCTATAAACAGTACAAGGAAGCCAACTTTGTCGGGTGACTGTAGGAAAAACTCTTTTGGTGGCACCTATAACATATTTACCCAACTCTTTTCAAAACCTTGCTCATTTAGGCTATTTGAATTGACATTTTAACCATTTCTATACAAAGCAAAAGTCAATTGTACTTTTGTGGAAAGTGGCATAGGTAAGTTAAGTTTTAAGAAATAATATGATAATTGAAAGACTTCTTTATTAGTAAATACCCCCGCCTCAGCAAACCTGCAGACTAAGCGAATTTCAATTTGCCTGATTGGATTTACACTAAAATGTCTACCTACTTAAAAATATAACATTTATTTCCTATTTAAATAGAATTAGTTTAACAAGAACTTAGGTTTGCTGCATCAGGGAGGGTGTTGTATCTCTATGTTTCAAATGCTATGCATTGAATAATTTAATCATAGGCCTATGTTATTTTCAAAAATGTGATTCAATAAATGTAAATAAACTAGTGACAAAATAAGGCTCATTTTCAACTTACATTTATTTAACTATTTATTTCCAAATATATAAATTTACAATACATAACAGAAATGCCAACAAAGAGGCATATTTCAAAAATTTATCGTCCCAGGACACCCAGCAACCAATGGGTTGGCGGAACGCTATGTGCAAACGTTAAAGACATCTTTGAAAAATTGTGCTGAAGATCATCAAAAGAATATTAAATCACAAATTCAAGACATACTGTTTCGCTACCGAGCTGTACTTCTACAATGCGGACAATCACTGGCTGAACTGTATTTGAATCGAAAGATCAGAACAAAACTAGATGCTCTCAAACCTCCTAAGAAAAATACATCATTACATCCAGGTTTTCAACAAGTAGAAGTAAGCCGCTCATTTAAAGTGGGGGAGAGAATATTAGTAAGTTCCTTAGACGGCTGAAAGTTCAGAAAAGTTATTTTTCAACTTGGAGCTCTGCACTACAAAGTCAAACTGGACAACGGTTACATTGGCAAGAGACACATCGATCAGTTGAAGAGAACATCAGTGCCAGAAACAACAGACAAAACACACTCCAGCTTATCTCCTAAAGAAAATACCAGTTCGCAACAACAGAACGTGACATTCAAGGACAATGATATGGAAAATATAGAAATCAGGCTTCAACGCAGAGAAGATAACAATGATCAACTTGAAAATGCAGAAATCAGGCTTCAACCCAGTGAACATAATAATCCTGAAACAGATGACAATGCTTCAACAGATGTTCCTCGCAAATCAGCCAGAACAAGAAAGCAACGGAAAAGACCGGACTTATGAATCAAATTTAGTGGGGAAGAAACTGTTGTATGTTTCAAATGCTATGCGTTTAATAATTTAATCATATGTTATTTTCAAAAATGTGATTCAATTAATGTAAACTAGTGTACCTGTTGCTCGAATTCGAGCGATTGCGAAGCATTACAGGCGACTCAAAGGATATGGAAATACTCACGATCTACACAACAGTTAGATATAATCAAAATCTTTTTCAAATATCTTATCTTTTTTCAAAAAGCTGATCTTGTTTTTATAGTATTTTTAGTGTAAAAAAAACATTAGTTCTATTTCTTCTACTTGGTTGTGTTCTATGTCTTTTTCTATGTTTCCATTGTTTGCAAATCGGTTATTTCAATGATTGCTCAAGAAATGTAGCACAGTGTTAATTCAGTTTTATTTTTAGCCTATATCAAATTGTCCAGGATTTATCGCTCTTTTCCATTGTAATTATTACACCAACCCAAGTTTCGTCTACAGATGCAATATGCCAAAGAATATCACGTGTACGTAAAATCTCCAAGAAGTGGTAAAAAAGGCAGAAACCAACCCATACAATAGATATAAGTTAACTCCATAAGAAATAATTGTAAAGGTTACTGTGATATTAGGATTTTCCACTGATTTGGTAATAGAACATTATATTGCAAAACATGACACGATGCAGAAGAAAATCAATTTTCAAATCAGAAAAATCCATTGCAAATATAGTACAGTGCAATTAGCTTAAAAAAAGAGCAAACCGGGACATCCAAAAAAAAAGTTTCAAACCAGTGCCAAATTGTTGATTACACTTCCCTCAATATGTAAAAAAAAAAGTTACACTGATTTGAGTATCGGGTTTGGGGGGGAGGGGGTGAAAATGGGGTGAAAATAGGACTTTTTTTACTTTTTCGCAAATACCTCAAAAACGGTGCGTTTTTCTTAAAATATAATAAATTACAAAAATAATCTACATTAAATTTCGAACAAAATGATACCATACAATACCTATCTACTATGAACGGTTCAGGTAATATAGAGGGGTAAATGTGATTTTTTTCTTAAAATTCTAAAAAAGTTGTTTTTTAAATGGAGGAAACCCATGGTCACCTATAAAAAAAGTTTCTAATGAGTGCCAAATTGTTCAATAAACCTCCCTTAATATGTATAAAAAGGTTACACGGATTTGAGTGTCGGATTTGGGAAGGAGGGTTAAAAGAAAAGGGGGGGTGGATGGGACTTTTTTTTACTTTTTGGCAAATACCTCAAAAACGGTGCGTTTTTCTCTAAATATAACAAATTACAAATATAATCTACATTAAATTTCGAACAAAATGATACCATACAATACCTATCTACTATGAACGGTTCAAGTAATATTGAGGGGTAAATGTGATTTTTTTCTTAAAATTCTAAAAAAAAAGTTTTTTTTTAAATGGAGGAAACCCATGGACACCCATAAAAAAAGTTTCTAATGAGTGCCAAATTGTTCAATTAACCTCCCTTAATATGTATAAAAAAGTTACACGGATTTGAGTGTCGGATTTGGTAAGGAGGGTTAAAAGAAAAGGGGGGGGGAATGGGACTTTTTTTGCTATTTTACAAATATCTCGAAAACGGTGCGTTTTTCTTAAAATATAATGAATTACAAAAATAATCTATATTAAATTTCAAACAAGATGATGCCATACAATACCTATCTACCATGAACGTGTTAGGAGATATTGAGGGGTAAATGTGATTTTTCTTTTTAATTCTAAAAAGTTGTTTTTTAAATGCAGGAAAACTATGGATACCCATAAAAAAGTTTTTGTTCTGTGCATTTTCTCTATTAACTTACTCGTTTATGAGCTACAGGATGCGGAATGTACACAACAAGCCTTTTTCCATAAGTGTAACATGCTGTAACTCCTAAACGAGTAGCTTTTAAGAGAAAATGTCAAAATTAAAAATGTATTTAAATTGGATTTATATACTAAAACAATCATAAACTACAGGGTGTTCCATAAGAAATAACAAAGTTGTCGGCCATATTGGAAAATGGCGAACATATTTTTAAAATTGGGAACCATTCCAAATCATCTAAAAAAATAAAGGGGAGTGTCCCATAAGAAGTCAACTAACTGTATAACCCATGATAAAAAAAAGTTAGCCGTTGGTTCACTTTAGGTGAGACATCCTGTATACAGGGAGTCCTGTAAGTAAACAGCCAAACCCCAGGAAATGGTTCTATGGGTGAAAATAAAAAGAAAATCAAGAGTATTTTTTTTCAAAATCGCTTCGTTAACCAGATATTTGCCATTTTGTTTTTTTCACAAAAACATTATTTCATCTCTGAATTTTTTAACCGATCATTAACAAACTTGGTATGTATGTTGAGGTAAAATAGACCCACGTTAGAAAAAAAATATCTTAATCCAATAAAAATTTTAAAATGGCGGCCATTTAATTTTTTAAAATTGAAATTGCTAGAAATGGCTAATTTTATGAAAAAATGTCTTTTATTTAGCTTTTAAAATAATAAAAAATAAATAAATATTACGATTTTTATTTGTAAAATGAGGCAACCCTGAATAGCGTAGCCTTAATCACAATAATTTTACAACTAAAAATCGTTGTAACTTCAGTTATTTTTTATTCCATCTTCTTAAGAATTCAAACAGTAGAAAGTTCACCGTGTTCTCGTATCTAGGTAGGTTTGTCTTTTTTAGGTAGGTAAGTCATATTTATTTATATTGTAGTTATATTTGTGATAAAATGGAAAAAAAAGTGTTACTTAACAAAATTTACAAAATTACTTATGAATGAAATTCCCAACCCCGTTTTCACACCCTCCTACCCAAGACCGGCACGAAAATCAGTGTAACTTTTTTACACATATTAAGGGAGGGTTATTGAACAATTTGGCACTTAATAGAAACTTTTTTTATGGGTGTTCATGGGTTTCCTCCAGATAAAAACCAACTTTTTTTTAGAATTTTAAGAAAGAAATCACATTTACCCCTCAATATTACCTGAACCGTTCATAGTAGATAGGTATTGTATGGCATCATCTTTTTTGAAATTTAATATAGATTATTTTTGTAATTCATTATACTTTAAGAAAAACGCACCGTTTTCGAGATATTTGGAAAATAGCAAAAAAAGTCCCATTCCCCCCCCTTTTCTTTTAACCCTCCTTCCCAAATCCGACACTCAAATCCGTGTAACTTTTTTATACATATTAAGGGAGGTTTATTAAACAATTTGGCACTCATTAGAAACTTTTTTTATGGGTGTCCATGGGTTTCCTCCATTTAAAAAACAACTTTTTTAGAATTTTAAGAAAAAAATCACATTTACCCCTCAATATTACCTGAACCGTTCATAGTAGATAGGTATTGTACGGTATCATTTTGTTCGATATTTAATGTAGATTATATTTGTAATTTGTTATATTTAGAGAAAAATGCACCGTTTTTGAGGTATTTGCAAAAAGGTAAAAAAAAGTCCCATCCACCCCCCCCCCTTTTCTTTTAACCCTCCTTCCCAAATCCGTCACTCAAATCCGTGTAACTTTTTTATACATATTAAGGGAGGTTTATTGAACAATTTGGCACTCATTAGAAATTTTTTTTATGGGTGTCCATGGGTTTCCTCCATTTAAAAAACAACTTTTTTAGAATTTTAAGAAAAAAAATCACATTTACCCCTCAATATTACCTGAACCGTTCATAGTAGATAGGTATTGTATGGTATCATTTTGTTCGAAATTTAATGTAGATTATATTTGTAATTTGTTATATTTCGAGAAAAACGCACCGTTTTTGAGGTATTTGCAAAAAAGTAAAAAAAAGTCCCATCCACCCCCCCTTTTCTTTTAACCCTCCTTCCCAAATCCATCACTCAAATCCGTGTAACTTTTTTATACATATTAAGGGAGGTTTATTGAACAATTTGGCACTCATTAGAAATTTTTTTATGGGTGTCCATGGGTTTCCTCCATTTAAAAAACAACATTTTTAGAATTTTAGGAAAAAAATCACATTTACCCCTCAATATTACCTGAACCGTTCATAGTAGATAGGTATTGTATGGTATCATTTTGTTCGAAATTTAATGTAGATTATTTTTGTAATTCATTATATTCTAAGAAAAACACACCGTTTTTTAGGTATTTGCGAAAAAGTAAAAAAAGTCCTATTTTCACCCCATTTTCAACCTCTCCCCCCCAAACCCGACACTCAAATCAGTGTAACTTTTTTTTACATATTGAGGGAAGTGTACTCAACAATTTGGCACTGGTTTGAAACTTTTTTTTGATGTCCCGGTTTAGGTCTAATTGCACCGTACTAATACTGTATTTCATTTTGACAAATTCAATAAATCACAATCTAAATATTAACAGCTGTTGCATTAAAAAGTAGTGTAGAATTATGCATATGGTCGTAATGTAAACAAATCTGAAGAGGCAACTTTAAAGGCATCTGGGACAGAGCCCCAAGGGAATTAACCTCTTTCCTCTTTTGATGGCTCGTCTACAGACCAAGACCTTTCTTTAGAGACCCCTACCAAGTTTCTACGCCCAGCCATTCTCTCAAATTAGCTATGACAAAAACCCCGTTTTCCTCCATAAGAATAACATGGGATGGGACTTTAAAGGCCACTGGGGCAGAGCCCGAAGGGAATTTACCACGTTTCTCTTTTGATGGCTCATCTACAGACCAAGACCTTTCTTTAGACACCTCTACCGACTTTCTACACCCAGCCATTCTCTCAAAATAGCTATGACAAAGAAAAACAGTTTCAAATTAATATATAGATAAACTAGTGACAAAATAAGCCTCATTTTCAACTTACATTTATTTAACTATTTATTTCAATATATAAACTTACAATACATAACAGAAAACAGAGGGTAAAACTGTTTTTTTTTTGTTTTTTTTTTGTAAAATGTTAATGGTTAGTAAGAAATAAAAACATTTTCCAAATTTGATCAAAATATGTTCATAAACAAGCAAACTACAACAGTTTACTTGTTCGCCATAAGAATGACATGGGAATTTTAAATTTACATTTTTTTAAAATTTTCTCCGTAACCATTAGGCACATAATAACGCTTCAATATACTAAATTATTTGTTTTTTTTAAGCTCTACAAAATGGTTTAGAAAGAAATTGCAAAATTTTATGTTTTTTGGGTAAAAAATGGGAAAACCCTATTTTTACCCCGGGCATAAAACCCCCCGTAAACCCCGTTCCCATAGTCCGATCATGCTGGTTCGCAAACTTGTTCGAATAAATGTAGGTTTAAACACGTTTATACCAAATTTCATCAAAATCGGATCATTTTTGCTCGAGTTATAGTGCTAACGGACACATATATATTTTTATCTTATCTTACTAATATTATAAATGTGAAAGTTTGTGTGTTTGTTTGTTTGTTTTTTTGTTTGTGTGTTTGAAGTTCAATCACGCATAAACCACTGGACGGATTGGGCTGAAGTTTGGCATGATGATAGCTTACATTCCCGATTAACATAGGTAGCATATATAGGCATATTCTTATCTCAAAAATCCTTTTGGGCTCCGCCCCAGTGGCTCTGTAATTCCCCATGTTAACCTTATGAGTATTCATATTTAAAGGGAATTAAAGAATTTAGTCAGCTGTTTCAACTAAAAAAGTTGGTTCTATGATACGGAAAAGCATTAAAAAGATAAAAGATTAACCAACAGGGTGCAGCACTATGTATATTTTTTTGTATTTATGAAAACAGCTAATTTGAACTAAGCAACAACAAAAAACTGTGATTCGCAATGAGAACTGTCAAAGTAGGGTTGTTTACAGTTATGTTTATGTTTTTCATTTCATGAATAATTTGTGATATTTTCCGAATTGTTGTTAATTTATTTTTCTCTATTGTTTAGGTGAAGTGGTAGAACATTATGGCTATGGTAGATGTGTAATACTATAGAATGCTGTAAATTTAAAAAAAGCAAATTTCATCAATCTGTGTCCTCCCTAATTGCAAACGCAAAGCTTGAGTATAACTGCAATAAGCATTTTATACTTATATTCCAACCCCGTACGAGGGACGGGTACTCTGCTAGTATATAAATATATTTATAAATATATAGGTAATTATATATATATATGAATTTGAACGGATGGTGTTTTTGGCCTCTAGGGACCTCAAAACGAAAAAAAATCGGTCCCGCATCCAGGTCTTACCATGAGTACTACGGTACAGTATGTAATAGCTTATTCCCTATTTGGGAAATTCGCTAAAAGTACAATAATAAAGGAAATACGATTAATTTAGGCCTATACAAGTAGAAACTGAACTTAGCTTTTATAGGTCTTAGAGTAATTACCTTTGAACTTCCTTTTGTTAATGGTTAGAGTCACCTCCCCAAACCTGAAAGAGATTTCCATCAGTCTAAAAAGTTGCATTTTAAAACTGTGTTAAACTTACCGGTACGGTACCTGATGAATTTGTGCTACACAAGGAAATGTCTAGGCTGCACTTTAGTTTGTAGCCTACATCCTACACTCATTCAAATTAATATATCAATTGATTTATCGATTATTTAATTCGATAGCGGTACCTATATCAAGTTTGGTTGGTAAGGTTAACCTAACCTATAAACTACCAGTAACCGAATTGCCCCAAATTATATAGGCCTAATCGATATAGAATATATTCTTAATTTGAATGAGTGTAGGACGTAAGTTTAAACTAAAGTGCAGCCAAAGTCTATAATCTATAACTTACAATAAAGATAGGTAATACTCAAGTAAGTTATCCAAAAGACGATTATTAATTATTGGTTTGAATCCTCTGGTGCAGTTATGTTACGTAAGGCTAAGTTAAATTGTTGAATATTTTTCGACTTTATTTTAGCCTATTTTATTAAACTTCAAAAAATCACACACTATTTTCATTGGCATTTTCACACATTTTCATTGGCAATCATTTGTCATAGTACTTGAGGATAAATAATTAATTTAATTAGGTGCATATAAAAACAAAGATAGACTCTAGGCCAACATTTTTAAAATTAAAAGGCCTATTATAAAAATATTATCTAGGCTATACTGTAAAGCGAATTTTAATTCTTGGGGCAAACTAATAAACTTACCGAGGTTTAGCAGGCATCATAGTCTCTTATGTTATATTGAATTTATGAATTATGAGAAATTAAAAATAATAACCACTCATATTATCAAATCCTACCCCAACAAAAACTCACTGCCCTAACCTACTACACACAAACACACGCACGGCACAATTAATTGCACAAACAAACAGTCATAGAGTCAACAGATAAGATAACGGAAAAACAGCTGCTGATCCTTCAAGTCAAGATCATATGATTTTTTTTTTTTTGCGGAGAACTGGAATCAAACAATCGTCTGTATTGAATTGAAAATGTAAAAATGTTAGGTAGGCTTGCGCATTTTTTATATCGTTATGTTATTGTGTTTCAAGGTTTCACCCACTATTTAATTGTGCAAAAACAGTCTGGAAGTTGCATAAATTAATGAGTCGGTTCATATTAACTTAACCTTTAACTTACCTAATCTAACCTCACTTCAAAGGACTTAATACAGTAACGAGTCCGCATAAAGTCCGACCTATCTTCCTCACATGCCTTTTCTGACTTAATGCGATTTAAACATTGATATCAAGGTTGGGTTGGGTTAGATGAAATTATGCACTGTGGCACGTTTTAACTTTTAGGCACAAATAAGGGATTATGGACTATGGCACATTCATTAACAACAACGTTTTGTCTGTTTAGTATCGAATGTAAACAACTGACAGCTGTTTCCACTCCACAAACCTTCCACCCCTATTAGTGTTAGTCGCCACTAGAACTTGGACTCACTGCGTCATTGAAATTCTTGGGGGGGGGCTCAAAAATTCAAATGGGGGGGGGCTTATGTTAATTGCAACAGTGTTCAACGTGACGACAATCCAAAATACATTACGAAATTGCCAGATAGAAAGTGGATAATTAATGACAATAGTTATATTATTGAATTAAATTAGTTAAAATAGGATTTTAGGATTGTTTAGGATTCGTGTAGAAAGTTATTATTTAAGATTAGCAAGACGTGAGATCTAAGAGAGGGAGCGCACGGGATGGCTCAATTGCTGTGATAGATAAAAGATAACGCGTGGTACAGACACGTCCAGCTACAAGACCGCGACTTAAGCACAGCAAAACGCTTCGTTGACATAAAGCTCGTTAAAATACAATCAAGTAGCAAGTAGCATAGGCTACAATACTTAACACTATTGTGTATACTCGATTACCTGAGTTAATATGGAGAGGGGGGGATACAAAATACGGTTAATCCAATATAGTATAAAAACAGATGAAAAACTCATTAAAACGCTGTAAACATCCATTAAGTCACGATTTACATTTTTATAAACAAAATTCAATATTGCACAATCATTATTATTGTAAATTTCAAATCATTTATCTTGGTTCATTTGTACAAACGGCAACGTTTAAAATTGTATCTAACTCAAACTCAACTAATCACTAGCCATAAACATTACATTGCTATAAATAACGTAAATATTAAAGGAACCTTTAGAAAGTGTTATAAGGTACTGCTCATGATAGACAGATAGGCTACCGATAGGTGCTGTATCACAGCATAGGAATTTATAGATAAGTAATAAAAAAGTGTAAAATTATATTTAGAGATAGTTAAAACACTCTTAAAAAAGAATGTAACGAGAACAATCTTGTTATTCTATTTCTTTGTTCTTCTGTTCATACGTTCAGTGCGGAATACCTTCAAACAGGCGCTCGATAATGGCGGCGAGGCCCGGGCGAAGCCCCGCAGCGCAACTGAATCGGTGAACGCAATTGGCATTCAAATATTTCAGTCTGACGAATAAAAAAAGAGCAGCGGTGATTGTGCTGTGTTAGCCCGAGAGTGTAAGTAGTTCACCGAAACACCCAAAGGTAGCAGCACTGCCTGGATTCGTAGCCAGTGTCTTTGTAAAGTGGCTCGAAAAGAGAAAATTGCCGGAACCGGGACAAAAGTATTGCTAGACGGGATTTTACGGGAAATTTTAGTACCAACCTACACCAGACTAAAGCTACATAATCTAAGCTACAGGCTGGCAACGATTATAACGTTCCCCGGCAAAGGCTGAGCTCACACTAAACTAATGTGGAGAGAGTGGCATGACGTCAGCTTTAGCTGATGTCCGCCACCAGTGCTAGTGTCGGACATCATCTATTGATGATGCCCGCACTCAACGTGTTAATAGGTTTCTCTTCAATTCATACACAAATTCAACAAGTCGCCATATTTAGGCCTACTCATTGGCCAATCACAGCCTTACTAAAGTTACCATGGTTATCACTCAATCACAGTGTACTAAGCATTATATCGTCATCATTCCCCAGCTGTTGTATCTGAAATCTGTTGTAACATAGCGCACAGCAGACAGAAGTGTATAACGGAGCAGACGATTGTTGGCGCAAGCGTTGTTTCCATTTCATTTTCATCAAAGGAGCTGTGATGTTTCTAAAGGGAGGGAGAGGGGATCGTTATATCGAGAAAGACGCTGACAGTTCGTTATGGATATTCTGGCAATAAAAAATTCCTTAAATTGAGGTGACTTATAAAACTCTAATTTTATTTATATAGAAAGATAATTTTTCCAGTCCTGTACAACACTGATTCACGTTCTTTTCCCTATAATCAAAATTCAAGTACAACTTGATACACACAGAATCTCCGGTTCCCGACCTGGATGATGGCTAGTTATTTAATTTAATTTACAGTTACATATTAGTACTCGTGATAAATCAAACCCGTTATGTAACCCAAAGCCACACGGTTATTAATCTCACTTGGTTTTGGATTTGCTTACAAACGTGATCGGAAATGGTTATAGGGCCTACACAGTATTATTAAAGAACATTTATGTAAACATATCAGTGACAGCTAGGAAAAGGAATCTTTATCAAAACAGCTGTTCGTAATTTCATATATGACGTGTTCTCTTAACAGATTATTAGTATTTCATAAAAAATGACGTATGTAGTAAACATGGAGAAAATAAACTATAAAAATCACACAAAATTGTATTTTTGATCGTCCGTTATTTTATTTCCAAAATAGTGAGGCCATATTTTAATGGCTCTAAGGACTCTCTCGCCAATCCTGTGGATACAATTAAACCATTAGAATCATAATCGGTACTCTAGTTAGGCCATGAGTAGGCTGCATAAAACCTTCTGGGCCGTGACAGACGGACATAAATGGATATAAGACATGTTTCAGCTTCTTCAATGTATAAAACATAAATAACCCAAAATATGTATAATTCTGAACAATGTACAGACAAAACTATAACGTTATTGACATATATTAACTGGGTTTGAATTTTAAATATCTAAAAAAAATTATAAAACTTCTTTTATAGTTTTACAAATAGTGCTGGGCGGGGGAATAATGTTTCTCATTGGTTGTGTACATCATTTAAGGGGGGGGGCTGTTGCTCAATTGGGGGGGGGGTGCGTCATGAGTCTAGGGGGGGATGGGCACCCCTGCCACAAATATGTTAATAATCAACCAACCTGAACACTTAGGAATCTCCTAGGACCGAAAGTGCCATTTTCCGTCGCGCGCTCAAGTTCGCGCACAGGGCTATTACGTGAGAGCTATTTATTTTCACGTACGAGGCGAAGCCGAGGGCGGGAATGCCGGGAATAATGGAGCAAGTGCCGGATAATAACTTTCGGTACGAGTTATGGACGATTATTTTCATCACGACGCAAAAATACAAGAACACAGAATAGCAGACCTTAGTAATATTACAACTATTTTATTTCTCAATTAATTTTATTGAACATCAAAATAAAATAAAATAAAATATTCTAAAAGGAAACCTACGTATATTTCTCAATACATTTTGTTTAAATGTAAAAATAAAAGAATAAAACAACCTTGAACAATACATACAGCTGATTCAAATCATTAAATTAAACCATAACAAAACACTAGTGCACGTAGTGAATAAATGGAGAACTAATTGAGAGCGAGGGAAAGTAAATTTAGAGCGAGGGAAAATCAGCTGATCGATTTTCCCTCGCCCTAAATCAGAGCTTGGGAAACGACTGTCAGCTGTTATCGAAAATAGTTACTTTCGTTACGGAGTGATGAAAAAAAACAATTTATATATTTAACGTAAGGCGATTCCTTGCGTCAAATCGTAGGCGTGTGGAAAGTTGTACAACAACGGGAGAGCGCTAGAATTAAGAGGCAGGCGGAGTCAGTCCGTATTCCATATTAAATAAGAATAATAAGTAATTATAAGTTAGAAAGTTTGGATGGATGGATGGATATTTGAGAAAAGTAAACGCGAAAAATACTAAACCGACAAGGTTCAAATTTGGTATGATGATAGCTGACATTCCCGATTAACATAGACATATTTTCACCTCAAAAATCCTTTCAGGCTCCACCCCAATGGCTCTGGCTCTTGAGTTTCTTATGTTAACCTTATGAGTATTCATATTAAAAGAAATTAAAGAATTTTGTCAGCCGTTTCAACTGCACAAGTTGGGGTCTATATTAAATAGCATTATAAAGTTATAAGGCTTACCAACAGGATGCAGAGCAGTATTATGTTTTTTGCATTTATGACCAAATCTAATTTAAGCCAACTAGCAACAAAGAGTTGTGGTACACAATGAGAAATTTTTTCGATGGTTTAGGTGCAGTGGTAGAACATTAGGGCTACAGTATGGTAGATGTGTGCTACACTACAGGATACCGTATAAATTTAAAGACCAAATTTTCTTAAACCGGTGCCCTCTCCCATAACTGCAATAAACATTTATACTTATATGCCAACCCCATACGAAGGACGGGTACTCTGCTAGTAATATCATAGAACCAACTTGTTTGTGTAGTTGAAACAGCTGACACAGTAACTGTTCTTTAATTCATTTTAAATATGAATAAGGTTAACATAAGAAACTCAAGAGCCAATGGGGTGGAGCCCGAAAGGGCTTTTTCGATAAGAATAGCCTAGGTCTATATGTTAATCGGGATTCGGGAATGTGAGCTATAACCATACCAATTTTCAGCCCAATCCGCGACCAATAGTTAATGCGTGATTTTACTTCAAACAAACATACACTTAAACTTCCACACCAATATTATAGTGGGGGAGCTAAAGTAAACAAACCATAAGAAAACTGCAAATTGTGATAAGAGAATGCCCTTTG